TGAATTGATTGCTGGGTGGCAAGGCCTGTTCACACCTGTTCATGTATGTGTATACAGAAACACACAATTTGCCCAGATTGTTCTTGTCTATATGCAAATGGAATGGAAAATGCAAGTGAGGTCTCCCTTTCAGGATTTTCTTGCAGTAGACAGATCTAAGATCTCTCTTAGTTTACTTTATTGTCATTGCACATGGTACAACGAAATTAAATGCTGCCTTCAGTGTACATTATAACTATAAAAATAAAAACACAAACACACATCCTTTACATTCTATATAATTGAAATTGAAAACCCAATATTGCACTATACCGTAGAATTCAATATGGTTATTGCCCTGGGATAGAAGCTGTTTTTCAGTCTATTTGTCCTTGTTTTTATTATCCTGTACCGTCTTCCAGATGGTAATAGTTCAAAAAAAGGGTGCCCAGGATGAGATGGATCTTTATTTATTTATTTATTTATTTATTTATTTATTTTTAAATTTTTTATACCGCCCCCTCTCCCGAAGGACTCAGGGCGGTGAACAGCCAAAATTAAAAACACACAATACAAATATTAAAATACTTTAAAACGAAGTTAAATTTATCTTTGGCTTCCCCAATTTAAAACCCCTTACTCATAAAATTCCCCAATTAAAAGATTTTTAACCCAGCCTGGCTTGCTGAAATAAAAAAGTCTTCAGGGCCCGGCGGAAGGTCCGGAGGTCCGGGATCAGTCGTATCCCTGGGGTACTATATTCAAACATTTAAGAATGTTTGAACTTTCTTAAGGCAGCAGGAGCTATAAAGCTCTTCCAAAGAGGGGAGAGGGCAATCAATGATCCTCATGGCAATGATGTTGACCCTGGTAGTGCTGTCCTATTTACCATTGTGCAATTGGCAAACCATACACAGGTGCAGTAAGTTAAAATACTCTCTATGGTGCAGCGGTAGAAGGCCACCAGCAAACAAAGGCAGGAACTTTAATGTCTTCCTTTCCTTGTAATCCTTCTATGTTCTTTGGAACTAGCATTCACCTACCTTGTTAATTTCACAGACCACACTTCCTTCCAAATTATCAGTTTTTAAGAAAACATAAAAAACCCGAAATGCTTTGCCTTCCTTCCCTTCTCTTGCAGACAAGCATCGGTTCTATCTTGGTTTCTGTGAATCCCTACAAACCCATTGCTGGGCTGTACGATGCATCCGCCATTGACTTGTACCGACAGCATTGCCTGGGGGAGCTGCCCCCTCACATTTTTGCCACAGCCAGTGAGTGCTACAGCTGCCTCTGGAGGCGTCATGACAGCCAATGCATTCTGATCAGGTGAGAGAAGTAATGAGGCCACCAGCTTCCCACTTTGTCCCACTTCTGGTACTGAAAGATGGGTGGAAACTTCAGAATCATTCTTGCCATTTTGAATTCCTTGATTTGCTCTTCTTGGGCTGTCTATTAACAGTGGAGAAAGTGGAGCAGGAAAGACAGAGAGTACCAAGTTGCTGCTAAAGTTTCTGTCAGCCATGAGCCAGTTCTCCTTGGGTAGCTCTGCTTTGGAGAAGACCACCCATGTGGAGGAAGCTATCCTCGAGAGCAGGTAAAAGGAGTTCCTGTTTGTGGGCAGGAAATGGGGAGGTTGTTTCTCAAGAGATGAGAATGATGACATTTGACATCCTCAATGTCAGGGGCATACATTCCTAGGTTGCAGCCTTTTGTAGTGCTCTGTTTCACAGGAGCTCTGAGAAAAGGCAGATTTCTTATGCCCTGCAATATTGTTGCAGCTGGTATAGAGAATGTTTTGGGGAAATTGTGCAAGCCTCATTGAATTTCCCCCAGGGACTTGAAAAAACCAAACCAGCTATCTTAAAACAAGAACTTTTCTGCACTAAGAGAGGATGTACAATATGTAAAATTTACAATATTTGCACATTCTTTCTGCTTCTGTTAGTTATAGGACCACTAAGGATCATGGCACACAAATGTTATGCATTTTTGAGGTTATTCTTTACAGTTTTCAAGGCTACAAACTTTCTTTTAGCAAAAGCTTTGTCAACATCTAAGCGGTCTCTATATCATACTTGTATTGATATATCAATATATATCAATATATAATCTATATCAGACTTGTATTGTTGAAAAATGCGTTCTGTGTAAACCTATCTAATGTTCCTGCCAAACAAATCTAATTTTCTTTTTTTCACTAAAGCCCAGTCCTGGAAGCTTTTGGAAATGCCAAGACAGTCTATAACAACAATTCTAGCCGCTTTGGCAAATTCATCCAGCTACATTTTTCTCAGCATGGGCATATCCAGGGAGGGAGGGTCACAGACTGTATCCTTTATTTGAATGGCAGCTCTTCAGATATTGCTCACCTCTCGATTACGAAAGAATGGAACCAATAAACCATCCGTACAGTTAATTTATAGATGGCAATGATGAAGCAGCCTTCTGTAAATTCCATAAATGAGGTGGAGAAATTACACTATAAATACTTTTTATGAAATTCTCCCAGCTCTCCATCAATTGCATTTTTCTCTTTCAAAGTTCAGGAAAAAATTGTAACTCTTTAATTCTTTAGATTTAGGAAACAAAACATCGCTTATAATTTAGTTACAACAATATTTGAATTCATTTCCAAGTTTTTATGCCAGCTATCGGAGAATATGTTTATAAGAGAGTCGTAATGACATTTATTTCTTAACTTGTTGCTCAGATTTATTGGAAAAGGTGAGTGAAGTTTGTTCTCATTTGTTTTGTTTTGTTTTCCCAACACTCCTTTTGAGAAGAGTGCTGTAAAAGCAATCGGGGAATGATATTGAACATAGCGCCATTGAGTATTCTTAGCAAAACTAGGCTATGTCCCTAGCAATTGCCAAATGTTTTATTTAGATTTATTTCTAATTAGTTCTTTATCATCTCAGAAATGAGCTTCCCATGCTTCTCTTTTCCAGGATAGTATATTTAATTTCTCTGTTGTATTAATGTTGCTCAGTGTGAACAGCTACACCGTGTATTGATTCAGACATTCATCATTTCCAGTTGCATTTTATTTTAGAACTGAAAAAGTCAAAGAAAAGTTTTCTGGAAACAAAAATATGAGAGTCTAAAATACTTCTTTTTAAAAAATTATTATTATTTTATTAGTTTTAAAAAGTAAAACAATGGACATTGCTCAATGTCTCTGGATTCTAACATTTATGTCAAAATCAAGTTAATAAGTAATCTATTCCTTGCTCTATATACAAATTTACACATCTCCTACATCATTATATATCAAGTATACAGTATTTTACTTCCTAACCAACTATGCATGCATTTAATAAACCAATATTACATTCACAAGTTCAATATACATTGATATATTAATATACATTGATATATACATTTCCAGACATTCGTTATCCCTTGTTTTTGGCATTCTTCCTCTTATCTAACCAATTATAAATTATAGTATGTTGATTCACTTTTGTCTTTGAGTTCTAAAGTAAGTCTGTCCATCTCCGCACAACTGTAAATTTTGTGTATTACTTCTTCTTCTGAGGGTATTTCTTTACACTTCCATTTTTGAGCAAATGCTAGTCTTGCCGCGGTAAGTATATGCAATATTAAATAGGTTACATTTTTGTCATATTTGCCATCTGTCATGCCCAGGAGAGTCTAAAATACTTCTACTTGCAATCAGGCAGGCAGATTAGATCAGACTAATCTAATACTGACGACTAGATCAGTATTTCTCAACGTCAACAACTTTAAGATATGTGACTAGCTCCCAGAATTCTCCAGTGAGCATATTGTCTGGGGAATTCTAGGAGTTGAAGCCATACATATTAAAGTTGCCAAGGTTGAAAAATGCTGATCTAGATGAAACAAGCAAAGAGGCAGCATGAACACATTCAGTAAAACAAACAAACCAGCTTTACAACCACTGTTATGTAGATGCAACCATAGGAAACTTTTGATGAAAGGTCGTGCAAGTTTTCATTTTTTTACAAATGAAGCAAACATTCGCATACTTTTAATGAAGCACATAGTTCAATACACAACAGGGAAGGAGTGGGTATTAAGAGTAATAGCCCATGATTGTCATATGAAATTTACTCCTTCCTGCATGCATATCTGCCTATTTAAATGAAAAAAATGTGGACACCATTCAGGATTTTTATATATTGGTGATAAAGTGAAAAAGGTGTGAAGCCAAGGTGCTTCATTTTCCTTAAAGCACCCAAACATGGTGCATATAAATATTGGGAGTGTTACTCATGTGTGTTGAGTTTATGCTAACCGCTTTCTGTTTTCCTTTTACAGAACAGGGTGGTTCACCAGAACCCAGGAGAACGTAATTATCATATCTTCTATGCATTATTAGCTGGTGTCAGCAGGGAACAAAGAGGTAATAGTATTTCCCAAAGGTCCTCATTGCTGTGCAGTGGATGCAATTTAAAGTGGCAGTGCTAACCTATAAAGCCCTATATGACTTGGTGCAAATGATCTACAGGTCCGCATTCTCCCACTGGAACCAGTCGAATTCTATTTGGAAGAAACCATTGGGGAATGTGGGGTGGCAAGGTTCAGTGCTGCTGCTTTTGAATGACAGTACTGGTCTTTTAGAACAGCCTCTCAGGGGCTACCCAGTTGGTACCCACCCTAATTGTCTTCTGGAAGTATTTCAAAACAGAGAGGTGTTATAGGGCTTTGGGGCCATTATTCCTATTGGTAACCAGTGTAGGGTTTACAGCGCTGGTGTAATCTGTTCCTATTGGCAAATGCCAGCTACCACATGAGCCACTGTACCATGAACCAACTGCAGCTTCCAAGCAGTCTTTGTGTCGCACACGTTGCAGTAGTCTTAATGGCTGCTGACAAGAGTGTGAATAAATCAGTAAGGTCCTCTCATCCCAAGTAGAACAACAATAGGTGCACCATGACCTATACCTGCTATTCCAGCAGGAGCTGTAAATTTCAGAAGGACACCCCTTCCCCCCCCCCCACAAATTATAGGCTTGTTTCCTTAAATATAGCCTAATGAAATACCACTGGAGCAGACAGAGAATCTTGATAAACAGTAACTCTATCTTGCTAGAGGATAAGAGAGGAAAGAAGTCCAACCTCTGTGGCACCCTACAAGAGACTATCCACCAGGCCAATTTCTCCTTCCCCTACTGTGAGTGACTGGAATCAGCCACTGAGGAAAAAGCAGAACCAGTCCAATCCTCAACTCCCATAGGCAATCTAGAAGAAAACTCTGGTCGATTGTATCAAAGGGTCACTGAGAGGTTCAAAAGACTTTGGTGCACTATCCTCATCCAGGTCCTGACAAAAGTAATCCGCTAATATAATCAATATTGTCTCCATTCCATGTCCCAAACTTGAAGCCTGACTCAAAAGCACCCATGTAATCTATTTCCTCTGGAGTGCACCACAGTTGACTCCTTGTCGCCATCTCATCAACCTTCCCCTAAAAGGGAAATATGGGGGCCAAGTAATGGTCTAACAGCTCTGGATCCAGGGAGGAACTCACCACAGCCAGAAGGAGCTGTGCCGTAGCCTCCTTCAAGGCCAGCAGCATCATTCCCTCCTACAGTGAGGCATTAACAATTTCCTGGATTCAGAAAGTTACCTCTTCCCCATTTGTACAAAGGAGCAAGGAAAGGCATAGATCTAGTCCACTAGTGACAGAGAATGTTCTAGAGAGCATCCCATCCACTTTATCCAAGATCAAAGGAATTCCATGACTCTAAGCAAGATGATGATCCCGTCACCACTCTGGGCTGTGTCTATATAATTCATTCTTCTTGCAGGTGAAATGAAAGCGAGGGAGCCTCAAACTTGTCAATCCAGCTTCTGTTTTAGGTTTTGCACGATACCTGAGGGGCTAAGAGGGCTGGTGATAGTATTGCATCTGATCATAATTCCCATTTTAGCTCTCTTCTACACAGGGATGCAGTCCCAAGTGCCAGTAGTGAGATGGGATTACTCCTCCACTGATTGCATTACAGTATACCAAAATTGAGCAGTGACCAAAGTTCTCAAAATATCCCCATGTCAGTCATATTCTGTCCATTGACTAGGATGTGCTATTTCAAGCAGCTGTTACTAGAGGGAATATGTTCAGGTATGCAAATCAAGGGACCAGATAAGATACTGTTACTAGCCAGCAAGCGGTCACAGATTGGCTGAACGTTTTCTGCATTCTGCTATTGGCTAGGAAAGGCAGAACTAATTGGCTGCCAGTTCTCTGTGAATCCTATAGACTCACCAATGTATAATCAGGTCTGATTATAGCATCTTGATGTCAGGAAATATAGCAACTAAGATCATTCCTTATTGGGTTTTTAAGCGGAATTAGAAAAGTAGAGAAAATGAAACCGTTAATTTATGTACCCTGGCCTTCTCGTCACTTGCAAGATCATTCCTTCTTGCTTTGAATTCCCATAACCTGAATGTCTTGAAGGATGATTTCCCCCCCACCCCGAATTTCTTTCTTTTCCTGAAAAAGATGGAATGAGTCTGTCAGCTACAGTAATCTGCTATATCTTTTCAGTTATCCTTTTCTCCTATTGTAGAGGTGTCAAACTTGCAGCCCGCGGGCCTGATGCATCACGTCACGTAAACTGGCCCACGTCCAGTTTAGCGAAAGGGGGAAAAGTCATGATATGTCATGTGACGACAACGTAATGCCGCAAGTTTGACACCCCTGTCCTATTGCTTTGCTCCATCTTCGTAAATATGTTCAGATAAATGTATCAGAAAGCCTATTTCTATCTTAATATGCTATATTAACCAAGCTGTAGATTTACAGGAAAAACAACAGTGTTGCTTCAGAAGGAGGAAAATGTTACTAGAATTATTTGTGGATTTACATTAAAATTCATGTAATGGATGAGATTTGCCTATTTAGGCTGATCTCAAAGTTCATGACCAAATCTTACGTCCCTGAATTATTTGTGGATATGCCTCAAACACATGTCAAATGTAGAGTACTGTGGAAATCAGACTGAAAATAGTGTTGTAATAAATATTGATGGGGAAAAAAACATCTGATTCTTCCTCTGGTCAGTCTCTGACGGAGATGCTACTGACAGAACAATGAGGAAGATGTCTGTATTGCCAGCTGTATTTTTCTAGCATGCCAGTAAGTAGGTGCCTGGAGAATATTGTAGCCTGTGAGATAGAGGTTCAGGCAGTATTCTCACCCTGAAGGCAAAGCAGCCATTTTTAAATGAAAGCAGCTTCACCGAATCGCATGTTGAGTTGAGCAACTGCAGCAAGAATAGGCGAATAAATCCTTTATCTACTATAAATATTTTTCACTTAAAATTCATCCCCTTTCCAGTTGAATTTACCGGCCAATGTACATTCAAACTGAAGATGCTGTCCTCCCAAGGCTGCTGTTCATTAAAAGAAACTAAAGAAAACTATTTGTCTCACTTTCCTGCATTTATATGTAACAATTCTGCTTTTCCCATAAGCAGAATCCTATCAACTCTTTCTTTCGCTCAGAGGAACACTTTAACCGATGGACTGATTTTATGCCATCAAATCAGTGTTGACTTTTAGCGACCGTATAAGTGGATTATCCCCAGGAGTGGAACACCTGACCACTCTCTACTCTCTACATTAGTTTTATTTCCCAGCAGGCAAGATATTTATTTCGGCAGTGCTGGCCATGCAGGGCTAACCAGTCTACTGTTTTCCATGCTTTGTTTCATCCTGCAGGGTTAAACTGGGAATGTTTATATGTGCCACTTTTGGGATCAGAACATGAAAAAACCAGGCTGTGGCCTTTGGCTCATGTTTGCTGGTCTCCTTTCTCTATATTCATTGCATTTGCTTCTTTTCTCTGTCCTTCTGTTCTGGTCCTTAACAGTTTTATTTCTCCTTCTGGGAGCTGCTTTTTTTTATAGAAGGACTCCACTTGCTAGAACCCAAGAACTATCGTTACCTTAACCAGTCTGGTTGTATAATCAATGAGGACCTGGATGACCGAGAGATGTTCAGCAAAGTTATGGTGAGTTTCTTCCTTGACTCTGGGCAAAATTTGATGGATGGATTTCTCTGTTCACCCCCCCCTCCCCGCTTTATTAAAAGAAAAATATGCCAGTTGCTTCTTTGCATGAAGGCAGATTGGGGGGAGCAAAATGCCCACAGGCCAAGTGGGGTTTTGCACTCTTGAATGTGGTGCCTGATAATGACGTGCATTGTTTAATGACAATTAGAGTCTATTTAGACTGAAGTAATGTAATTTGAAGACAAGTCTCATCTTCCCACCAGTATTTTGTCTTTCTGTTTCTTGAATGCCTGCTTTATCATGCCTGTTCCTTTTACTTGGAGGAAATATCTGAGGGAATCATTTAGTCTACAAAAATCTGGATACTATTTTTCAAGGTGGAGAAAGTAAGAGATAAAATAATTGGGCATTTATTATTTATAGAATGCTTTAAAAGCAAAGTCCTGCATAGAAGCTACATAACGAAAGTAGGCAATGGAGTAGGGACAAGAAACAGATATACAAAGGGAGGGATTAGGAGGGAATTATCCTAATCAAATGCCCCAGAAAATAAGTAGATCTTATTACAATTCCTTTGCAGATCTAAAAACCATTAAGTCTGAATCCTCCACTTAATAAGATGCAGTTATGATCAGTTTCTATTGTAATTATTATTCCTGTATGTGATTCAGTAAATCTGTAGAAGCTCAAATATTCATTATCTCTAGAAAAAAAAATCAGGAACACTGGAATCCCAAAATGTGAAGCCGTACCATTGCTAGCATGGTGCTTTTTTTAAAAAAAAGAAAATATTAGCTGAATAAATTGAGATCAGATTGTGATATTTATGTAGCAGCATGACAAATATTGATTGACTATTTGCTGCCTGTGTAACTCAAAAATGTTGAGAATAAGTTTCTGCTTAAGAAAAATGGGGGAATAACAGAATAAAGTTTTGACCGATATTTTTCCTCCTTTTTCCTTTATTCTATGGATAATTTCAAATGTATTATTCTGGCAGTTTGTTGGCAAGAATTAAAGAATTATTCAAGGAAGCAAGTTGTACATTGACTCTATTACTGCATCAGTTACTATTTGGCCATAATACTTGGAAATCAATGGGTACCGCTATGTACCATGAGCTGCTAATTCCAGGATCATATTACTGTATAACTTATCTTTGTTCTTTAGAAGAAACATGGAAGTTGCAATAAGAATTTAGAAACATGTGAATGAGAGCTATGATTCTTTTTGGTATTATTGAAACATTAAGGTTCCATTCCACACAATTGAGTGTTACACAACATATTCCTTAAACCTCTTGAAAGTAAATTTCACTACGTATTGTAGTGCTCCATCCTACTAAGTGGGTTTGGGTATCTAACTTTAATTTATAACATCATTACAGTGAATGTACAGAGAACATCTTTACAGAGGATGTACATAGAACTTTCTTAATACATTATAGAGAAGATGAATGTATTAGCATAGCATTTGAATTATCATCTTAAGACCAGAGTAAGAGCCATTATTCCAAGCAAGGCTTTTATCGTGATTCCTCCTTCATGGAATTTGTTTTTCCAGTGCCACTTTGCATAATCTTTTTTAAACACAATAGTGTCAAGTAACTGGAAGCACTAGTTAGCTATCTGTACAGAAACACCTGGCTTCTTGAAAGTGTCATAATGATTCTGAATGTGTTTTGAACAGACTGCATTTGAAGTCATGGGATTCAGTTCTGAAGAGATCAGAGACATCTTCAAACTTATATCTGGCATTCTACAACTTGGAAACATTGAGTTCATGACTGCTGGAGGGGCTCAGATTACCACAAAAACTGGTACGTGGTGCTTATTGTGAATGAATCCTCACCTGGAATCTGCTCTTCCCTCATAATTGTGGTGCATACCAATAATTAAGCAACTAGATTATTGTGGCCTTTTTATATTTTTCTGCATTGCTGACAGGTAAATGGACTCCCAGGATTGCAGCTATTTTCCAGTTTAAAATTTAAAAAACAAATTCCAAGTTGGTTTATGAAAGAGTTTATGTATGTATCTTGCCTTTGTGGTGTTTCCTAACCAATCTGTTATTAAATTTCTCTGTCTCAGTAGATCAGTGTTCTCTTTTCATTTACTTGCTTAACAAATGAATAAAGTATTTTAGCATCACAGTGGAAAAGAAGGGTTTGTCTTTAACAGTATATGTTACAGGGAGCAACTTTCTTCCCTTCTGAAGTGCCAAGTAACAATACTCTGGGTTTTCCATCTTGAGGAACAAGGATCTCAATTAAATTTTGGGAGAATAAATATCTCAGAGCTGTTGTCACATACTAATAAAGTCTTCTTAGCGTAAGATCTTCACCATTGTTGCTTAGTCTCCACTTTGTGAAGAAGTTTGCGTAATTTATGCTTCTTACCAAAAAGAGAAGTAACATCTCTTATTCTCAGTTCTCAATTGTCTTGTCTCCTAGTGCTGCATAATGTCAGTGAACTGCTTGGCTTGGACACCTTCCAGCTGTCTGAGGTACTTACTCAAAGATCCATGTTTCTACGTGGGGAAGAAATTAGCTCTCCCCTCACTGTGGAACAGGTGAGTTAGTCATTAGCTGCTTTGCAGTTCATATTTGCTATGAAGGGAGATTGCCCCTGGATGGCAGTATTCCCATAAGTATTAAAGGGAAACGTCACTTGAGGGAGGCCTTGATTTGATGATACATTACTTATTCCCAGAAGAGAAGGATTCCTGGAACATTCTTAGTGCTTCAGGACTTAAGACTTAAGAATAAGCCTGGGTAATAAAGGCAGCTATTGGAATGGAAGAGAGAATGGGTGGATCAGCTTGGTTAACAGATGGATGCCATGGATGTTGGTACAATGTAAACAAGGACATGTGGAACAATGTTTATGAAAAAAAATTAATAGGCAGATTTTACAGAACTCACCCTGCAAACTACACTTGTAAAAACTCTTTTTAGAGGATGCAGCAAAGAAAAGCACTAGACAAATGTGAAAACTTGTAAATAGAAGAATTCTGCTTATGTATTGGCCGAGAAACAAGGTGGATTTGGTATGGTGTATCTTTCTCTTCACTAGCTTTCCTCTAAAGCAGCGGGACCCCAATACTGTTGCTTGCTTTCATCTAGCAAGCTGCCTGTTAACACACAGCATGGCAATGTTTGACATAGACCACTGTCTTGTGGCGCTAGTATTTGTGAGGCTCCAGGTTCCATGAAATGGAACAGAGAAGTTCCACAGATTCTGTATCTGTTGTAAATTCTAAAGAAAGAAAAAAGTGCAAAATACTTCCTTAGGAAGTCAGAGAATTCTTATAAGGTTTGAATGAACTCTAGCTCTTTACCTGATGATGGAATCAAGCTCCTTGAATCAAGCTTGACTTCTGGTGGATTTCTAGACACATTGATGTAGTTTTCCTGGCAGAAATATGGAAATATTTAATCATTGCCGCCTTCCGGGGGTATTTTTCATTTTCCCCATCTAGCCACAGTCCAGATAATTTCTACTCATATGCTACTTAGCTCCTAAAATGGACTAATTGCATTGAAAAGCTAAGACTCCAAAAATGCCAAAGTCTAGCTTTGGTGCTTGTATAAAACATGAATATAAGCAAGAGGGTATCGTGCATAACTCTTCCCATCATTGACTGGTGCAAAAATAGCAAGCTAAGGTTCTTAACAGTAAGGGTAACCTTTCTTTGCTAATTAGGCTTCTTGCTTCTAAATGGCCCTTTTCTCCCTCCAGGGACAGCAGTCAGCTGTTGTCAAATTCCATTTTGGCTGAGAAGGCTGGAGATCTTAGTCAGCTTGCATTGTACTCAAAGCTCATTACCATTCCAAACTTTGACATTTGGAGTATGTTAAGCAGAAGGAGCTAAATACAGTCAATGAAGGCTTTGACAGAATGCCTATGGCTGTGTGTCTCTGTTGCCCCTGCCTGTGTCCCACTGCTGGATATGGAAAGATAGGCACTAATCTGAAAGATGTAACTGAGATGTTGGATGACTATGCAGTCTGACCACTAGGGTTCCCCTTGTCTTTGTACTTCATTAAGGGAATTGGCAGAGGCCTTAAATACTGTATATGTTAGGAGGAATATGTAGCTGCCCCATATATCTTCAATAATGTTTAGTTAGAAACCTCAAATAATTTTGCCCAATTCTTCCCTACCTTTACTTTCATATATTGCAACCAATGAATTGGAAGGAGTACAGCAGAGGTGGTATTCGGCAGGTTCTGACCAGTTCTGGAAAACTGGCAGCGGAAATTTTGAGTAGTACGGAGAACCGGTAAATACCACCTCTGACTGGCCCCACCTCCATCTATTCTCCCCATCTTTAGCCTCTTTCACACACATAGGCAATAGTGATGAGATGTTTAAGCTATCTAGAACTCAGTTCTCAGAAATAATGGCTTAAGAAGTAATTGTGAAGTCTTATATGAACAAAGAGGAATTGAAGGGGTGAGCAATGGAGTAGCATACTAGGAAAAGGTTCTGTTCATGAAAGTTTTGTGTGTTAAGGAGAAAACTAACCTAGTCTTCTAAATGTAGAGATTTTTCAATTAAAAATACGTACCAAAAGACTCCAGTTTGTAGTACTTTAATCTAACTGGTCGTAGTTGGAATGAAAAGACTTGATTGGTGAGAAGCAATTCATTTTGGGCAATGCAGGCACTAGGTTTTCCCGTCTTTCCTCTTAACAATTCATTTTCCAGTAAGCATGTTCAAATGCTGAAGTTTTTCTGGCTATGTCTACTTCGTGAGGCACCTAATAATATGCTACACTACAATTGTCTCAAAAGATGGCAGCACTAATCTTGTCTGGCTTGGACGGTAAGCATGCTCTGCTTTGCTTAGTGGCTGGATGGGAGACCAGCAGGAATTAGTAGGGCTGTAGACAAGACTGGGAAGTTGAAATTGAAGAAACATCTTAGAAGAAAGCCATGACAAATTACTCCTGTATTTTGCCAGGACAGTTTTATGGATATATCCATTTAATCACCCTGAGTTCAGCTTGATTCTTGTAAAACATTACTTTTTTTTCCCTAGCTCTTTTTCAAATGATGTAATTTATTTCCCGTCATGCATGACCATGATAAGTGATAAAATGTCTTCCTCCCTATTTGCTCCTAGGCTACTGACTCCAGAGACTCTCTTGCTATGGCCCTTTATTCACAGTGCTTCTCATGGATCATTGGAAAAATTAACTCAAAGATCAAAGGGAAAGAAAATTTTAAATCTGTGGGAATCTTGGATATCTTTGGTTTTGAGAATTTCCAGGTCAGAAATTAAGCTGTTGTAGATCGTAGCAAAGATCATATAGATCTTTGTAGATTGTCGTTTGTAGACAAAGATCTACAATCTTTGTCTACAATCTATGTATTGTAGATCATGGACAAAGATAGTAGTGATGCATGTAAAAAAATAAGGTGATATCTGAAGATGGGATGGGATGGGATGGGATGGTGGTAGTGACACAGAGAGGATGATCAGCAAGATAAGGTCCTCAAGAAAGTTCCGAAACTTGGATAATGAAGTTTTTTTGGTCTATGACTGTATACATCGTGGGATGTATTATGGGAATGATTCATAAGGGCATGAATATTTATTACAGCCTTCCTATAGATATGTCAGGACTACAAATGCCAGTTGTCACTAATACATGATGGCTTGCGCTTAATAAGTGTTGAAATCCCAATAAATCTGAAAGACAGAAGGTTATTATAATCTGTTATAATAGATGTTTCCCCTTGGGTATATGCACATGTTGCCTTAAACACACATAGGAGTTTGGGTTTTGTTTTTGTTTTGTTTTCCTCAAGACCAGGGGTATCAAACTCAATTTCATTGAAGGCCACATCAGGGTTGTGGTTGACCTTGGGGGCTAGGGTGGGTGTAACCAGGGTGAACATGGCTAGCTCGACGTCAACCGTGTTGGGGGTGCCTACGGTGGCCTGAGCGCTCTGCCTGCGAAAACGGGTTCCAGAGGTCTGTTTTCGGCTGCGACAGCTTCCTGCAACCCTTTGCCAGCAGAAACAGAGCTTGGGAGGTCTGCCCACGGCCCTCACAAGCTCTGTTTTTGGCTGCAACAGCCTCCCGAGCTCCATTTTCACTGGCAGAGGCATCGCGGGCCAGTCCTTTGCTGTTTCCAGGGCGGCCCCACGGGCCAGATCTAAGCACTCCACAGGCCAGGTCCAGCCCACAGGCCTTGAGTCCTTACTACATCTTTTGTTTTCTATCTTACATTCTATGTTTTGTGAAGTTTTGTGCCAACCCTTGCATCAATTGACAGTTTAGGGCATAGGCTGATGATAAGCACATCCACCAGCCCATCCTTGTTTCCCCGGTTCTTTGCAGTCTTTGAGGGAAATAGGATTTTCCCCAGATCAAGATGAAAGGAATTAATTATTGGTTTCTTTTGTCATGGACAGGCAAATCGTTTTGAACAGTTTAACATTAACTATGCAAATGAGAAGCTCCAAGAGTACTTCAACAAGCACATCTTCTCCCTGGAGCAGCTTGAGTACAACAGGTAGAAAAATGAGACTATCAAACATCTCTTGTTTTCATTTCTCATTCTGGCGATTAGGAGAAGCCTTGCTTTTGGCTAAAGGATGAGAAAGCTGCTTAAAAGAGGAAGAGTGTTTGGTCACATACATTCTACCATGTGAAAGAGTATTAAGGAAATGGTACAGTATTATCCTTTTCTCCACTGTATGGAAGTTTTACATAATCAGTGCTTCTTTTTAGTTTAAGGGTGGTACATTTATTCCTTTCTTCATTTTTCTCTTTCTTCTGTAACTGCAATGATTTGTGTTTTTTAACTCTTTTCTGCAAATGAGTGCTTAATTGGCTTTGTATTTTTCTTTGGCAGAGAGGGAATCATCTGGGAAGCCATTGATTGGATGGATAATGCAGAATGCTTAGATCTTATTGAGAAGGTAGGTCCCTTACGCTGAAGGGACTGGGGGAAGTAGGGATGGAAGGACCTTTACTCATTTACCTCTAATTATGCTTGACCCTTGAACTGGAATAAAAGGACACATTTCTGTTAAGGACATCCACAGGTCACAAGATTTGGTTCAGACTCCAAATTGATAATTTATAAGATGGTCCACTTCATCTGAGACTAGTTGGGAGTTGACCAAATCAACTTGAAACATTTCATTTAAAAAAAAAAGAGGTCAACCTGAAAGCCGTGGTGGCACAGTGGCTAGAATGCATTATTACAGGCTAACTCTGCCCACTGCCAGGAGTTTGATCCTGACAGGTTGACTCAATCTTTCATTCTTCTGAAGTCGGTAAAATGAGGACCCAGATTGTTGAGGGCAGTATGCTGACTCTGTAAACTGATTAGAGAGGACTGTAAAGCACTATACACAGTGATGGGATTCAGCCAGTTCGCACCACTTCAGGTTGTTAACTTTCTGAGCAGTTTGGTGAACTGGTTTTTGGAAGAAATCATTAGGGCAGAGAACCGGTTGTTAAATTATTTGAATCCCACCACTGACTATACATACTGTATATATAGTAGTCTAAGTGCTATTGCTACAATTATTTTAATTTCTTGATGAAATTAAAATAGCAAGTAATACTAAGCCTTGTAAGAAGATAATGCTTGCCAAATTAAAACAAAATCTGAGAAGTTAAATGATTCATGCACTAATCACCTCCTGCTTTGCCTGCTGCAACCTGCTGTACATGGGGCTAACCCTGGAAGCTACAATTGGTCCAGAATGCATTCGTGTGAGCAGTTATGGGTTAGGATTGTATTCCCTATTTTTTTTTTTATTTGATTTATATGCCGCCCTTCTCCGGAGACTCAGGGCGGCTTACAATGCATTAAGCAATAGCCTTCATACTTTTGTATATTTATACAAAGTCACCTTATTGCCCCCACAAACTGGGTCCTCAATTTACCTACCTTAGAAAGGATGGAAGGCTGAGTCAACCTTGAGCCTGGGGAGATTCAAACTTACAGTAATTGCAGGCAGCTGGTGTTAATCACAATGCTATCAGTCTGCTGAGCCACCAGGCCCCTATATTTTAAAAAACATCACATTATCTCTCCTTTTGGGGAAAAAATGGTTTGGTGAATATTGAAAATGTAGTTTCTCCTGTCAAATAGGTATAAAATCAGATGAACTTGAAAGATTGTTTTTTCGTCTTTTTCTGTGTGGTTTTTTTTTTTTTAGTTGTACTGCTTTTTCCCTTTTCCCCCTTGTTCTTAAAATGGAACAAGCACCACAATATTTCCAACTGAAAGGATTAGAAATGTCAATACTTAAAGCAATTAAGTTGCATTTGTATATTTATGGCAAAATGGCAGAAAACAATAAACTGTCACATATTCTATCCCCCCCCCTCCCCATACTCACACACACATACAAACACACGCATATCCTCATACAAGACCCAGGAGATTGGGGGCATCTTGGCTAAGAGTTTAAGCGATAAGTGTATTCCAAAACCTGACTTGGCCTTTGAGTGGCATGCCATAGGTCAAAAAAAGAATTTGATGCAGTGCTTAAGGTGCTAAGCTAGAATTTCAGTTACAGATTGTTGAGAATATTTGTAGCTCAGGTTGTAGGTTTGGCAGGGATCCAAAGACCTATAATTGGGTTCTAGGCCTTCCTTAACATGAAATCTAGTTGGTTGACTTTGTACCAGTGACTCTTTTAGCCCAACCCTCAAAGAGTTGCTGTGAAGAGTTGCTCTGGAGCTGAAAATAGGCAGTAATATTAAGTATGTTCACCGACTTTGTGTGTGTGTGTGTGTGTGTGTGTGTGTGTGTGTGTGTGTGTGTGTAAGAAGAAGAAGAGGGGGTCTAAAGTAACCAAATTAAATTTAGAAGCTGATCTTTGCAATGACATTTTTAGTAACAGGTTTCCCGAGTTACTAAGAGAGATGGGCATGCAAAAGGATTGCCTTTAGATAACAGCAGCTTGGAAATCATTAGTAAAAAAAGGTTTGCAAAAACTTTGCTTACTCATTTTTGCTCTTCAGAATTGGAATGATCATTTGGGCATATTTTGGATAAAGAACTTTCATTTGCAGGCAGCTTTCCTATCTTCACAAAGGTAGAAAAAATATTTCTCCTTTGAAAAAGAAAAGTAAAAAACTAAGCAGAGGAGAAGCATGGAGCTGGTTTCAAAATGGTGCTTTGGGATATCAATTTTTTGGAATTCCAACATTGATGAAATGAAGTTGTGCAAATGTTCACGACTGAGTGTTTAGGAGAGGGAGTGGAACAAGAGATAAATTTCAAATGCTTATGTCAACCGAGTGCTCAAATCTATAAAATGGAAGTACATTTTAGGATTTGCTGTTCTGTTTTGGGTGTTTCTGCCAAAGCGAAACATCCCCATTAAGAGAAAATACAAATGAAGATAAAATAATGACAGAAGGATTATGAGGTTGTCTGAATGGTCCATTAAATAACCCTAATGAGCACTGCACATTGAAGCATCAATCAAAACTTTATAAAAGACTGGAAACTCTTTATAAACTTTTTACTGAAAATGTATAAAAATGAACTGGTGATTTCAGGATTTATTGATTCAAAAGATCTTTTTATGGGAAGAAGGGAATAACGATCTCTAATTTAGAAGGGTGAAGAAGATGGTAATCATTCTATTTGTAACTGCTGCAAAGAAATTTAGAAGTAACTTCTTTAGGTATTTTCCCCTCTTTTGTTACCTTTCACTGTTTATTTTATTTTGTTTTCTGTTTCTGTAGTTTTTTAAAAATTAAATAAAATCTTATAATGAAATTTCATTTAAAAAAAGGGAAAAAAAAGCATTTTAACCAATCTGGATAAACCTTGAATTGTTATATCCTTATGGCTATTCCTCACTCTCAGCATGGTAGGAATGTTTGGTCAAGTGGAATACAACTGTGAAAATATGGTTTTTAGCCAAATCTAAACTCTTCTAGAATTAAGATTTGACTACAGTACCCAGAATAATCCATTTTAGTGTATCTACCTTGCTCTTCTAAAGCTCCGGTTCCCCTTTGGGTTAGCAACCCACCATGCTGTTTGTGGCAAAGGGTCTACCTTTCTCTTTGTAATTCGATTGCAGAAACTTGGCTTGCTGGCGTTAGTTAACGAGGAGAGTAGATTCCCTAAAGGCACAGACAGCACCCTCTTGGAAAAACTGCACAACCAGCATGGGGTAAGTAGGCATGCATACACACCACTGCATTTCAGTTGCTTAATTTGGGCTTGGTTGTTTTAAGAACTGAGATAAACACAGCAAAGAGGGGAGGGAGGGAGGGAGGGAGGGAGGGAAGGAAGGAAGGAAGGAAGGAAGGAAGGAAGGAAGGAAGGAAGGATCAGACCAAAGTCTCTTGAGATTTAATAGAAAGGCAATCCAAATTCTCTTGGCCATCTGTCAACTGCCAATGAGATGAACAAAGAAGATAAATATTAAGGAGGAAACATTTATTTAATTGCATTGGACCCATTCAGAGCTATAAAACTTCAAAACCAGATCTGGGAATTGGCCATGGGAAAAACTTGTCACTAGAATTATCTCTATGTCTAGCATCAGCAAGTAGCATGTCCTCTGCATTTTGGAGCAGCTTACTCTTTATAAATAGCTACAAACTTAGAGGGCATTGCAGTAATATAACTTTGATATTATAATGTATATTGAACAGGAACCAGTTCTGTATCTTCATTCCATGTGTCTGCTGAACAAAGAAGAGATAGGAAGATCAAGCCAGGCTAAGGAAGCTATTTTGGCTCACTGGCTGGACACCTTCTGAAGGGACACTTGATCTTTTGTGGTGGGGCCCCAGTTGCTTCTCCTCCCCAAAGGCTGCCCACTAATAACATGTGGATCTGCAGACTTTCACTAATCATGCTTGTTTCATTAGAAAAAATGAAAGGCAAAAAGCTCCACTTCAGAGTACTTGCCAAGGAGGAGATAAGAGTATTCCGAAGGGTATAGTCTCAAAGTTCAGAAAATGCCACTCATACTGTTATTAATGGAAAGAGAAACCCTCCAGGTATATAATATACTTAATTTCAACATTTTAAACTTTCTTCCCTTTCAACTTGGCTGTGTTTAGCTTCATTCATCATCAGAACCATGTGGATTTTTTAACAAGGTGCAGGGGAAGAAATCAAGCAGAACCTGAAATTCACATTTAATCTTTTCTGTTTTCCTTGGCTGGAATTCTACACTAGCTCTGTCATATGATAAAAAGGTTGCTCAGGCGATAAAGCTCAATTAGCTCTCTTCGGAGCAAAGCAAACAGAGTTCTTTCTTAAGCAAATGACCCTGAGAAATGAAAAGCAGCTAAGATGCAGTGGGTGGAAGTTAAAATGAGGTTAATAATTCAGGCAAGGATAGATTTCCTTGTTCAGTTTATTTTGTTAAAGATAAAACTTAAAAGAAATGAAGTGGACTTTGTGGAGAACATGTTCTGAGGAATCCAGGAGGGAATGCATATCCATTTAGATGGAAAATGGACGAACAGTTTATAGCAGAGATCTTCAAACTTGGCAGCATAGCTGGCTGAAGAATTCTGGGAATTGAAGTCCACAAGTCTTAAAGCTGCCAAGTTTGGGGACCCCTGGTTTATAGGGAAACAAGCACTTATCATTCTAGAACATGCTGGCTGGGGAATTCTGGTAATTGAAATCCACATATCTTAAAATTGCAAGATTGAGAAACACTGATCTAGAAAGATCCATCCTGGCTCCTCAGAATGTGAATTCTGCTCACAGAGACCTTTGCCATGTTTCTTCTTTCAATGATCTATTTTTGGCTAAATTGTCATGGTAACTAGAGGCAATCTCCTTAAGTTAAATGGCATATCCTGCGCCTAGACAAGTGGCCCTGCACCATTTCTGCAGTGTGCTGCTGTTTGCAGGTTGTGGTATTGTGAAGTTTCTGGTTAGAAAATGTTATTTCAGGTGCATCTGTGATAACAAATGTACTTCCCTCACTTTTGTTTCAGAACAACCAGTATTACATGAAGCCCCGAGTGACAGATTTCCATTTCGGGATCCAGCATTATGCTGGAGAAGTAGGTACATTTTAGCTTTATAGCTGAGAGGAAGCTGGCAGGATTCAAGAGCTTTTGAACAATAAGGCCTTAGCCTGCAATCTGCAATTCAAAGTAGGCATTTTTATGATTGCAGTGGGCAAAAGGCCAGAGTGTCTCGGATTTCTTTAATTTGAACAAATAATAGGCTTATTGAGGGCTAGTGTGCATATTAGAGTTGCTGTGGCTTAGAAGCTCTTACACATTATCGTGTTTGGGGCTTATATGCCTGCCCTTTATATCCTCATTAACTGTTGAAGGTGACATACAGTCCAGCAATGTGCAAGCTACGCTCCCTGCTTTTGAGACTGTGTAATTTGGACAGCCCTTCCTGATCTGGCACCTGTGCTGAACTAGAAGATCATGGGAATCAAAGTCCAATATATCTGGATGGCACCAGGTTGGCCGTAATGATTACTTCAAGCCACAGGTTCTTTATTCTGGAAGAAGTGGATTTTGGGCATTGCACAACTGGGCGGGATCTGTGATGAGGTTTTGGTCATTACTGCCTGAAAATAGGCCATGATCAATACAGGGCAGCTTGTCAAACCATTGGTGAGCTATGGAACTGATTTATCTGCAAATGTTTGTTTTGCCTTTCCTTTGAGGAAGCATGGTGGCACATGTCTTCTTCCCCACCTGCCCCCACATTTATTTTCCCCTTATAACAACTGATTGAGACTGGACTAAGACGTAACAAGTGGTTCAGACTACCATGGTGAGCCTAATGGCTGAGCTGGGCTTTGAATCTGGGTCTCCTGAGTCCCAATCCAGCATTCTGTTCAAAACACTGTGTTGGTTCGGCTACTGCAGCTGAATGAGACTAAAAAGATCTCCATTTGGCTCGATAGTCTTTTGGACAGCCACACGAATTGTTCAGCAATTTTTTCTTGCCGTGTGTATCTGCTCAAAAAAATAAATAAAATGGAGGCGGGGAGGAGTCCATGCATGGCAAATTTGGTTATTTGTGTCTAAAATTGTTACCTATAGGTCCTCTATGACGTGAGAGGCTTTCTGGAAAAAAACAGAGATACCTTTCGAGATGACATTTTAAACATGCTGAAGGATAGCAGGTAAAGAAGCCAGAGCCATTCCCAGTGAAGCAGAATTAAGTTGCTAATGCTAAGGAGGGGGAGTAATATATATATATATTATTATTATTTTGCATAGGGAGAGCCACTCCTTGAGTGCTCAGTAATGTAGCTCCAAAGATGGGATGTGGGCACAGGTTTCTAGCAGTCACTTGGGCCATTTAGTAGGCTGGGTACTTTGGACCTCCAGAATCTCTTCATAGCTGCTGGAAGGCTAGCTCTCCTATGGCTGGTCAGATGTCTCTGCATGTATTGGTGCTATTCTGCCCTTAAATTCTAGCACTTCACAAAGACATTCTTGATTCGCATATTATCACTAGGGAAGAAGGATCCATTTCCTGGTCTAAGATAGCAGAAGCAGTGGCAGGTGATCTCCTGTTTTAGAAGTTAGTGTTCCATGGTGTCTCTTTCTTTCTCTTATATTTCTCTTTCCACACAGGCTGGATTTCATCTATGACCTCTTTGAAAGAGTTGCTAGCTGCAACAGTGAAGACACTCTGAAGCTGGGAACTCAGAGACGCAGGCCAACTGTCAGCTCCCAGTTTAGGGTAGGAGCAGGAGGCCCGCAAACGTGCATGTGAAAACGCCTGTAGAAACATCTCCGTAGATGTGTTTTTGTTTCTTTAAATCCAGTAAATCAGGGAGACGTACCAACAAGGTAGATAAGGATTCAGATTGTAGGCCCTGCATCTTCAATGCTTCAGGCTCTGCTCTTTCATGTTTTTTAAGCTGCAAAACTTAAAAGGATTGGGAAAGGAGATGGGATAAACCAGTGAATGCAATGCAGTTCTTCTTCTGTAGATGTCATAAAAGATGTTTCAATATCTTGCAATTGTGCTTCTATAGCAATTCCATCACGCTTTTCATGGCTGAGCATCAGCTGTAGGAAATGTTGGACCATGTGACAGCTAATGCTCAGTAGATTCTTTTTCATCCTCTCACTTTTTATTTTAACATCAGAATTATAAATGTGTCCAAGGCACTGGAGAATGATAATAAATCTGGTCCAGAGAATGAATTTCTCCAGAGAAATAACATCTGCTGCTCTTTTCCAGGACTCCTTACATTCCTTAATGGCTACTCTCAGCACTTGCAATCCACTCTTCATTCGCTGCATCAAACCAAACCTGGAAAAGGTGACGCTCTGGAGGTGGGGAATGCCAGATGAACAGGGAAGGGAGGAGGGAGATTCACCATGATTTTCAATGGCAGCTGAGTTGAAGCTTTGCTTCTCCTTTTCCTAAAGTGTTTCTCCTTTTCTGAGGGATTCTGGATTCCTAGGAGAAAAAGTTTGTGTTAGCACAACAGACACAGAAGAAAGGGCCGGTTTCTAAAAGGGCTGCTGTAGGCAACAGAGATACTCTTTTAATGCCTTTCCTTTAATACATTAGGAGATAAATCTTGCATTTAAAAATTTTCCTTAAGCCTAGTGACTGTTTTGTATACCTAATTCATCTCCTCTGTGTGCGCTTGTGTGTGCATTGTACATGTATGTGCATGCAGAACTAATTAATTGAGATGCCAGGAATGACTTTTGCAATCCACCTGTCATACAAGTAAATCTCTTTTAAGTTGCCATCCCTCACATTTGGTTGGTCTCTACTCTTGGTTGTTCTTTAGGCTCCAAATCTATTCAGTCCAGATGTTGTGTTGAAACAGCTGCGATACTCAGGTATGCTAGAGACAGTGAAGATTCGGAGAGCTGGTTTTCCCGTGCGGCGTCTTTGTCAAGATTTCCTCTGCAGGTAAACGAGAGACAGCGCATTTCCTAGGAATGGGGGTTGCAGAGAAATCAAATATAATTGTTTAGAGTGACTGGGTTTCCATGGAAGAGGAAGCTTAAGAAAACTGCTTCTGCCCCATGGGTTTGAACAAACTATCTCTTTTTTCTTTCCTAAAACCAGTTAATGATCACATGTATTATTATACTCTTCTTATCTGTTCAGAGGCATTTATATACCGTATCTCTCTTTAATTGAAGTATGGAAAATAATTAAATATCCTTTCCTTCCCCCCCACCTCTCTGAAAAGCATACTTGAACGTATTATTCTGCAATCAGGTTAAGTTTCATTTTACATGTGTAATGTTTTGCAGCCTTAAGAATTGTTGCAGTTCCTCTTCCCAGATGCCACTTATATTGTTTAGAAAAGTTAATGGGGCCAGATAAAAGACCTTTTGCTCTACCACAGCTCAGAAGCAAGAAAGAGAACTAGACTGGGAGAGCAGCTAATTGCATCTAATGCTAGGATGTGTTGATTCACACCTGTTTCTAATTAAGACTATTTGTTTGGTTATTACAGATACAAAATGCTTTTGAAGAATTGGAGCAACCCAGACAGTGCAAGAACCACATGTACAAACTTTTTGCAGATGTATGACAACACCCAGAGAGAATGGAAGCTGGGGAAAACCAAGGTAAAACCTATTTCCCCAAAGAAATAAATTGGGAAATGCTATATAATAATAATAATAATACTGTTCACAGCAGTGGTGAAATCTAAAATTTGTTACTACTGGTTCTGTGGGCGTGGCTTGGTGGTGGTGGTAATGTGACTGGGTAGGCGTGGCCAATTTTTTTTTTTTTACTTTTAAAACCATTTTTTCTACAACATCTTCGGCGAAGAGGTTGTTAAAAAATGCTTTCAAAAGGCTCTGACGATGCCAGCTGAGTTGCCTGAATGGCAGAGGCTTTTTAAAAAACTCAGCTGGGGTCGTCAGAGGCATATAAAAGAAAAAAAGGGTTTTTTTCTTTTAAAAGCCTTTAACGGTCCCAGCTGAGCCGCGCGATCATCAGAGGCTTTTTTAATTTTATTTTTAAAAGCATTTTTTCGGCTGAAGAGATTGTAGAAAAAATGCTTTTAAAAGTTAAAAAAAAGCCTCTGATGATTGTGTGGCTCAGCTGGACATGGGGGGTGGGGGGGCAGGGATTTTTGCTACCGGTTCTCTGAACCACCCGCCTCCATCGCTACCGGATCAGGTGATCTGGTCTGAACCAGGAGCATTTCATCCCTGGTTCACAGTTACCTACATGTATGATGATTATTAGTTTTAGAACTTTGACCTAGCTGGGCTGTGGACCTGCTGAGCCTCACGTATTTTGCATCACAGAAATCTGAATATTTCTTCATTTCTTTCTCCCAGCAAGCCTCTTGAGAAGCATAACATGCACCCTGCTGATCTGCTCAAGATTTCATTGGCATGGGGTCTCTGGATAGGAGTGCTTAGCTGACAAGACCCTAGAAGGCATAAAATATATTTTAAAAATAATTCAGTAAAAATCATTAGTTCAGGAGGCCATTACTCCTCTAGTCCTTCATGTTACAGCTTCTTGATTCTCATCCTTTCTTTTCCTATCTTGTTCCTACCATCCTGTCACATAAGTCAGCAAGTTTATTAAACATGCACAGAGAATGAACTAAATGGGTCCAACAGTGCATTGGAGCACCAATTTTTCCCAGATTTTGCTCCTTTTCAAAATCAGTAGTAGAGCTATTCATCACTCTCTCCTGTTTCACTCTTACATCATTTCTAGTGAAATTTATTCTCTGCTGAATGTTGATTAAGGTCAGGGAGGGTATTGAAGTGCCTATGTTTGTATTTAAATTGATACTTAAGTTCCTCAGCTAAGTGCAAAAAGATTTTTGGAGATTTTTTAAATAAGAATTTTAGTAAATATTACAATTTAAAAAGTTAAATGCAAATTTAAAAAAGAGAAAAAGAAAAAAGTGCAGAAAAGAGAAGTTTGGGGAAATGACCCCAAATATTTCAGCCATTATTGAACAGTATAAATATCTAGAAATAGTATTTTATTCATTCACTCATTCAATTTGGAGGCTGCCCGATTTCCAGAAAAGCCCAGGTAGCTGGCATCTCAAAAACAAGAAATAATAAACTAGAGAGCAGATATGTATATGTCCAGGAAAAACACTCCATTACCAAAATCTGACAAAAAGAACCACCAGGGGCTCATAAACTTCCCAAACCTCAGGTCTTGGAGCAAAGCCACATTTTTAAAGAGTTGTGGAACGACTGGAACGTGTTTAATAAAACATTATTTGGAGAGCTGACACAAAATAGTGATACAGTGCAACTAAGACAATGGGGCCAATTAGGAAATTTTTACTAAAAGGATGTAGAATAGTAGATGCAGTAGGAAGAGTGTTCTGTTTGGAGCAGAAATCTGGAAAGAGGAGAATAGAATGCCCATAATCGTAAGACTTTTTTAAAAAAAATCATACAAAATCAATTCAATTCATGGAAGAGAATCAAGCCTTCCATGGGAAACTAAGAGCTTCCTATGGAAGGCTTCCTTTTCTTCCATGAACTGAATTGGTCTTATCCCAAAATAAAGTTCATATTGATAAGGTCCTGCTTAGCTTTTGCAAATGTATCTCTTTAGAAAAGAATCTGAATTAACAGTTAGGGAAATGCTTGGATTTTTTTAATATAAGAGAAGGATTGGAAATCTGCCATATATGAATTGTTGGATAAATGTTCACTCTCAGTCTGCATATTCTTTTAGCATCTAAGGAGCTGAAAAAGTTGGTTTCAGCCCAGTTAAAATGAAGAAAAATGCTTTGTATTAGGAATGAATATAGAAACCCTTGGCTATATATGTTTAATAAATAAATAAAATCAAAATTAAAATTGGGAGTTGTGTTCCAGGTGTAGCAATTATAGAATGGTGGGCAACTGTAAAATTGGGCATTGGTAAAATGTGTTTTTTGATTCTCAGTCTTAAAAAAAATCAGACTGAATAAATAACCTTGAAATTTAATGAGCAATGCCTGCTGAGCTTCAGCATGTTCATTGTTATTTGGAGTAATACACTAGTATTGAATGGAAATAAAGAATAATATGCGATTTTACAGGTTCATTATACAGAACTTCCTCTGTATAAAGGATGTGCAAAACCTTCAGTGTATAGATCATTCTGGGCCTAGTATAGTGAAGTTCAGGTGGTCCATTACTGGACCAACATACGTTTGTTGCATGTTTTATCTCCAATCAGAATAGAGCTGGTAGGGACCTTGGAGGTCTTCTAGTCCAGCCCTCTTCTCAAGCAGAAGACCCTATACCACATTTCAGACAAGGAACTGTCCAGTCCCTTTTTAAAAATCTCCAGTGATGAAGCACTCACAACCACAATCTGGATATGGAACATGTATGTTCGGTCCAGACTCAATATCCAGACATGGGTGTTTCAGGTCTAAATATTGAGGGTGCTGAAAAGGCAAAGCTGGCAGTGATAGGCAGGGAAAAAACAGGCTATGGGGAGATTGGGAGGAGCAGGTGAATGGTTGGATTGTACTGTGCATGACATGAAGTGTAGCCAAGGAAATGGAATGACGGTCCTGAGAGGATTGGTAGAGGGACTAGTTGATGTGGCAAGTTGGAGTCTGCTGCATTTGGAATCCACTGTAGGAAAGAATAAAGGGAAAGGGAGACAGTGGGAAAATTGTTTTGTGGGCTGGTACACAAGTCATTGTTAGGAGGTTGGAGGGGAAAGGAGCTTTGAGTTACTTGTCCCACAGATCTGCCCAGAACTTGTCTTGATTAAAACCCAGAACACGAAGTTCCTGGTTTTGGTTTAGATGGACTAAGAATCTTTTGTGGCTAAATACCAAAGCCACAGTTGTATGTCATATGTGGAACATATGGAACCAGGGATTCTTCCCCCATTTTATGCATGCCTCTATGCTGCATGTATACCAGTGCTCATATTCCAGGAGGAATAGAACGCTGACTATTAAAATTAGGACAAAGGCCAATTAAATGCAATTAAGAATTCCTGCTGCTACTAGCATCACTTTCTTTATTTCACCCAACTAAAGCCTCTCCTACCTACAAAAGCCCTGTGCCAGGTTTGCTCCAACATTTTCTTTAAGAGCATTTTAGATGTTCTAAAATCTAAATCAATAAAACCACTGGGGAAACCAGTTTTGTAGGGCACTAATTAAAGAAGTAGCTCAGCAATAGCTTATGGTCCACCCGGCAGAGAGTTCTTCATTAAAGAGCTTCTAGTGTGATCCAAGAAGAAATTATAAAGCAATTGGACCTAATCAGAATAATCAAGGACATTTAGGGCTATTGTAATTTGTTTCTGTGTGTTTTCTATCCTTTTCCTTTTAGCATTAGATTGTATTTTTCTTGGGAGTAGGCAGAATTATAGCATGTTCTGCAGATGGGACTGCCTGGAGCAAACTGGAGAGCGGAGAAACCTTAGGCGTCAAAGTAAAAAGGAAATGGCTGTCTTTCTGCCTGCTGAACACTTGAAGTTAATAAATCAACCTTAGAGCCATTAAAAAAGCAGGCTCTAAGTGACTGATGCGTGGAAAAGTAGCCTTTGATCTCCCCAGCCGGAAACAATAAGATTTTCTCTCCTGTACACGTGTTCACTCTTCATGTTGCTGGACCATCTGAAAAGGACTGGCTGTCTCAGTGTCCTGCATTAATACAAAACAAACTAAACCCTTTTTGGTAGTTCTAAAGTCCAACTTTATAGGTTTCTCTTTGCATAATGAGCAAGAGGAGGAGCCATAACATGGATAAAAGATGCTTTTCTTTCCACTGAATACTTTGTTCCATTATCTGCAGGAATAAGATAGAAGCAACTAAGGGCAATTTTAAGAAAGATATTGGCAGGTAGATAAGTCAGCCGTATTCACAGCAAAGACAATGACAGCTTACTCAATAATGCTCAGTGATTAAAGAAAAATAGAGGGCACACAGCATTCTTTTTTCTCTAACATGGAGATGATGAAGTAAAAAAAAAAAGCTTTGGGTCGGAAAAAAAATCAGGAAGATTAAACTTAAACTGCAAGCTCTTTTTTGCAGCAAAATAATCTTTCCAATCCATTTGGATTGGAACAGCACATTTATACGATTTACTTTTGTGCTAATGGGATAGAAACATCTTTGATGTCAGTTCAATGGGATGTGACCATGATACCCTGTAGGATTCAGGAAGCCTGGAACATTTTTTAAACCCATGTGATTAATACTGGGCTGGCTCTCATAACCCCTTTCATTAGGGGAAGGCACTTGTAAGGCTTCAGCAGAGAGTAGATGAGGGGAAGGAGTGTGAGTTTTGTGGGGTTTCCGTCTTAAATTTAAATTTAGCTGGCTGTAGCTTTGACCAGTAGATACATCAGAGATTGCTCCATCTAACAGTTTGCCCAAGCAGAGCACCTTCCAAATCTAACCATGAAGTTCCCAGAATTAACAGACAACATGGCCATCTGTAGGTCAGCAAGACAGCCCAAAACGTTTTAGAGGAATGTGTTGTAGATAGAAGGCAGCATGTTATAGAAACATTTTTCATCCCTTTGTACTGCACATGTTATATGGGAGGAAACCAAGATTCACTCTATAAGCATATGTTTTTTTCATCCTATCTCTGGTAAGAATGCCTACATAATATATATATGCCCATATGGTGGGGTTATTCATATATTACTTCTTTAGATATACTCTTTTTTTAAAAAAAAAATTCTATTTGTCTCTATGGTGTCTCTTGTAAAAGCCTATTTTGTGCTTTTTGATAATGACTTGATCCAACGGAATTAACCATTTCCTTAAATAGAAGTAAAAACTTAATCTGGGTGCATTTCTGCATGCTCCTTACAACATAGGAGTTGGGAAAAGAAGCAGTGGGCAATTGTAGCCCAGGGCAGCTCAGCCTTTCTTTTCATCAGGTTTCTGAAAAAAATGAATGGGTCTTAAAACAGTCCTGAGTTTATCTTATGAAAGTGGTCCCTTTGTTTTGGCCTAAGGAACGGGCTGTAATTTCCTCAGCATGAAACGGGCAGGGAAGCGTAGCACTCCCCTTCATGTCTTGAGGCGTTGTGAGATTGCAGGTACTGCGTCTCTGTCCAGTGAGCCTTCCAGGTGTGCCGTGTTCCGGTTCCTGCCTACGGGGCAACAGGGGGCCTGGGAAGTTATGATCATATGTGAGTATGGGTGTTGGTTTCAACATGTGCTGAGCAGGATGGGGAAAGGAGTAGGAAATGCTTCCTGCGACATGTATTCAAGGGGTATTTCTATACCAAGCAATTGTTTGGGGGAGGAAGGAAAGGGATTAGTGTAAAGAATTGTGGAGCACAGGAAAGGAAGAGGAAGGCAAGACGGCCTTTGTATTTCTCATTAGGAACAGAGCAGCTGCCAGTTGTGAATTGTGGAGGGTTGAGTTTTTTTCAGAGATCAAATGAAAGTGCAACTAATCAGAGAAGCTCTGTTCTGCTTCAATGCCAACTTTGCCATTCGCATTCTGGACTTCTGGTTTTCTTCCTTGGTAGATACATCTGCAAAATTTTTTGCTTATAATAGAAATGCTGCTACATCGGTGCATAAGCAAGAGAATATATCCAACAGTTGTGCTTTGTTATGTATACATTGTTTGCATTCAAAGTTCTCTCCTCCCCCTCCAATCTCTGGAATATTTAATACTGTAGTTCATCTTATCTAACTCATCTATGCAATTCAGTGATGTGGTACTGAGACGGATTTCTCCTCAACTCTCAATACAGCTTTTGGAACAATATACATGTGACGGTGAGGTTCCTACCACTACCACCACTTTTGAGGCAAAATGGGAAATGCAGAATTCTTTCAAAGAGGAGATAGGACATAATGGTAGAATACTCTGACCGTGCTACTCTTCCTGTTTTAGAGCATTTTCAGAAGATCCGCCCAGGTTACTCTTGAGGGTCGAAAAGCCAAGTGCACAAAAATAAGGTCTCAATAAACAGACTGAGGAACGGAGTCCAATAAAGATTACCTCTCAGCTGTGTTGCTAAGGTGCCATTGGATGCCTCTTTAATTGCTTCTGGAAGAAGCAAATGTGAAACCCAATTGGATTTATAAGATTGAGTTCTGGAGCCTTTACCTTAAGTGAGTGTGAAAGATAAGCCATGGAAGTGACCAAAGTAGAGTTCTCTGGGGATATGCCATTAAATTATTTCATACTTCCCTAGTCCCAGAAGAATGCTACATTCAATATATCAAGACCTATCTATGAATTTATTGCTTAACATACCTGATTGAATACATTAAGGTTCATTATAAGGAGCAGGTATCAGGGAGTCAATTTAGTCACCAAAAGCAGAGTGGGTGAAGAAACTATTATGGCTCCATGGAATGTGGCCCAAAGTCGATTTTTATTGCCTCACTTCTGTCACACGTTAAATGTAAGATGCTTTTGCACCCTTTGTGACATTGCAAAGAATCCTGGGATTCACCTTTTAGATAGGGCATTGCTTCAGTATGGATAAAAAAATATTGGTATTTAAATACCAAGATCTCCCCACCTCCCCCTCCCCCCCCACAGACTTTTCAAATAATAAGCCAGGAATGAGAAGCAGGAGTGGAAAATCAATAAATTATTTCCAGGCCCTGCAATTGGAATCTTAGTACCTCATTTTTGGAATATCCACTAGGACTTATGCAATATAATTCTTTTCATTGACGTCCATTTAAAAATCTGGCCTGAAAATTTGCATATAAAACATTGCAACCACCATCTGTTAATGTGCATGTCAAATTAAGCCTGGCTCTGGCGGGGATGGATAATTGTAGGAGGGGAAAAAAAACCAATACAAAGGAATACTCCAGCTCTTTTTAGCAGGCAAGAAAGCGACGGAAAGACTGGCATGGAGGAGAAATGCTAATTAGCAGCAAGAAGAGGATGATTTAGTTGTTAGTGCAGAAATTGGTCTTGGGAGCCTTTTTTTTTTTTAAATGAGACCCTTCACATAATATAACCAGTTTCCCTGTGCATTCCCCTCACCCTGGTCTTCTCTCAGTCTTTATACGCAGGTGGTATCCTAAAACTGCTTTGGGGATTTTAAATGGAAGGCTCCAATTACCTTAGAAAAAGATAAAGCCCTGTCAGGAAAAGGGTTAAACAAGAGTTGTAAAAGCGGTGCAGCCTCCTCCTCTCCTCCCCTTCCCTTCAAACACCCCCCCCCTCCCAATCCTTGAGCACAGTGCGGGGGTTGGGCTGACACTCCCTGCTCAACTTTTCCCTTGTCTGTCGGCGCTGATTCCCGAAAGGGAAGGGCTGGCGGTGCAGCGGGGACGGCTCCGCTGCAGGAGCGTAAAAAGAAGCCCTCCGTGTCTGGTTACTCTGAGCAGGCAGGCAGGCTGGCTGGCAGGCATGGGATCTGCTGGGGATTCGCTATTTCCTCTCTTTGTGTTTGACGAAACTCCTCCCCGGGGTACTAGGTTTTCCTGAAGGAGGTTCTGGAACAAAAGCTGGAAAAGGCCCGGGAAGAAGAGCTGAAGAAGGCGGCCACCGTCATCCGAGCCCACGTCCTGGGCTACATGGCAAGGTCAGTGCCTAAATTGCCTGCTGTGCTTGGCTGCATTGCTGCTTGGCTGCCGCCGCTGCATGCACTGGATTTCCCTCCACCCCCCTTTTTTTTTTCTTTCCTGGCCTCCCCATTCCTGCTGGAAAGCCTCCAAGTGTTTCTAAGAGGCAAAGTTAAGCCACGAGCTCTGACTTCTTCCTGTTGCATTTTTCGTCCTCCATGAAGCTGCCCTGATCTAGATCCCTGGCTTCCTTCTCTCTGCCATTCATTCAAGGTTCCAGGCACAATCTCTGCTTTGATTTGGAACAGCTCAATATCTACAGCTCTGCCCCTGTTCCTGTTTCACTCCAGGGGTCTCTCGAGAAGAGTTGTGAGCAGGGTTGTGTTTCATCCCTGCTCTGTGTCTCCTTACCTATGTCTCTATTTTTAACTTACTATGTATGGTCTCTTCTTCCATAGTGAGCTGGGCTTTGTCTCGGCTTGTTCAGGCAAATTGCAATGTACTGCATGCATGCCCATTGGGACAACCGCTTGCATTCATAGGTACAGTGGTGTTATTATAAGAAATAGACGATGTATCTTACAGGATTGCACATAGAAGTTAGGGCTAATTCGGTGTGATTTGTATAGGTTTCTCTTAAAAACAATTTTAGACCTCCTTAAGGTTGCAAAGAAAGAGAACACCTATGAGCAATGCTTGCTGGAATCCCAGACCCCAACTAGGAAAGAGGTAAAACTGCATACTAAGGGTGGCTCTTCCCCCCCCCTCCCAACAGTCAGAAGCAAAATAGAAGTCTTTAGTTTTTTTTATACCTTTGGTTAGTGTATTGTTGCTTGCAACCTATAGGAAATGTACCGTTACAAAATCTATAGGAATACTTTTAAGTTTTTGCCAAGCAAACTAAACTTAAAGATGTTAAAGAGAGAGAGAGAGAGGATGAAGGGATGTTAAAGAGAGACAGAGAGAGCATGAACAAGGAAGAGTCAATTTTCCTTCCTTACTTCCATCTTCCTCCAGTGCATGAGACCAAGCCTTTCCATTCCTCAGTCCATCAGTTAGATGCTAGCCTCCTACTGATATTTATTTACTTGATTTTTATCCCACCTTTTTACTTTATAAGTAAGTCAAAGTGGCAAACATATCCAACACACCTTTCTCCTCCCTATTTTCCCACACAACAACAACCCTGTGAGGGATGTTGGCCTGATAGAGAGCGACTGGTCCAAGAGGTCACTGAACAGGCTTTTATGGCCAAGACAGAACTTGAACTCATGGTCTGGTTTCTAGCTCCGTGCTTTAACCAGTAGATCAAACTCTGGGGTTTCAGCAGGTTTTAAAATCTTACCTTTATATCTTTGAGGAGAATAAGCCTCTTTGGGGGAGAGAAGTGAATCCATTTTTATTGATTAAATTAGTATTTTAAGGAAGTTTTGAGTTCTGCATGATACAGTCTTAGAGCTGCAGAACATGCCACTGTGTACTGGCCTCATCTCTGAGCACCCTATTTAGAAAGATTTAGAAACTTGAGTTTGGCATAGAGAGGGTATATTTTGCATCAGCCCAAAATTATTCCATTTGTTGTGCTTAGCAGAAGATCACATGCAGAAACTGAAAATGAACGGCAGTCTCAAGATGCAGAAACTCCATGGAGTTTGGCGAAATTTGGGAGAATGGCAAAATAGCTTCTTGGAGCATTGTCTATATGGAAACTTGATTGTGCTGGGTATTCAGATCAGACGTAACAGGGCAAAAGAGCAGCTAGGGAGAATTTAGGAAGAAGGGTGAATATATTGGTGTGACCTCCATACTTATATGCCTTTTGACTAGGAAGAAGTATCGAAGAGTGCTAGCCAGTGTTGTGACCATTCAAAAAAATTATCGTGCTCACTTCTGGAAGAAGTCTCTCTTGCGCCTGAAAGCCTCTGCCATTGTCCTGCAAAAGCACTGGCGTGGATGCCTAGCTCGTAACCTCTATCAAGACCTGCTGGAAGAAAAACAGAGGCAGAAAGAGGAAGCTGAGGAGCAGAGGCGAGAAGAAGAGAGGATTAGAAAAGAGGAAGAAGAAAGGCAATGGCAAGAAGAGAGGGAGCGTAGAAGGAAGCAAGAAGAGAAGGAAAAGAAAAGGTACAATGGCCATATTTCTGAGAGTTGTCTGTCTATCTGTGTCTGTCTCTCTGTCTCTTTCTCTCTCTCTCAAATTTATTTGCTGCCCATCTTGCTGCAAGATCACTGGGTATCTTACCATTATATTATACAGATATATTATATAGATAAAACTAATGCAACTACATAGTACAGAAAGACATTTTAAAAATTTAAAAAGTGCAGAAAAGGGGAAAGAAAAGGAACAAAAAAGATAAAAGAAAAAACCTCTCCCTGTATCCTCAGCAAGCATACTCAACAAGTTATCATTAATACCACCAAACATCTTTGTTCCACATCTCACCCTATTCTCCATAAGCCTGTCGTTAAAAGCAATAAAACCATAACGCATACAGTCTAAGAACAATAAAAATACAATTTTAATTAAAAGATGGGGGGAGGGAGTGGGATGCAGTGAGGGAGGTGGGATCTGCTATTGATCTATCAACCACCTTCAGCGTGATGTACCCCCATTGGGGCCCAAGGCCTGGGTCTTCAGGTGCTCTTACAGAAGGTCAGGAGGATGGGAACAGATCTCACCGGGGGAGGGGGGGCAAGATGTTCCAAAAGGCAGGAGTCACAGCTCTTCTCCTGGACCCCATCAGCCGGAGTTTCTTGAACAACGGGGTCCACAGCGTGCCTCCTTTGCCAGCCTGGTTGAGGTGAGCCAATCCCATTGGGCTGAGATGGGAAGTAATCTGGATCCATGCCATGCAGGGCTTTAAAGGTAATAACCAACACCTTGAATTGCACCCAGAAGCAAACTGGCAGCCAGTGCAGCTTGCAGAGCAGTAATATAATAAGGGGCACTCTAGGGGCACCAAGGACTGCCTGCATTCTGCACTGGCTGTAACAGTCAAATCCTCTTCAAAGATAGCTCCATGTTGAGTTTATTTATTTTTTTTATTTTTTATTTTATTTAAATTTGTATACTGCCCTTCTCCTGGTGGACTCAGGGCGGTGCACAGCCAAGTAAAAAACATCCAGTACAAAATTTAAAAATTTAAAAGAATTATACCCTTTGGCCGAAAATTAAGAACCTTACGACTAAAACCCATTAAACAATTAAAAATCTAATATCTCAAAAAGGGGGGGGGAGGGAGGGGTTCACGCCAGCCCTGCTTGATGGAAGAAAAAAGTTTTTAGGGCGCGGCGAAAAGCCCGGAGATCTGATATCCTCCATATCTCCGGGGGCAAATCGTTCCAGAGGGCAGGTGCTGCCACAGAGAAGGCCGTCCCCTTGGGGGTCGCCAGCCGACACTGCCTAGCTGACGGCACCCTGAGGAGTCCCTCTCTGTGGGAGCGTACTGGCCGGTGGGAGGCTATTGGCGGCAGAAGGCAGTCCCGCAAATACCCAGGTCTGATGCCATGGAGCGCTTTAAAGGTGGTAACCAGTACCTTAAAGTGCACCCGGAAGTCCACCGGGAGCCAATGCAGCTCACGCAGGAGAGGTGTCACATGGGAGCGTCCTCTCGCTCCCATAATCCCCCGCGCAGCCGCATTCTGCACCAGCTGGAGCCTCCGGGTGCACCTCAAGGGGAGCCCCATGTAGAGAGCATTGCAGTAGTCCAGGCGGGAAGTGACAAGTGCCTGAGTGACTGTGCGTAAGGAGTCCCGATCCAGAAAGGGACGCAACTGGCGAATCAGGTGAACCTGATGAAAAGCCCCCCTGGCCACGGCCGTCATGTGCTCTTCTAAAGACAGCCGTGCATCCAGGAGGACACCCAAGTTGCGAGCCCTCTCCGTGTGGGCCAATAACTCGCCCCCAATAGCCAGCGATGGCGCCAGCTGGCTATATCGGGACGCCGGAAGCCACAGCCACTCCGTCTTGGAGGGGTTGAGTCGAAGCCTGTTACTCCCCATCCAGATCCGCACAGCCTCCAAGCACTGGGACATCACTTCAAGGGCATCGTTGGAATGGCCTGGGTTGGAGATGTACAGCTGAGTGTTGTCAGCGTACTGATGGAATTCCACCCCGAAGCCACGGATGATCTCACCCAGCGGCTTCACATAAATGTTGAACAGAAGGGGTGAGAGGACCGATCCCTGCGGCACCCCACACACAAGGCGCCTCGGGATCAACCTCTGCCCCCCTGCCAACACTGACTGCGTCCGGTCGGAGATACAGGAGGAGAACCACTGTAGAACGGTGCCCCCCACTCCCAGCCCTTCCAACCGGCGCAGCATGATACCATGGTCGATGGTATCAAAAGCCGCTGAGAGATCTAATAGGACCAGGATAGAGGAGCAACCCCTATCCCGAGCCCTCCAGAGATCATCCACCAACGCGACCAATGCTGTTTCCGTGCTGTGCCCAGGCCTGAAGCCGGACTGGCATGGATCCAGATAGACAGCTTCATCCAGGTACCCAGGCAGCTGTCGTGCCACCACACTCTCAACAACCTTCGCCACGAAGGGAAGGTTGGAGACCGGACGATAGTTAGCCAAAACAGCCGGATCCAGAGCAGGCTTCTTGAGGAGGGGCCTCGCCACCGTCTCTTTCAAGGCTGATGGCAAGACACCCTCACCCAAGGAAGCGTTGATAATACCCTGGAGCCAGCCTCGCGTAACCTCCCGGGAGGCCAGTACCAGCCAGGAGGGACACGGGTCCAATAAACATGTGGTCGCATTCAGCCGCCCCAGTATCCTGTCCATGTCCTCGGGAGCAACAGGATCGAACTCCTCCCAAATGACATTCTCAAGACCAGCCTCCATCATCCCGTCTGTACCTACCCAGTCGGAGACCAGGCCTTCCCGAATCTGAGTGATTTTATCGTGCAGATACTGAACGAAATCCTCAGCATGACCCTGCAAGGGATCCTCCCGCGCTCACCCTAAACAGGGCAGCTGGGCGGTTATCTGCCGATGCGATAAGAGCGGAAAAATAATTAAATGTTGCCGCTTTTATCGCCACTAGGTAGGTCTTAATATGAGCTCTTACCCGTGTTCGGTCAGATTCGGACCGACTAGACCTCCAACTGCTCTTTAGGCGTCTTTTCCGGCGCTTCATCTCCCTCAGAGTTGAGTGCATTGCAGTAGTTCAGATATGAGATGACAAGGGCTTAAATGAATATGCACAGAACTCCTGATTCTGGAAAGGGCGCAATTGGCTCACAATGCAAAGTTATACAATCTCTTAGCCACGACTGCCACCTGCACACCAAGTCTGGGGTAGTGCCACCCCATCCAGAACAAAGGAAGTCAAAGTCCTGGATCTTGAGTTTCCTTATGCCCAAAGCCTTTTGATCTTGCCAGGATTCAGCCGAAGCAGTCCAAAAAGCCATTTTAGACTGTTGGAGAGAGGGAGAGCCATACAAAGAAATTTCTATCTCAAATCAATTGTATATTGTTATATGAAAGTAATAATAGTATCTGAAATGAATAGATTCCGTTCCCAGTTCCAAAGCAACTTAAGGTTTGTGATCCTGAAGTCAAAAGTAAATCAGAGATTGCAAAGCAGCAGCAGCTGCTCTTTTCTGAACCTCTTTCTCTGTCCTGGGATCTATAAAAAATGAAGTGTATTTGGTTCTCAAAAAATTCAACTTTTTCCAAAGGCTTAGCCATATTTGCTTGCACACGTCTTCCTTTCCCCTCCAGTTTCCCAGTTTAATTCCAGAATTGGAAAATAGGTTTAACAGAATCTTTCTGTTCTATGTAAGTCCAGGTGTTCGCCTGTCTTAACCTGAGTGCTTCTTCAAATTTAATTAAATAATGTTTTTATGATGATGAATTCTTATTCATCATAAGGCAAACTTTAATTTCTTTTAGTTAGCCATAGGCAGTCCATATTGAGATTGGTCCATATATATCAAGCAGCAGTCAGTTTCTGCTCTAAAACCTTTAAGAAAATTCAACCTTCAGAAAACCCAAGCTTTTAATTAAATGTGCTGTAATAAATTCTATGGTTTTGAAGGCTTCGTAGCAGCTTTTAACTAAGACATAAATAACAAAGGCAGGTATACTGTTTAAAATAGCATTGATTTTCTGTACTAGAAATTGAAAGAGAGAGTGATTATCTGTTACTTCTTTGTGAAATTTCTGGCAAACTAGGCTGTGTATTTTATTGGATAACTGCTTTTTTATTTTGAACAGGAAAAAGGAACAGTTGGAAGCAGCACTGCAGATTGCTCAGGTATGTATTCTTGTTTCTCCAATCTTCCACTTCTTCTTCAGGATCCCCAGCAGAACTGTCAGGGAATTGAGCAGCCGATGTTCGAATGAAGTCAGAGACTTTGACACTAACTTGTAGCTTTATGTAAATAAATATATTTCACAATTATATATACAGCACACTGGATAGTCAGACAAACTGGAGCATCATCAGGTAAATCACAGAACATACAGAGCACACAGAAGAAAAAGGCAGGAAAAATGGTGAAATTCCCCTTCCACACCCACAGCAACTAATCACAGTGCAGATTGCCTCACACAGGAGCCACAATCAACCATAACTGTGTGTTCTGGCACACTGCACAACCCCACTGCTCCAGCTACTAAATTTAAAAATCTTAACAAGAACCCTAACCTACCCGCCTTGTCTTTTTCTTAGTGCACTATTAGCTTTGTGCATTTCTCTGAAATGATTCTGGGAGACATTTGATTTTACAGTGCATCATTTTTAAACCAAAATATATGTGATGTAAAGTGGACAGGGAATTTTAACCTTGTCCTCTTAATGCCCTTAATTGTCTCAAATCTACATGCACCATGCCCAAAGCTGCTCCCTGACTTGAGAGAGAAACTTCTGAAACTGTAATGACAATTGATGCTTTCCTTTTGAGCCAACCAGCAACAGAAGGATGCTTTTTTTTTCCAAGTCATGCAGAAGATTTCAGGGAATTATCAAAAATGGATTCAATATTTTAGGAACTGGGTTCTGTGCATTCATACAGAAGTCTAAATCAATACAACATCTCTGTGGCACACCTAGGGAAACTTTTTGCTTTCATCTCTAAAATTCTATTTTCAGAATTTGATAGTGCTGAAATCTTACAAAATTTAATAAGATGTTGACTATTTTTTTAAATAGTCAATGTTTTAATTTTGAGTGGGGCTCTAAATTGGATTAGAATCACAGATATTCACAGAAGAATTCCAGTGAATTCAGTTTATTGTCTCTTAATGTGGGGCTGGTTGGAAAGCATTAAGAAAACATTGGTTCAATCATGGATAGAACAGGCGTCAGACAGTAGTTGTCTTTGGGGTGTGTGGTGGTGGGGGTTTTTTGTAAATACCATACAAATACTAGTGTATCAAAGGAATTACAGTACACTACCCGTGATGATCTTCTTTTGAATTACATTCATCTTAGGGGGATTTAGTAAATATTCTGTATTATATATTTGAAAAGTTACAATTTAAAAAATCTTTTGAACTGGGGAGCAATGAAGCAGCATTTGGTTGTTATGATAGCACCTGAATTTTCAGAACTATTGATGACTGCCTAAAACAATTTATGAAAGTTAGTTATTTTCTTGCATTTTTGAATCAGATGGAGGTAGTAAAAACCCAGAAGGAGAACCATCCACTGCGGGAAGAGGAACAGCGTCAAATGGAGGAGATTCTGCGTTTGGAAAGGGAAATTGAGAAGCTGCAGTGGCAACAGAAGGCAGATCATGTGTCCATTACATGTGAGAATACCAAGAATGAGATGAAGCGGCAGCGGGAAGAAGAAATACAGAGGCTAGAGAAAGAAGCATCTAGGGTTGCACAGGAATTCTTAGAACTTTTAGATTTTGGGAACCTGGATGAAAGTGTACAAAACTTAGAACGCTCCCTGTCTAATGAAGGAACTCTCAATATTGAATGCAGCCTTGTTGCTCCACTAGCTGAGGAAGAAGAAGATGAAGGTTTTCCTGCTGATGAAGAAGGGCCGCCAGTCCCCAGCCCAAGTCTGTTGAACCAGGACAGTAGCACCAGGACCAGTGATAACTATTATTCGGAGGAAGACACATCTCCAAATATGCCAGTGTCTGGGGAGGAAGAGAACCGAGAAGGTAATGTTCTGCTTCCTTCTACTGAGAGAGCTGGAAGCCCTCAGAAAGAACATCTGGAAAGCATATACTGGATAGGCTCAGAAGTGACGCAGAACGACATGGTAGAAGTGGAAGATCCAATTTACAGCTTGCCTCCAGATGTGGAATCAGATTATGACCATGAGGAATATGATGGCATTGTAGATATCAGCAGCACATCAATTGAGCCACTGAACAGGGAGGGAGGCCTGCGCAATTCTCATAGCAACGGTGTGGATTCCAATCGTGGAAGCTTGGACTCGGTGAGAAACTTTCATAACCATTGCAGTTGAATAGTCCTGTTGTTAACCTGTTTCATTTTACATTAGAGATAATATCATTAATATTTCCTTAATTGATAGCATTGTCAAATTTAATCCATAAATTCCAATGAGCAACAGTGGCTTGAGTTCCATAATGGTGGAAAGACAGGATAAAGTTATTATTTTCACATGCCCTCAGAGACACGTATGCTAATTTGTTCAGTCCATTGCAACATGTCTTATACTCTGTTGGTTAATCTGTTGTGACAATGCATTTGTTTATGGCTTACTTATTATTCAAGCCTAATGAACTGTTTGCAGCACTATTGTATATATATATCCTGGGAATACTTAGATCATCTACATGTAATCCATGTCAGTTTTTATATATTCAGTCACTGTACTCTTCCTTCTATTACAGCTTCATATTTCCCTGTGAGACTGCTTTTGTGTGTGTGTGTGTGTGTGTGTTCGTTCAGATAAGGACCATTAATGGTAGAGAATGTCTTCCGTTATAAAAACGATAGGAGAAAGTTGATATCAAACTAGACACACTTCTTTTGACTTTGAAATAGTGTTCAGTGGTTGTTTCTAATTGTTCTGTTGCCTGAGCCAAAGACCAGCCTCTGTGTTAAGTTTTTACATATTAGTTTAGCATTAATACTCTAAATCTCCTCCTATCCAAGTAATCTTGAAGTCATTCTCAATAGTTACTTCCTTTACCCATTTCAATATATCCTTGCTTCCTTCTTGCTGGATTAAAATCTGGTTTAATATTCTTATGGGGCAAATTGAGTGAAGAAATATTTTGCCCATCAAAAAGTGCTAAATTACTTCATGCAAATTTTCCTTATCAAATTAATGATCCTACTATTTTTTCTATTTTGATTAATTAATTGATTAGGTGCATTAAGTCAGTTTTGATTCTTGATGACCACATAAATAGACTTTCTCCAGGGTGATCCATTTCTGTTCCTAACCTGGCCCTTCACTGCATTGAGTCCATCCAACTTGCTACTAGTCATACTTTTTTCTCATTCATTTTTTAAATGAATTCTTGAATGAGGGGTTTTGATGCAACCTCTGTACAGTTGTTACTGTACCCAGGAAATCAATTTATCTAACATGTAATAGAAGTTGGATAGTTACCAGATAACAATAATTCATTTCTCTCCTAGTTTTTAGATCCCAAAGATGAAGAAGGGGATACTTATATGGACACAGATGAAGAATTCTGTACTGGCCGGGTCACTCTTTTCAATGGATCTGGGCCTGCATATTTTCACAGCTATCTCTACATGAAGGGTAAATAGTTTTCTCAGTTCCATAACTAAATTCCATGAATTTAGCAGGTTATATGCTTCTGCAATCACTCATCTTAAGTTGGTACATTCTTTCTTCTCTCTCTCTCTCTCTCTCTCTCTCTCTCTCTCTCTCTCTCTCTCCTCTCTCTCTCTCTCTCTCTCTCTCTCTCTCTCTCTCTCTCCTCCCCCTCCCTCCCTCCCTCCCTCCCTCCCCCTCCCTCCCTCTCCCTCTCTCTCTCTCTTTTTTTTTTTTTTGCTACTTGGTCCTGTATTCATTCCAGTATAAAATATATCTTTTTAGAGAGGGATATTTTTCTAAAGTTGTTTCTAGATCAAGTTTCTAGATCACCTTTATGAATAGATAAACTGGGTTTCATATTAGAATGAAGAAGGTCCAGATATTTCTTTTGTATACATATACAGCCCTCCAGGTATTCTATAAATGCCCACAGGTATTTTCTTCCTCTCCTCTCCTTCCTGCCATGTGCCAGCCTCCTATCCAACCCCCACCCCACATATTATATTCTGGCTATTTTTTCAGGGCTGTCCAGTGGCTTTTCTTAAAGTTTAAAAACCCTTTCATTTGTAGCTAGCTCTAATATTATCAAATTACTTGGCCAATAGCCATAGGCACCCAGTGAGATAATGTTCTGACACCAAGATGATGCTTCCCACTCCCAATCTAGGTTTATAATTAATTTGCAATGCTTTCTCCATCCCTTTCCCAAGCAGCTTCAAAAATAGTATACGGGGAGGCTAACTTATTTCTGTGTATCATACTTCTGTGGCTGTGGCTAAAGTGAAAACTACATAATTTACCTGAAAGGAAGACAGCCCTGAACTTAAGATGAACTCTGTCTTAAAGGGTAAAGCAGACAGGAAAAAAATAATTTGTCTTCGTTACTATGTTCTCTGTGAATCTAAGACACTCCTCCCATTTTAGAGATAAGTTTTTTTCAGGACCCTAGATCTTCAGGATTTCCTAAAAGAGTATATGTTGAGCTTTGTAGATGGGGGAATAAATCCAGATTCTGTACTCTTGGCACATTGTTTTTTGTGAGCCATGTTTGCCCAACTGTAGCAAGCTTCTTCTATAATAACTATAATAATGGTTCAAAATTGCTAACAGCACTAATACCAAAAAGGCTTCCCCCCCCAAAAAATAACAGCAATCAAATTTATAAGTCCTTTGTGTTATAGGAAAAAAAAGAACAGGAAACTGGTATAGTGGTTTATGGGGTTTTTTTTCTTTTCTTTCTTTAAAAAATACCCCTATTTCCCTTTTCAATAAAATCATAAATAGTACAGGTGTAAGTAAATTGTGGGATGTAAGTTTTTATTTTTATATTGACAATCAGAGTGAATTGGAAGCTATTCCCATTGGTTTATTGTTATGGATGGATCACTCCCTGTTGGCCTTAGAATTCTCCATGTCTGTATCCCACCGCAGGAGGTAACTGCTATTCTGATTGCGCAATAGAGCCTTTCAGTCCCATATGCATATTGATTTTTGTACCTTCTTCTTTTTATGGGCTTAGTATTTTTTTTTTATCATGATTCATTGTCAGCTTCCAAAGTCACAGTAGTGAGGTGAACAGCCATACAGATTGTTTAAATAATAAGTAGATATTAACTATAGTTATAGGAAGTATTTCATTTTTTAGGGCAATCTTACAGTCATGGGCAGAAATAGGAATCTATCATTATCTTGTCAGATTTTTCCAACTTGGTTTCTTTTCCTTGCAGGGGGGTTGATGAACCCCTGGAGGCGGCGTTGGTGTGTCCTAAAAAATGAGGCCTTTATGTGGTTCCGAGCCAAACAGGAGGCCTTAAAGTCAGGCTGGCTTTATAAGAAAGGAGGAGGCATGTCCACATTATCTCGACGGAATTGGAAACGGCGCTGGTTTGTCCTGAGAGAGGCCAAATTGATGTATTTTGAGAATGACAGTGAAGAAAAGCTGAAAGGAACAATTGATATCAGGAAAGCAAAGTACGGGCAATACTATTATGTCTCTCCTTTCAAGGAAAACAAGGCTCGACCATTTAACCTAACTCATTATTTTACTTCTTTGTTCACTGTTGGAAGGAAAAGAGCAGAATTCTCAGCAGCCTGGTCTTTAGAGAAATAATTTTAGGATCTAAGTCCCAGAACACTTCAAACGTAGCTCAAACGCTGTGAAAGAAAATTGGCATCTCTCTGAAGGGGCATATTTTAAACTTTTGAATTCCAATGTTCTCATTCATGCAAAATTGTTCTTCTTGTCTGAAAATTCTCTATAGTCAGTTTGACTCCTATATTTCTCTATGATATTCATTACTTGTAAAGAGGGCTCTTTACCCTCTTGTTCCTTCTAACTTTCCATTAACTCCATCTTTCATGTTAGGCTACTTTCCTACTCTTATTTGGATTTTTCTAACCACTTTTTCTGGGGAAAAAAATCAGCCTTGAGAGCTACTATATATCCCCAAACTATCCAAATGTAAGGAGCTGGTTGACTCTGTTCTAAACATTTACCAAAAACTAATATATTATCATTAGTCATTTTGAGGTGGAAAACATACATAGCAATATGGAGGAAGTGCTAAACTAATGATACTACTAACTGTGATATCATTCTGAATTGTTTAGTCGCATTGGTCCTTGGGAATATCAATTTTTCCAACAGTTTATAAATGCTGCTGGGATATTGCTGTTCACTTACTTCACGTGTTGTGTCTTATTCCCCATGCTGCTCAATATGAAATTGCTGGGAGACATCAGGCGTTTTAGAATGGGGCATTATTAGTATTTTGATGAAACTAATTTCTACTATTCCTTAATCCAAGGAATCACTTAAAACATAAAGGTAAAGGTTCCCCTCGCATATATGTGTTAGTAGTTCCCGACTCTAGGGGGTGGTGCTCATCTCTGTTCCAAAGCCAAAGAACCAGCGCTGTCCGAAGACATCTCCGTGGTCATGTGTCCAGCATGACTCAACGCCAAAGGCGCACAGAACGCTGTTACCTTCCCACCAAAGGTGGTTCCTATTTTTTCTACTTGCATTTTTTACGTGCTTTCAAACTGCTAGGTTGGCAGAAGCTGGGACAAGTAATGGGAGCTCACCCCATTAACGTGGCACTAGGGATTAGAGCCGCTGAACTGCCGACTTTTCGATCGACAAGCTCAGGGTCTTAGCCACTGAGCCACCGGGTCCCTTCATATAGTTATATATAGTACTTCATATTACCTGCATTTAATAATGGTAAGGTGAATTAGAACAAGTTGAAGTTAAATCCAGACAAGACAGTGGCACTGTTGGGAAATATGAAACTGGGCTTGGAGATTGAGGTTCAGCCTGATTTGGATGCGACTATCTTCCCAGTCTTAGAAAGCTCCTTGATCTTCAGTTGTCGTTGAATTTGCTGGTGGCTGCTAAAGCAAGAAGTGCTTTTAGGTCCCTGACTATGAAATGTTTGCTTAACCCACACTAAAATCTCCTCTGTTGTTGTTTCTTGTACGTTTGACCTTGCCAGGAAGAGGAGCTCCAAACTTCCTTAATGCCAAATGTGCCAAAGAGAAAAAGGCTAAAGTTTATTGGATATCTTTGGCAGTCTGGTTCTTAATGCATGGTCTTTTGCAGGGAAATTGTGGATATTCACGAGAAAGAGAATGCCCTGGATATTGTGACAGGTGATCGGGTTTACCATATAGTGGCAGAGTCACCAGAAGATGCCAGGTAAAACAAAAGTTGTGTCTGTCTCTGAGACTTTTCTTCTGCAGCTCCAACTCCTAGAAATACCAACTGTTTTTCCCTTTGTGAAGCAATAAGATCCTCCTTGCAACCAATTCACAAGCTCCATTGAACTGGCATAGAAAATGTGTAATCGCTGCTAAAGTAGCACATAATTGCAGACACTACCGCTTCTACTGTATCTGTTGCTATATTGTGATTCAAGAGTCAGAAGATTACTCAGAAGACTTAATATCTGAATATCTGACAGTGAAATATAGTAGTAATGTCTGCTTACTATGTAAAGCTTTCATTATCTGAAGGTACTTAATTGTATCTGTTTGTGCCGTATTATAGTTTAAATTGGGTGATTTATTTAATGAAACTGATACATTAATGGCCTTTTTTAGTCTTTGTGACTTGTATGTTCCATGCCACAGCTTCAGACTGTACTCAAACTGGCCCCCACAATTGGCTTTTTCATAAGCTGTATTCCATTCCAAAGTAATAACTTAGCTATAACTATGCAGACATTTATCCTATGACTGCAAATATATCCTACTTATCTTGTGTCAGACTATGAGAACAACATATGATACAATCTACATTGAAAGAATCACATTAAGTCCTTCTAAACGTTGTTACATAGCAGAACTGAGAAAGACCTGTGCCCAATATCTTGGAAAATCACCATCTGTCAGTGACAAATTATCACATACATTTTCTTTTTTTTTTCTTTTGACTTATTGTATTATCTAAATCCAGGCAGTTCGTTGGTTAAATCACAATTGGCTATATCCAGCAGCTTCTGATTTATTATTCATGATCACATTCACTAGCCATAATAGAAAGCAAAACCTGATGAATGTAATGGTTGAATTTAGAATAAACTAGTATATTCTATAAATGTTCCATAGAAAACATACAGCTAGCATTTAATAATTGGTTAACTTTGTAGGAAACATTCGGGGGGAATAATTCCACATGATGATGTAATGATGCATCTGCCTGGTAAATTACATACGCCTGGCATTGCTGGCCATCTAAAATGGATTCTAATTATTTATTATTTTATTTTGACAGTGACTGGTTTAATGTCCTAAGTCATGTGCATAGTGCCACAGAGCAACAGCTGAGAGAAATGCAAGATGAACAAGCCAATCCAAAGAATGCGGTGGTGAGCAACAATTAGGAGAACATCCTGTTGGAAAGATTATGTTGTCTCTCATGAATTCAATATTGACTATATCTTAGTGATATGGTTGCTGCTGATCAAAGTGGTCTAATTGGCATCTCATAGAATCGCCATAGAACATCCAGTCCAAAACTGTAAAGTAAAATCTTTTGGGCACCAGGAACTGATTCCATGGAGAGATGTTTTTCCACAGACTGGAGGGGGCATGGTTTCTTGTGCTGCCTGCATCCCATGGATGGGGCTTTGCTTATTTGGGTGGCCTGGTTTCTGGCAGGCGGCAGCCCAGTGCCACTCCACGTATCTGGAGTTGGAGACCCCTGCTATAGGCAGTGTAAAATGCAGTAGATTCTCTGGAAATCGATCATATATTCTTTGGTGCAACCTCTGTACCTGGCACAGAAGTTTGTATGTCAGTCTGATACTGTGTATGGATGAAAGGATATTTGGAGTTCCTAATATCCCATCTTGAGTGGAGATAGAGGCAGGGCACAGAGTGCTTAAATTCCACTCATTTAAGAAGCCAACTAGCTACTAACCACCTTGGTCATTATGGCTTATCTGAAACAAATTTGAGAAAAAAAGGCAGGAAAGAAAATATGAAGTTTTATAAGTATACCAGTTGTATATTTACTATTATAACTTCTTGTTATTTTAAAGGGAACCCTTGATGTTGGGCTTATTGATTCTGTCTGTGCATCTGATAATCCTGACAGGTAAGCTTTGTATTTAATTAGATTGTGATTGTTTTCTCATTGGTTTTTTCCTTCTATAATTTTAACATTACTAGAGTATGGCAGCATTGCTATAGGGAAATATATTTAAATTCATGAATCACATATTTAGATAAACTATAATTGTAACAAAGTGCTGCTTAAAGTGTCTTCAGCCATTTTAAGTATCTTTCCAAGGGCATTGGTGTTTTTTAGTGTGTAACCATTGATGTCAAAACCTACTGCTCTCCTCTTAGTAATATTTGGTAGCCGTAGTTTATAGTTCTGCTGTTAGGACCATTTTATTCCTCAGCAGACTATTTGGAACAATTTGTATAGTGTGTAACCCCTCAAATATGCATGTTTGAGAAGCATATTTGTACAATTCCCCTTCCTGGGGTGGCTCCCTTCTTCTGCAGAGCAAAATAACTTTGGTCTGCAATTTGATATTCTTTTAAAAACTTGGTTTTGCCAATGGGCATGGGAACCTCCAGAGGATACAGAGCCCATCAGGTGGTTGGTTTGATGGTTGGGGGGGAGGTGGTATTGGGTTTTGTGTTGGAGTTTTATTTCTGTAAGCCTCCTACAGAAATAAAAGAGTCACTGCGAGTTGGGAGGTCATATAGTTTTTCTTAATAAATAAATAAAATAAATAAAATAAATGAATAAAATGTTACACGTAGCAGCTAAGACTGTCCTTGTACTTCTACAATCATCCCATAGTGATGAGTGGCTTTTCTAGATGGAGTGAACTTTGAGCCCTTCACCATATGCACCTGGAGAGGAGGAGGAGGAGGAGGTCCATGTTGGTCTAAATGGCAAAAAATTGGTAGCATCTTTTGAAAAATAAAATTTGATACAAAAGGTGCTATAGGACTCCTGGTTTTTTTACATCCTTGAAAAAAGAAGCATAAATTTATCAATAAAAATCAGCTTAGATTTGGATTTCAGAAAAGTGTTATTTTAAAGGGTTTATAGCATTGATTACAATGAAGCAACTAAATAAACTGAGATGTTTTGATGGTAGAGGCATACTTTTTATAATAGAGATCTATGTTTAAGCCCACAGTTAAACTGTATGGGCAAGGGAGAGTCAATGCAAGTTATCTTGGCCATGTGATTTGGTCAAGACAATCCATTTTATCTGATTCTCTGAGAAGAATGTCTAAAAAGGAAGGAACCTGTGTTAGAATGCTTGCTATGCTAAGAACATAAAAACTAATGGACTGGATCAGATGATTGGATTATCTCAACTTCCAGGTTTGTTCAGTGACTGTGACTGTGGTAAGCCTAGTAGCAAGGCAGGAGCTCCATATTAATATTAAATTCACATCTTATCTTTCCCAGTTCCTGGTATTTACAATATATTGGTATTCCCCCAATAATGGAGACAATACTAAATATACTTTTTTTCCAAATGACAAGGTGGAACCTTGTATGTTTTCTTCCTAACTGTTTAGTCCGGGACTGTCAAACTCGTGGCCCATGAGCCAGATGCGTCATGCGCTGGCCACAACCACACCCAGTTTAAAGGAAAAAAAGTCATGATATGTCCTGTGACGACACAAGTTTGACACCCCTGGTTTAGTCTATGGGAAAGTATTCTGCCTTTTTGGGCTTTCACAGATTATTTATTTGTGTATTCATTAGTTTAATGCCTATCAGACCAGAAACCTTTGTATAGCATGTTTGTGAACATCATAATCTCTACTCTCAGATCTGGGAACTAGAGCTGTTCACTTCTTTTCCCAGGAAGTAAATTCTGTAAATGTTAAATAGGTGAGCACAGCAAGCTTTCTGTGGCAAGGATGAGATGAAGTACCTTCCTTCTATTTTGCAGGCCAAATTCCTTTGTGATCATCACGGCAAATAGAGTTATTCATTGCAACAGTGACATCCCTGAAGAGATGCACCACTGGATCTCTCTCCTACAGAAGCCCAAAGGCGAATCCAGGGTTGATGGGCAGGAATTTATTGTGAGAGGTAAAAAAATGAAGTTACAGAGATGACCAAGGCAGAAATAATCAGCTAAATCCTGAAGGTGCTTTTCCAAGAGGCAACTGGATTTTCTTGGGTTTTTTCCCTTGAAAACATTTCGCGTTTCATCCAAGAAGCTTCTTCAGTTTCTCCAGAACTGAAGAAGCTTCTTGGGTGAGAAGCACAACATTTTCAGTGAAAAAAACAAACAAACAAGAAAATCCAGTTGCCTTTTGGAAAAGCATCTTTGGGACAACCATGACCTGGATGATTGAGAATCTCCATAGACAATCAACTAAATCATTTCTTAGTGTGAAATGTTGAACTTCATGTTCAGAATTCCCAGCCAACATAGGTGTGGGAGCTATAGTTCTCTTCTGGAAGTCATCAAACATAGCTGAAAATTCCAACTGTCAATTGAAAAATTATCAGGATTTTGCTTATTTTACGCCCCGGCAAAGTGGGAAGATGAAACGTTCTGCTAGTAAAAAGATTCTTTTACGGTGCCGTTTTCATCCAGTCACCAGAGTAATAACAACAGCTCAATCTTCTCACATACAGAAAGGGTAGCCTTGGCAGCAGCTGGACACAAAGCAATCAATGGCCAGGAGAATTGAGACAATATCTTGACTAGAAGAGCGAACTATTAAATTCTGAGCCAGGAATTCATTGGGTGATCATCCGGCAACCTGCTGAAAGGCTCTACAGGGGGATTGTGAAGATTGCTATAAAGATACATGGCAGCTGTATATATGTTTGTATAAATAATACTGAACAAAACATGCTAAACTTAATATAAAGCTCCCTCCCTTGGTTGTTTTTGGGTTGTTGTTGTTTCTCAGGAGTCATGGGCATTTTGTTGTTGTTTGTAATTTTATTTATTTTTGATAGTTATTTAATAATCTGTGATACTGCTCTGCTATTTTGAACTTTTTATTGAAAGAATGTGTGAGAAGCTGGATTGGAGTTGCATAAAAACTCCAATCAATCAATCAATAGCTGCTTAGTTCAAGGAAATGCAACTTTGGGGGGGGTGCAATTATATTAATACAAATTCATATACTTAAAATATATGAAATATAATTATTTCCCATGGATTAATAATCTTCCTCTTTTGTCGCATTAAGAATGATTACTTGGTGGCAATTTTTAGAGGACATCATACTCCATTCTGTTGGAAGCCACCTGCGACCCTGGGAGCATCATATAGTACAATCTTAGTGCAATTACTTTACGTAGAAAGTCAGAAGGTGAAGCTAAAAAGTGAGAAAGGAAGATCCGATGCTTCACCACAGCCCCCTCAGCAACTAGGAGCACAGATGTACTAAAGGAGCACAAGTTTTTTGTTGCTGAGTTCATGGATCCTGTATTTTCTGTCAGGGTGGCTACATAAGGAGGTCCAGAGCAACAGCAAGACATTGTCCCTGAAGCTGAAGAAACGCTGGTTTGTATTGACCAGCACTGCCCTTGACTATTACAAGTCTTCCGAACGCACCGCCACCAAGCTCGGGACGCTTGTTCTCAATAGCCTCTGCTCAGTGATCCAGCCTGATGAAAGAATCTTCAAAGAAACTGGTAAGCACTATCTGTGTAAGCAAGTTGCACGTTCTTCTGACATCTGCAAAAACTTAGGTGGATTTTATTGCATTCATTATGTGCACTTATAAATAGGTGGAAATGTGTCTGCATTTATAATTGGACATGGGTATAATTAATGCGTTGTGGGAAAATGCCTGTATGCTCCATGTAGAGCAGAAATAGGCAAATTTTTATTTTATTTATTTTAAAATGTTTAAATAATAAAATAGATTGCTACATAAAAAGGAAAAAAGGTGAGAAAGTACATAGTGCATGAAAAATAATACCGGTATTAGTAAATAGAAAATTTACAATTGTTATAACATTTAAGGTTGATTAACTGTTCAATTAAATATATAAAATTAAATTCATCATCTTCAGAAATAATTGTAAATCATTAAGTGCGCATGAACTTATGAAAAACAAAAATGAAAAATTAATACTAAAAAAAATCCTTGAATAGCAGAATGTCAGAAGGTGCTGGTATAGCCAACAGATTTCACAGATATTTATGATAAAGAAACATGGCAAAATTAAAACTTAAAAGCATCTATTGTAAAGCAGCTTGATGTGAACATGGAATTCCATAAAAGCAACAATGAGTCCAATATTGCCTTTAGCTATAACTTCGTCCTAAAATACCTTTTACTCTGGATACAGTTATTGTAGAAAAAGTATAATTATGTTGCAGATATGTCCAGACTCTAGAAATAGACTAAATCACAGTTTGTTAAAATATGGGTAGTCCTCAATTTATGACCACAATTGAGCCCATAATTTCTGTTGTTAAAAGTCAGTTTTGCCTCATTTTATAACCTTACTTGCCTCAATTGCAGGGGTGAAATCCAGCAGGTTCTGACAGGTTCTGGAGAACCAGTAGTGGAAATTTTGAGTAGTTCGGAGAACCAGCAAATACCATCTCTGGCTGGCCCCAGAGTGGGGTGGGAATGGAGATTTTGCAATATCTTTCCCCTGGAGTGTGGGGGGGGAATGGAGATTTTGTAGTATCCTTCCCCTGCCACGCCCACCAAGCCACGCCCACAGAACCGGTAGTTAAAAAAAATGGATTTCATCACTGCTCAATTGTTAATATCACTGCAGTTAACAAGTTAGTAACCCGGTTGTTAAGTGAATCCAGCTTTCCTATTGATTTTGCTTGTCAGAAGGTTGCAAAAGGGAATCACATGATCCTGGGATATGTGCCAGTTGCCAAATAGTTGAAATTGGATCACATGATCATGGGGATGTTGCAAAGGTTGAAACTGTGAAAAATGGTCATATGGCACTTTTTTTTCAGTGCCATTGTAACTCTGAACGGTCACTAAACAAACTCTTTAAGTCAAGGACTACATGTATATGCTGATAACCATAAGGACAACTTCAGCTCAGCTAAGAGATACATGCCAATCAGTAGTGGGTTTCATTCATGTATGTATGTCTTGTTTTTACTTGGGCTGTGCACCGCCCTGAGTCCTATATTGGAGAAGGGCGGTATAGAAATTTAAACAAACAAATAAATAAATAAATAAATTTACCTTCGCTACCGATTCGAACTGTGAATGTGCGCTCGTGCTTGGCGCTTCTGCACATACGCAGAACCTTGTGCGCATGTGCAGTGTCCATGATGATGTACGAGTGGGTGGGCGGAGCCTCCCACCACTGCTGCCCGTTTGCCCGAACCGGTAGAAACCCACCACTGATGCCAATAATATCAGACTAGGGAAATGAAACCTGGGCGACACGCAGCGCTGGCTAAATTAACAGGTTATATCAGAACAGTGGGTTGGTGAGATCTTACGCACCCATATTCTCACATATCGTTACTTGACTTGGTTCAGGCATACAGTCGGTCTTTCTTTTATATATTCATTCACATTTAGAAAAACAGAACAGACTTTTACATTTACCTTGAATGCCAGGTTAGTAGAATGAAGTTCCTTCCCATCCAGAGGAAATTAAATTGCTAGGAGAAACGGTTTGCTCTGCTTCTCCTAACAACTTGCTTACCTTCCATGCATGGCTAGAAAAAAACCCAGAAAAAATAATTAGATCTTAGCTCTGCATTCATACTTGAGAAGCCCAGATGTTTCTTGAACCAATATTGTACAAACCTGCATATCTTAATATTTCATTCACTGGTTTCTCGAAGCAAAGCAAGTTTCCATGTTCAATGAATGATGGAGCAGTCCTAATCAAAGAGGTTTTAATTAACATTCTGATAGCAGAACCAATAGCTTTCAGAGCCTTTGGGCTACACAGTTAACATGACATCACACTGCAGTTGGACACAACATATTGCCTTCATGTTTTGGCTGAGTAGCACCTCTTCCTTTCTTCTCCGTTGCCTTGCTTGTTATTTACTGGTCTGAAACAGTGACACACTCATCTTGGTTCTGTTTGTGTCAGCAGGTTACTGGAACATCACTGTGCATGGCAGAAAGCATTCATACCACCTCTACACAAAGTTATTGAATGAAGCCATGCGCTGGGCCTCTGCCATCCAAGGAGTCATTGACAGCAAAGTTCCCATTGAAACACCCACACAGCAACTTATTCGTGACATTAGGGTGAGTTCTACAAAGTCTTAATTGAGTTCTACACAGACGCCATAATTTAATCTCCTTCTGGATATGAACATAACTCCAGGGTCCTGACCAGCCTTTCTTGTTTTTAATCACAAATGCATTTTTTAATGTGTGAACCCTCTTTATTCCTATCCCCATCACTAAATCAGGGACATTTGATAATATTATACAGCTACACATGCATTTTTCACCACTTTACCTACAGTAGTAGATCCTTCATGGTATGTTAGACGCATATATGTACAGCATAATAAAGGCTGCATATTATGTTGCATCAGCGGCTTAAATCATTAGTACATCATACATGTCACATGTAGAAGATGGCTGGTTCAAATGTAATTAAAAGTAATGACCTTCCAACATTAACAGTAATATTTTCTCTGGAAAAAAATAAAACTTATTGTTAATGGACCAATGGGGGGCTGGTTTTCGGTACACCCTGTATATTAGGAGGAAAAAAGGCAAAGCCACTGGAAGCATCTCTGTCACTCTCCTTCTCTCTCCCTGCCCCCTTCTGTTTACTTCAGGAAAATAATACTAATTCTGAAGTGGTAGAACAAATCTACCGAAGGAATCCCATTCTGAGATACACCCAACATCCCTTGCACTCACCACTGCTGCCACTGCCTTATGGAGATGTTGGGATCAACAGTAAGTAACTATGGCTTTGACATTTGAGGAACCAAGTCAGAAAGTGGAGGGGAAAAAAACAATTGTCAAAATGTAGCTGGTGAGAGGGCAAAGTTCTGGAGTATCAAGCCTCATATCTAAAAGACTGTAAAAATGAGCAGTGCAGTCCAACAGATACTTGATTAAAAAGCAAAAGATCCATTATTTTAGTGAGACAAATTCATAAGTGTACATAAGCAAAAAAACCAACGTTTTTAGTGCTGTTGCCTTTAGATTAAGCATGCAAAACTGAGTTTATTCAGTAAATAGGATGGGGCACTCTTGTATTCACAATGTTAGAAATCATTACTATGCAATTAATAATAGCAATATTATTTAAAATATATCTTACCCAGACAGCCCTCGGGAATTATGCTGGTAATTTGGTTCCCTTTTCTAACTTGAATTAAATCAGTTTTATTATATTTCTTATTGCATCAATTATCTCCTTAGCTCAGATTGTCTTTTTCCTGCCTTTCAGAGCAGAGTAGAATCTAGTGCGTTTCCAGATGGAAAAGAGAAGGTGATGGAGAATCGTACATCGTTCTAGGAGAGCGATTATGCACACTATTCTGTGGGACTGCAGTGAATCTTTCCTATCTGGCATTGTCAGATCTGATAAATTTCATCTACCATAATCCCTTACAGTTTTAGACATCTGGTGGATACCAATTCAGAGAAGGCTAGAATAGACATTAGTAACTGTGTTGCAACCCCCTGAGGGGCATATATGTAATTTTCATAAGATTATTATATTTAAACCTGAAACTGCCTAACGAACAGATATTTCCCAAGGAGGTACTATACTGATTGTTGTCTCCCTTGCCTTGTTCTTGTGCCTCTTTTTCCCTTACAGTGCAGCAAGAGAAGGGCTACAGCAGTCTTCAGGATGAAGCCATGAAGATCTTCAACTCCCTTCAGGAAATCGAGTCAGTGTCTGACCCTATCCCCATTATCCAGGGCATCCTTCAGACCTGCCATGATCTCAGGGGCCTCCGCGATGAAGTCTATTGTCAGCTGATCAAGCAAACCAATCATGTGCCACAGCCCAACAGCCCTGGTAATCTTCACCACTGGCAGCTCATGACCTGCATGAGCTGTACCTTTCTTCCCAGCCGGGGAATCCTCCGTTATCTCAAGTTTCATCTCAAGAGGTAAGAGGTATTCTATGCGCACTCGTGCTTATTGTCCCTGGGTATAGATCACAGTTGAAAGTTAAAACTAGACCAGATTCTGATCCATGCTTTATGTCCTGTATATTGTAAGAACCCCAATGAGATATGCTTGCATTGCCTTTCTTAATACTCAATTACAAGGGTCCCCAAACTATGGGCCGTGGCCTGTTGACCACCGGGCTGTGTGAGTGGCTGGCCAGCATACGCCCATCTGCACCCTCCTACTTGCATTAGCATTACTGCAAGTGTCCCGTGCGCTAGCATTGCCGCGAGTGTTGTGTGGGTACTAGCATTGCGTGGGCACTAGTGTTGCCACTAGCGTTGCACATGCTCGAGCATCACCATGAGTGTCACGCTCACGGCCCTGTTCGCACATGCACAAGCACATGTAAAGGCGCCTGCCCCTCCCCCATCTGGGCCGCCAACCCAGAAAGATTGGGGAACAGTAGCCTTGGTGGAGCAGCGGACTAAAGTGCTGTTAAGTAGCACTTAGCTGCCAGCTGCCTGCAATTACTGCGAGTTCAAATCTCACCAGGCTCAAGGTTGACTCAGCCTTCCATCCTTCCGAGGTAGGTAAAATGAGGACCCAGATTGTGGGGGCAATAAGCTGACTTTGTATAAAAAAGAACACCGCTTAGGGGGGGCCGAAAGCCCTACTAAGCAGGTATATACAAAAATATGAAGGCTATTGCTTAATGCATTATAAGCCGCCCTGAATCTCCGGAGAAGGGCGGCATATAAATTGAACCAATAAACTCTGCTTTATTACACAGTTGTGCTCTTTATTCCCTGATGCTGTAAAAATGAAAACGGAATACTAGTCTTATAGTCAGAAAACGTTAAATACCCTCTGGTGCGAGATGCCCAAATTAGTATAATTTCTTTAAATCAAATGACAGAATTGTCTTGTGGGTGATAAGTAACTTATAAGTAACTTATGAATGAGTTTGGCTTCTCTTCTGCCATGTACAAACGATGTAAGGTTCTGAATCAAAACATGTTTCAAGACACTGTACCTCTTCTTTTCCCATCCCAGAGTAAAAGATCTCTTTCTGGGCACGGAAGTAGACCAGTATTCTCAGTTCATCACTGATTCCCTGAAGAGAACCAAGAGCAGAGAATTTGTCCCCTCCCAGGAGGAAATACAAGCACTTATCGCTCGGGAGGAAATGACCACTACTGTCTATTGCCACGGAGGAGGTTCCTGTCAGATCACTATCAATTCTCACACAAGTGCTGGGGAGGTAAGAACAGAAGTTTTTTTTAAAGTTGGGCTGTCTATGAACTCTATAATTGCTGTCTCTTCACTGATTGATCCAAGAAAGAATTACTGTATTTTTCGGAGTATAAGACATACCAGAGCATAAGACACACCTTAGTTTTTGGGGAGGAAAATAAGAAAAAAGCTGATTGGCAGGAAGTGGATCAGCCTCCCAGAATACCCGCAATTAGCTGTTCCCAGAGGTGAATTTTAGCAACAGCAATTTTACCAAAAAATGTGGTAAAATATATTGGAAATAGAAGCTCTCTCTTCCCTTCTGATCTGTAGGCCAGTTCCTTAGAAACCTGTCTCAAAATGTACATCCTTTGTCCAATCTGTTTGTAGCCTTTCCCAATCACGTCTTATTGCCCAATTCTATTGTTGAACAAAGGTAGAATAACTTGGTCAGGCTCAACTTTCCTACTTTCTTCCTCTACTTTCAGGTGGTAGAGAAGCTGATCCGTGGGCTGGCCATGGAAGACAGTCGGAATATGTTTGCCCTCTTTGAGCGCAATAAACATGTAGATAAAGCCATCGAGAGCCGGGTGATTGTAGCAGATGTTTTGGCCAAGTTTGAGAGGTAGGAAAAATCGCTATACTTGGACTTCTAGCGTGTAAGACATATCTGTAAAGTTGAGCGTCCATAGTGTGAAAATACCTGTACAAATTATTTAGGCCTCAGGCCCTCTATTTAAGTTTAGTCTTCATTTTTTGCTAAGAATTTAGTCTGTGTTTCTTGCTAAGAAGGCCCATTTGCAATACCATGCTTCATATATCTAAATCTGTACTCACACAGAGTTACAAATGAATCCTGGACAATGGAGGACAGTGTTTTTAAGCCCCCCCTTCCCAATATGGACCATATATTACCTCATTAGCTGTAATGGCTAAAGTCACTTGCCACAAGCAGTATCAACATCTCATAACCTGTCCCACTCATGCTGCTATTTGCAGCGATACAAAAATGTTGGTGGTGTACCACGTGCTGAGCTCTTCTAAACCTTGTGGAAGGAGTTGCAAGAAGTAGTTTTCAGTAACATTCCTGTGACATCTTAGTCGTCTTCTTGATCCATAATCCAAATGATCACCAAACTCTCCTATGTGTTTAGACTTTCTGGATCCATGGAAGAGGATGTGGACGGCCATTGGCAACTGTATTTTAAACTCTATTGCTTTCTCGATATTGAAAATGTTCCCAAGGAGGGAGTGGAATTTGCCTTTATGTTTGAGCAGGTAAGCCTTCCATGAGACAGACTAAGCAGCTAGATTCATACAACTTCATTGGGCCAAGGATGGATGTTGCATGTTATCAAATGATGGAACTAAACCAGCAGTGGGATTGGAGAGGCTTCCTTTTAGCCCAAGGAGCCTGTTCTCAAGCTGTTGCTGCCTTCTATGCAGCCAGTTGGAAAGGGGGCAATGAAGTGATGAAGACTTGCTTGCATTCAATAGGTAGAAAGCTTATTAAAAAACCAAACAGAATTGGAAAAGAAATAGGTGGGAATTCCATATTCCCTAAAATGGTATTTTTGATGCAGTTAGTGAGTGTATATGCTGCCAGGAGCATTGATCAGGACTGGGTTAGGAGCTGACTGGGCCCAGGGCCGGATTTAGATGAAAAGAGGCCCTAGGCTATTCCACTTATGAGGCCCTTTCACCTATAGTGAAAGTGTAATTTTAATTTTGCTAACAATTTGAATGTAGGCCCCTCTTGATCTTGAGGCCTAGGCTGAAGCCTAGTTAGCCTATAGGAAAATCCGGCCCTGACTGGGCCAAAGATTTTACGTCAACAGATCAAGTAGTTGGTGTTTAGATGGATCAGATTGAGATGAAAAGAATCGGCCTCCTTTGGCACATTGCTGCGAACAAACCAGATGGATCTACGTTACCTGAGAAAACAAGACACAAATCATTATATTGTAATTATGATAAAACGGAATTCCAAAGTCAGGAGACTCTATATGTTATTGAATATCTTACAGGTTTTAATCATAATAGCTGCAAGCTCACATTTTGCACATTTCAGTACTAGTATCACCTGTGAGGTATAGCCTGAAATGTGATACTTTTTACTATACCGCACTCCACTCCACTATAAACAAATATAAAAGGCTGGAAATAATTGTTACTTCTTACTTTTTAACAGGCGCATGAAAGTCTCATTGATGGTCACTTCCCCGGCCCAGAGGAGACCCTACAACACTTGGCATCACTGAGATTGCAGTATCTTTATGGGGACTATTTCAAAATCTCCTGGTCCCTCGACAGCGTCTATCCAGTGAACCGTCTGAAGTCGAAAATTCTGCAGTCAATGAAGAGTAGCGGTTCCAGCAGCCAAGTTCTGGAGAGAAGGCGGACTAGCTTCCTGGAGGGCACTCTGAAGCGTGGCTTCAAGACAGGCTCTGTGAAGAAGCAAAAAGTGGAAGAGGAGCAGATGGTAGAGATGTGGGTGAAAGAAGAACTGTCAGCAGCTCGGGCCAGCGTAACGGAAAAATGGAACAAACTGCAGGGGTTGCTACAGCAACAGGCCATGGTGGCTTACATGGCAATCATGAAAGAATGGTCAGGTTACGGCTCCACCCTTTTTGACGTTGAGGTAAGAGAGACACGGACGCATGTGTTGGGTAAAGCACTGTGATGCTCAGTAGCAGCACTATCTCTGTACATACCTCTACCCATAGCCCGAGAGTCCTCCTGATGTTTTGTGTTTTCTCCCACAGTCTGTTAATTAGTTTTGGTGCGTGTGTGAAATAATGGCCTCTATCCACCTGACATCTTCTAGTTCTGTGTTCCATTTGGACAAACAATCCAAGGAAGGAAACATAGCATGAAACAAAAGGTTTTGCCTTTTTAGTATTCCCAGCTGCCAAGGAAGGAAGGGAGGAAAGGAGGGACAAGGTAAAGAAGAAAACTGGGATGGCAATAAGGAAAAGAAGGAAGCTGAGGGTAAACAGTGCATGTTGGTGATTCTAGATTTGTGTTGTGAGATTCAGATGACACCTTTTGTATTCAGGATCATAGGAAAGTTACTTGGTTGCTGGAATCACCTGCTCATTTTTGTTTTGTGACTGGATGTGCCCACTATCAAAGTCACTTTGTGATCTAGCGTTCCCACATTGCTGGGTTTTAGTTTTTTGTGTCATGTGCCCAGGATATTTTTCTAAAAATTCCTTCTATGCCCCTTTGGTCAAAATGTCTGTAGATAATTCTCACACCTGAGTTAACAGTTTCTAAAGTACCTTTTATGCATGTTATTTCAGCATCTTTATTTTTTAAAAAAAATCTTACATTGTTGTGTTATCCCTATTAAGAATGGTACCTGTTCTTCAATAACTTGCTGAAGAACTTGTGTGATATAGAAGAAGCTCAGCAGAGAACTGGAGAGTTCCAGATTCAAATTTTCACTTGGCTGCAGAAATGTTCAGCACTAAGCTGGGATTTTAACAGGGGTGGCTTCTTTCACAATTAATTGCTTCAATTACAATAGTGGCTGTTAATATATCACTTCTGAACACGGACACTTCTGATGTTCTGCCTGGATGAAGGACTATTTTTGTTGGGATAGGAAAGTGTGTTGAGTCCAGTTGCTACAGTTCGACACTAGATGGTATACAGAGCATACACACCTAAGCTAGTAATTTTTGGGGAAGGGGCTCTGAGAGACATCTTTAAATGATAAATTTGTATTTGCAAAACTTTTATTTCAAGTTCCATCTTCCTTCCCTTTCCAAAGTTCCCATTGCTCCTTTTCCAATTGATCCCACACATTTAATAACTCTTAAAGTGACATTAGTGGCTAGAAACCCTCAGCACAAAGCATAGCACAAGCTAAGGCCTAGATAATTTCATCTCCCAAAACAATTGGCTCTCTTTTTTCCTTTCTTTCTTTTCTTTTTCTTTCTTTCTTTCTTTTTTTTTTTTTTTTTTGATAGATGGAGACTTTTGTAGGTGAAGAAGTCCTTGCATTAAAAGATAGCATAGAAAATTTCTGAGTAAAGAAGCCATTTTAATTTAATACTTTTCACCTGTTGTTTTGAGAAATATTTACAAAAAGCACTAGTGGTAAAAGACAAGGGTTGAAGGAACCTGAGGCTGGAGCAGGGAAAAGATCGGTTTATACATCATGTACTTCCTGTCAATTTTGGCCAAAAGCAGTTTCCTCAGTTATACCATCCCTGTTTGCTAACACTTCTTGGTTCTTTTCTTACAGTGCAAAGAAGGGGGCTTTCCAAATGACCTTTGGCTCAGCGTCAATACAGAGAATGTGTCATTGTACAAACGGGGAGAGCCAAAGCCTCTGGAAACTTTCCAGTATGAGCAGATTATCTTCTTTGGAGCTCCCCAGCCCAACACCTTCAAGCTGACTGTGGATGAAAGAGAGATGTACTTTGAAACGACCCAGGTACATTTTTGGGCATTCTTGTCTCAAGAATTTAAACAGCTCAAAAATAACTCTTCTAAGGCAGAATGGGTTAGACCAGTGGTTCTCAAATATTTTGGTCACAGGACCCCTTGACATTCTTAAAAATGATTGAAAAGGGATTCTAGTACAGTAAACCTATCAATATATGCACTGTACTAGGTATTAAAACTGAGAAAGGCTAGAATATTTGATTTTGCAGGCCTCCTGAAAGTGTCTCAGTGACCCTCAGGAGTTCCCAGACCATACTTTAAGATCAGCCAGGCTAGAAAAAGTATCAGGCAGAGCAGCTAATTATATAACTTCAGTTGGAAAGTTAGGTGGCTGGTAAGAATATCAGGCAGTCCCTTCATAGACCATGTTTTCCTTCTGTTATTTGCTCCACGTTCAGAGCAGGAAACAAGCTACGAATATAATATTTAATATTTAATATATCTTTGGATAATCGTGGATAGATCAGCAAGGGCTTCTGAATTTTTGAGCAATAGTGAGAAAAATAATATTTTAAAACTGCCAGAGTCAGCTTTCTCTGAATACTTTTTTTGTGAATGAGAAGGGGAATTCCTTTTCTAAGATGATAATAGCTGTACAAATGAATTATTTTATCTCTTTCTTTATACCTCATATCTCAAGCTGTAAAATGGGCATTTTAAGCAGTTACTAAAACATTGAAAAAAGGTAGAAATTTAATAAAATAAGCACATAAAAACTGTTTAGCAACGACAGTATCAGGACAGAAAGCTTTAATTGATTACTTTATTTAGCCACTCTAATACCTTCCATGTGTGTGTTGATTTCATATTCTGTTACTTCCAGCCAGTGCTATTGTTATTTATGCTTATTGGAAATTATAGATCTACAAATCAGTACATATCTGGGAAACCCTAAATTGCGCATTGATGGCTTACATTTCAGTCACAATCTAGCATAAGTCGTGGGGTTAGTGGTTAGACTGCAGTACTGCAGTGTGGCAGTTCAAGTCTCACCGGCTCAAGGTTGACTCGGCCTTCCATCCTTCCAAGGCCGGTAAAATGAGGACCCCAATTGTCGGTAATACGCTGACTCTGTAAACAGCTTAAAAGAGAGCTGCGAAGGGGTATATAAGTCTAAGTGCTATTGCTATTTCTAGCATTATTGATTTGTAAAATATGTCTTCAGCTTGTCTTGGACCCTGTGAGAATCCACAGTGGTTTCATAGTTTATTAAAGGGGTGTGATAATTCTCTTTATTTCATTAGGTGGGAGAAATAATTAAAATCATGAAGGCCTACATCAACATGATTGTGAAGAAATGCTGTAGCATCAGATCAGCCACCAGCTTGGACAGCCATGGGAGTATCTGGATGAGGTGATTGGATTTGCAGAGTTAACTGTGCTGCTGAGAAGGACCTGTGGTGTGACTCAGCCAAATTTGTAGCAGATTCGTTTTGTAAGAAAACGTTACTCCGGAATTCTCCTTCCAGCATCTTGCCTGACAGACACATAAAAGGGTTAGGGTTGAACATCCAGACCTTTCATAATTAAAATTAGAACATCACAGGCTAGATCCTGAGACAGTTTTATGTGGGGTTTTCCTGAGCCCACTCTTGTGGGTCAGATCTTACTGCAAGGACAACGCAAGAGCCATTTTTTGCTTGAAAGATCATCATGTGAAAACCTTTTCTGCAATAAAAGCAGCAGGAGAGTTGCTAAGTTAATATCGGCAAGAATTCCACATCTGAGAGAGATTTTGTTAGCTCTTCTCCTTGGGGTGGAGCATGTGTGATTTCTCAGGAATGAGCTGCTACATCTCAACAGACTTCCTCTTCCCAAGACTGTTACTACTATCTCCAGTGGCTTCAAGCAATGACTTCAACTTCCAAATCAATTTTCAGTACTACGTCTGTAGGCTTGGGACTCCTGCTACATGGGAGATCAGCCATCACAAGGCTGCATTAATGTAAAGACATGGCGTTTGTTCCTTCTTGAAGTCCTTCGTAATTTTTCATGCTGCATGTTTGGGGAAAGTGCCACTTAGTAGAAAAATATTTATCTGATTCATTCAGAGGAGAAAATCAAATTTTATATTCATCTGTATGCTGCAAGTTCTCTTTCTTCCTTGGCAAGGAATTTGGACTTTGCAGTATTTTTTTAATGTTTTGCTTTTCTGCACTGCCAGCATATATAAGCAATGGGAAGAAGTGGTGGCAGAAATAGCCCGAGTGCATTCTCCTCTGGTCTGATGCCTCCTGGATACGTTGATGAAATTGTAACTGAATATAACTAAAGGCTGCCAGGCTAGAGACAGATACTCTGACCCTAAGGTTAAATGTGATTTGTGTAGAAAATAACACATTGGCTCATTTGCACTGAAAATAATTTTGAAAAATCTTAAACAAAATTCTGTGATAAAATGCTCTGAATTCCTTGCTAAGAAAATAGAGGCTCTGAACCCTCAATACTGTTTCTGCAAAATAAACAGGTTTATCTTCAGATCTAATTCATCTGGGTTTGATAGCAACAAGAAATAAAAGAAATTAGTGACATGATGAAGCCCCTATCTCAAAAGTATGAACATCTGGCGCGCTCTCGGTGCTGTCCAGAGGCTTTGGATTAAAACTCCCACGGCCCCTTTCTTCTGTCTATGGCAGCTGAGTCTAAAAAGAATCAAAATATCAGAGAGCACAATGTTATCTAGCCTCTGTCCCAATGTAAGTATTATTTCAGAGTTTATAATTGAGACATCCAGGCTCTTGAATTGTGTGCCCCTGCCCAATCCTGAATTTATATTGCTTTCAGTCATAGTACGAATGTTTGCCACTCCTGATACAACTAAGCAACATTTCCCAGGCTGGGCTTTCTCCTGATGCATGAACTTCAGCTCTTGGATGTCCCAAAGGTGCTTTATTTTTTTCAAGAGGCAACTGGATTTTTCTTTGAAGACGTTTTGCTTCTTATCCAAAAAGCTTCTTCAGCTCCATGGACATTCAGCTCTTTTAGTTCCCAAGGCTGAGGAATGCTAAACTAGAGATGTCCATCTACCACCTTCTGGGAATTTTTCACGCTGCATGTTTGGGGAAGTGCCACTTGACAGCAAAACATTTATCTGGTTCGTTCAGAGGATAAGGTTACATTTTATATCCAACTGGGTGCTGCAGAATGTCCAGCCCTCCCAGAACCCATAGAAAATGGACCTCTGCAAAGGATTTCCCAAGCAGTGACCTTCCATTCCCTCCTGTCTCTGGGATTGCAAATGAAGAACATGACCAGATGAACAAAATTTCAGATGACCACAATTGCCATCTTTTCATTCTCTGCCGCAATGGAGAAACAATTAGAGACACCCCAAAATATTTGGTGCGTGTAATGTGATTACATTGGCGAGGCTAGGATCTAAACTTCACAATTCATCTCTCTATAGACATTGCCTTAATATGCCAGACTGAGTCCCATACAGTTGCCCTTTCTTGCATCTTTTCCATTTCTGAACATGGAACTGGGGAGACTGGTAGAAGAGACATGTGACCTTATTTTTTTGGTTCAATATGTTGACATGGATAGGCTTCCTCTCAACCGAGTGCCCACCTAATGGATCAATAATTTCCAGGCGCTGCAGCTGGCATGTTGTATATTGGAGCGTGCCAATTAGGTTTTCACACATGGAGGGCACCACTTGGAGGAAGCCTGGATTTCAATCTCCATGATATAGTCCTCTGCTCCCTTGAACCTGCAATACTACTGTACTGCTATATCCTGGCTCATGGGTTGCTGCAGGCAGCTGAAACCCAATTGGGAATGTAACAGACATTAATTGTATTGCAGATTTATTTCTGCACTTCTTTGTTTAATTTGTAACTGGCTTTACAAAACGGAGGTTTAATAAATTATTGATTGCATAATTATTTTCCTTTAGGGGTTTTCTTTTTTGTTTTGTTTAAAGACTTGGTTTGAAGCAATGAAATACTTTGTTTCTTATGATTCCTCCCCCCTCTTCATCATAATCAACATTGCTTTTTAGAAACTCCGAAACATTTATTACACCTAATTCTAATTTGGTAAGAAAAAATGCTTTGTGATCAGGATTTGACTGAGGATATTAAAACAGCTCTCCCTGGACCATGTTTTGGTAATTTTTAAAAAATCGCTTCCGGGGAAGAATAATTCACACGTGCTTCCTTAAAATGTTATAATTTTGTTGATTTCCCATAGGATTTGCTTAACCTTATCTAAACTACTGAACAGATCAGCCTTATGTGATCTGGCCTCATCCAATTAAACTGCTCTATTTATAGTTCAACTTTTTAAAAATACCTTTTCGTAAGTTCTTAGAGTATTATGAATGCTCTTCTCAGTAGCAGCTCAAAGCAAAGTAGATAAAACGGGTCCTAAGATGAGCAAAATTTCAAGCTTCTATTTCCACTAACATTTTTTGTACAGAACTCTAAACTGTAATCCGTTAAATCACAGTAATGAATGACAAGGCTGCAAGATCAATGAGGTGTATGCACCTCATGATGGTCTTTTCCACTTTCTCTGCTCTAATTCTGACCTGGAGACACGGGCCAGGCTAAACAAAGGGGAACAAGTTCACAAGTCATGCAAGGCACAAGAAAACACGCTGTATGGTATAGATGTATATACTCCTAATTTGGTTGCCTCTCATTTTCCCTGAAAGACAGCTATTGATTCAGGGATGTGCAGGCAGAAAGACAGGCCTGTGGAAGAGGAAGGTGCCTTTGCTAATGGCAACACTATCAAGCAACACAAATCAGTGGAAAGCTGTACCGTCTTGTTAAAGCCACACTTTAAAGAAGCCACACAGCTAATATCCGAGAGGAAAATACTTTTTTTTTTATTTGAACTGTGTTACATGTTGCCTTCTGTCAGCACATGGAGGCTTTGCATCACAAAACCCTTTAGTAATGGGTTCTCATTTCCATCACTGGCCATCCTTTATGGGTGCTGAAGATGCACCCATAAATTTCATCATCGTTGTCATCACCAGGCAACTCTGGTCTACAAGCTATCAAAAGCATATTTTTATTCTACAAGAGCTCACAAAAGAAGGCACAGCAAATAGCAGCCAAGAACTAACATCTGGAGAGCAGCTCTAGCTATACAAATGCACAGCTTTACCAACATTTGGGAAATACACAGGGAAACCAGGTGTATTTTCTTCCAAGGAGTCATGGATTGGATTGAGATTAGTTTATTTGAACTCGGGGGAGGCCTCTTGAAATAAAAAGTAAATCATGAAACCCGCTGCAATTTAGTGAGAGAAATACAGAGACTAGATCTAATTCATGGCCCTTAAAAGAAGGTGATGAACAATCTAAGCAGTAAAATTGGTGAACTATCAGCTACAGGTGTATAGCTAAATCTGGAGAGGTTCTCAGGCAACTTTGGCAATAGAATTTTTGAGGAGGCAGGATGGAAGGAAACATCCCTGTCCTGCCTCCAGTAGGAAACAATTCTCAGTCTCATCCACCACAGGAAAGAAAGAAAAAAAGAAATATTCTCCTGCTCTATATAGCTCAGCTTTATTTAGGTCCTCAGGCTATGCTTCCCAAAGGCAGCCCAAAACTCAGCTCGAGTTCCCAAATATGGAAAGCTGCATTCACCAGACGTGTTCCTTGTTCTGGTCTTATGAAGGAACATTTTTCACCCTGTCTCCTGGCTGCGATCAATAGCTAAGACACACGCACAGACACATGGATACAAACACACTAACCAGGTCCTTGATCCTAGATTGGAAAGCTGCCAAGAAACTTTGTGAGGGGTTGAAAGATACTCCAGTCCCACTCCCAGCAGCAACAGCAAATGACTACTATTCTTCATGACTTGGGAATGGGGAGTGGACTGGGAAGCCTAGCTCCTAGGTGGGGCCTTCGCTCTCAGCCACTACTCTGCACCATCAAAAGCAAGGCAGTCAATAGTGAAGCTCCAGTTTGTAGTAGTCAGGATTTTCTTGTCCAACTCAGGCAAGGTCATCCCCATACAATTCCTCCAACACACAGCACACACAACACACCCTGGGGAAACTCAGCTAGAGTTTTCCTTCTGGAGGGAGGCACTGACAACCACCACTCCACAGCCCAAGCTGAGGCTGGTTTCTGTAAAAAGGAGGGGGTGGGGGAAACAGCTCGGGATTGCACACCCATCTCCCCTTCTCGGTCTGCTCAAGAACAAAACTCAGAACAGGCACATTTTGAACAAGGAGTGGCCGCAGAACCTAAGTTCAGGGACCCCAATGCCAGTAACTGCTACTAAGGGAGGAAAGTTGGCATTCAAGAAGTGAGGATTTTATGGTGGTGATTTCTAAAGCAGTCGAAAACTATTGAGAGGGTGGAGTACAGCACACTACTCCAATACGTAGATGAGATAGGCCAGCTATCATCACCTTTGCTCCTATAACTTCTACAAGAGAGAAGGAAGGAAATATTTCATCCTATTTTAAATAGGGAGCCACGTCCACTGGGTCTCTCTCTCTCTCTTATATATCAAACCTAAGTAGTGTTGGGTAGGAACTCAGAAGTCCCTTGGCAGGCAAACTACACCAATCCAAGGCTGGGAAGCGACAATACACATCTCTTCAACTCAGCACGGGATTCCTTCCCCAGGGCTGGACTGAGGAGTTTGCCAGCACAGCCACGTCACTACAGCAGACATGAGTTCCTGCCTTTCTCTCAAGATATGTTTTGCTTTTCCCTTCTTAACCTGCAACAGAGATGCTCGCTATGCTTCTTTTAGACAGCAAAGTTGTAGGTAGGGGATTACTGGGTATAATCCTATATATATTCAAGGAGCAGCAAAGATTGGGGAAAGCGCGCCTAACAGATTGTGTGTGTGTGTTTTGCATGATTCTCAAGAGGGAGCAGGGATGATATTCAAGAGCCTCTCAGACTTGTCGTTACTGGCATCCCCTTTTCTCTTGCCCACATCCACAGACGTGGAAGCTGCTGCTGTTTCTAGAGATCAGATGCTCCTATGCCCAGCCTTTCCTCAAGCAGCCGAAAGGAGATTTGGAGATGGAAAAGAAGCCTCGGTTCAAAAGCAAACCCTTCAGCCAGAGCTTCTGCCAGCCCTTTCTTAAGACATCAGCCCAAGAAAGTAACTTTCCTTCCTTGTGCTCAGATGACCAAAAGGCACCATGTGTGGCAAAACAGGAGAATAAAATCAATTACAGGTGAAAGATAGGCTCCCACCTAAGTGACAGATACATTTCTGGGCATGCTTTCCACCCTGCTTTGGCTTGGAGAATCTGAAATGCTTTCTTGCCGTATCTAATCCTGGCAGTGCTATTGGCACGGAGAGTACAAACTCTGTTGGCAAGAAAAGCTGGCTCCCTCCAAGGTTGGTGTGGAGGGTGGGGATAAGCCTGACAAGGAGCCACACATCACATTTACACAACTTCTCCCCGGACAGGCTCAGATATAAAGCCAGAGCTGTCCTGAGCAAGAGCATCAGCAACCGGTCCAAGGACTACTGGGAGAAGATGCCTTTGAAACGGATCTTATCCTCGTCCTCTTTCGCACGCAGGCGGGTCTCCAAGTTGCGCAGCTCCCGGGTTACCACTGGGGTCAGCGATGGATCCAGCTGCAAAACCTTGGCAAAATCAGCCTGAGCCTCAGCTGAGTTCCAGACGGCTGCATGAGCCTTGGCTCTCTTGAAGTAGGCTTTGACGTTATCTGTGGAGGAAGTGGCCATTTCAGTAAGCTAGGCAGGATACATGGCCTCTAACGCCAAGGACCCCTGAAGCTCTAGTTTCAGCCTTGATGTTTCTCCTCCCCATTAGACAGCCACGCTTTAGACTTCTCTATCTTTCAAACCCACCGTGGCTCTTCGGTAGCTCACAAGTCTCCTTACCTTCATACTTGTTGAGAATAGAGGAGCAGTGATCCAGCACTTCATAGTATTCCTCATTCAGCAGCTTACACTGACAGTAATTCAACAATAAAGGAGTGATCTGTTGGTCCAGCTGGATCCAGTCGGGAGATCCTGGCTGCTCCTATGGCATGGAACAAGAGAAAGGGAACAAAGCGGGGGTCAGTTGTAGCAACCTCTGCCCACAGGCCAGAACCCTCGTGGGCTGGCCTGGGACAGAATTTCTTGTGGTGGCAGCAAGGTCAAATCCACACACAGCCAGCAGAAGGGATAACTTGCTGCAGCCAACTTGCCGTGGCCAACTCGCCACGTCCAATTCGCCATGGCCAACTCACCGCAGGACAACTCACCATTGGATGCAGGAGAATTCAGCAATTCAATTTAATTATTTAAAATAATTTTAAAAATATTTTAATTTTTTTCATTCACATTCCATTTTGCCCTTCCTTTGGCATCATGAGTCTATTCCACTATTCCTTCGATATTAGTGTAAGTCTTGTCGTATGGCAAGTTGTCCTGAAGAAAGTTGGCCATGATGAGTTGTTCCGTGGTGAATTGGCTGTGGCGAGTTGGCTGTGGCAAGTTGTCGTAGACCCGGTGGTCAAGCCCTTAGGAAAATGTAAAAGATGGTAAATAGGAGGGAGAACCTGAACAGCCTGTCTTTTTTTAACAAGGATTCCATCACATCTTGCAATGGAATGATGGAAAAAAATTTCAAATGCCAATTTCTACAGGGAAAATGTAAGCCAGGGAAGGGGAAAAAACACATTGCAGATTTCATGTTTGCGCACCAGTCTGCTAGCATCACGTTAATGCTGACTCAGGAGCCTTTTCATGCGTGCGTTCTGATGAAGAGAGAAATTGTGCCTTCTTGACAAATTATGTTACAGAAGGCATTCTGGCTGCTTGTCAGATCCTGTCATGGTGCTGCATGAGTGAGGAAGAATGCTATTGCTTTGATAGGATTATTTGGAGGATACAATCCCTCTCTCCAATTGGAACTGAGCCAGGAGTGCCCCAGAGTAGCTGAGCAAAAATGGTTCCAATGGTTTAGCAGGGATCCTCTTTACTAGTGTGAGTATGCGCAAAGTGGGACAGCATGTAGGCACATTTTTTTCAGATGAGGGCACACCTGGAATTTGGAGGATACTGTATGTGATTACATGCATTCACAACAAGGCTGCCAAAAGAAAATTTTCTGGTAGCAAATACATTTTGGTGTCCAGAAATTAGCAAATTAGCCCCAATCCCAAGAAGTTTTTGTTTGGGTCCAAAGGTCTTGTTGCCTGACAACAATGCGAAATTTAATTTTGTAGAATACCAGTTTCCTTTGCATTTTTAAAAAATTGAATGATCTTTATAAACTTAGATAGGAAAGAAAACTTGGTGACCCCCAAACGATACACCTGAAGGCTTAGCACTACTCCTACCCCCGTTTCAGGCGCAATAAAACCAATGTTGAATAGCCAGGAGTCCATAGATCAAAAAGAAGAAATCTCATTCATAGACTGTTCAATCAAGGGCAAAGATTGTTCTGGCCAGGCCAAGATTTATGAAAGTGACCTAACTGACTACATTTGTACCTGCACAATGAAATGAGTTAGGAGTTCTGCTTAATCTAGGGTGGAAATCCCTCCCTGTTTTGGCATTTGCCGCCCTGACTGTTAAACAAGTGAAACCCCTAACCCTAACCTTACCTCCAACCCCCGGGGAGCCACACCATCACTCACCTTCATTTGCAGGTTCTTAAGGCAAGCAATTGCATCATAGTACTTGGAAGCCGCTTCTTGCACTTTGCCTTCCTTGTAGAGCTCATTGCCCTCCTGGTGGATCAGGGGCACAGCCTTCATCTTCTCCTCATCTGACATAGCCCATGGATCCTGTCGGTACATGCCAGGCCTTTCCACCTGGTGTGGCACAAGGCAACAAGCATAGTTACATGACGGTGCTAGAGAAAGCAGGGCCCTTAAGAACCAGTCTGCTTTGGTCACCCCAGGCTCTAAGGCGTTGGAAGAGAACTAATGCAATGGGTTGGGAAAGGCACTGAGGAGACCTGGATTTAAGGCCCTTTTCAGCCATAGAAGCTCCCTGGGTAAACCTTTGGCCTTCCCAATCTATCTCACAAGGAAGTTATTGTAGGGAAAAACGGGAAGTGGAGGTCCTGGGCATGCTGCCTTGACTCCTGGAGGAAAGGTGAGATATATATGTATCTAACGCAGTGTTTCCCAAACTTGACCCTTTGAAGATGTATGGACTTCAACTCCCAGAATTCCTCAACCAGGCATACTGGTTGGGGAATTCTGGGAATTGAAGTCCATGCATCTTAAAATAGCCAAGTTTGGGAAACACTGATCTAACGAATGAGTAGAATAATTGAAACGGTGTCTCAAAGCTGAAAAAGTTGACGTGGGATAAGAGGGAAAAGAAAGACTTGCATTACTTCAAACAGCTTCTTTCCCTCAGTGGGATAGCAAAAAGCATGCGGTCTTTCCCCTGAAAATAAGACCTGCTAAAACGATGGCAGAGTTATCTCATGCATTTGTGTAATGGGGGAAAAAAACATTCCCAACTTCTATCCGAAGGCATCTGTCTTCTTGCTTTGTGGAGCCATATACTCAAGTAAGCAAGAGGCTCCAAACATGTGAAGCCCAATCGCCGTTCTTGAGTCTGCCTAGCCCAGAGGACCTCACCTTTCCTTTCCCCTCACCTTGAGCACTTCAAAGGCAAAGATGAGGGGCTGGGGGTTCTGCTGGAGCTCATCAAGGTCTGAATAACCCAGTGAATGATGCTCGTGCATCTGGGCAATGCCACAGCAATGTCGTTGTCCCTCCAGAGGATCTTTCCCAACTGCAATGTTCCTCAGGCTCTTGGACACCATCGGATATAAGACCACATGCTGGAGAAGCAGGAGAGGGGGAGAAAAATGGCACAGGCAAGAGGGAATAAATGCATTTTCCCAATTCAGAAAAATGAATGACGTGGGCACGTTATAAAAGAAGGAAACCAAGTATTTTTTTACTCATTCCAGAATCAATACTAGATCAACATCTTTATATTTGAGCCACAATAGAAGAATTTGGGTAGGACCTTTTTCCTACTTCTGATGCTCAATAATGTTGTACACTGGAAAACTGTAATTCCATGCACACCATTCAGTCTGAAGAACTTGTTGCTTTCTTTTGTATAAGTTTAATTGGTAAGTGGCAAAGTTGCATAGATACATTTTACATCATTTTACTCTGAAGGGGACAAAGATGGACACTCTACATATAACACAAAAGTCATTGCTGCTCTTAATTCTGTATTAATCAGACCAAACCTAATATAGTGAATCAATTCTGGGGCAGTGGGTTTTAGAGAGGTCCCTGGCAAACAAGGGTATCCATAAGAAAACAAGCCAAGATGAAAAATGGCCTACAAGAAGAAACTTATGAGGAACCGTTTGAGGTGGTGGATATATTTAGTTCAGAGGAAATAATGGGGAAACCTGATATCTGTCTCCAAATGTCTAAAAGATCCTCCTGCAGAAAATAGGGCAAAGTTGTTTAGACCTGTTTCAGAATAAGAAAGAATATATTTAAATTATAAAGAAGATTTCAGTTGAGCATCAAGAAAATGTTTCTAACAGCACGGTTTAATAGTGGCACAGATTATCAAGGGCACAATGGAATTTCTTCTCCTGGAGTGTTGAGATGGCTATCTGTCTGTGATGCTGAAGTATGGATTCTGGCATAGTCAGAGAGTTAGGCTAAATGATCTCCAACAGTGGTGGATTTCAATTTTTTTTACTCCCAGTTCTGTGGGCACTGGCTTGGTGGGCGTGGCATGGCAGGGGAAGGATACTGTAAAATCTCCATTCCCACCCTACTCCAGGGGAAGGTTACTGCAAAATCCCCATTTCCTCCCGATCAGCTGGGACTTGGGAGGCAGAGAATAGATGGGGGCGGGGCCAGTCAGAATTTTCTCCAGAACTGGTCAGAACCTGCTGAAACCCACCTCTGATCTCCAAGACACTCTCAACCTCATACTGTAAGTATATTTTTTTAATTAAAACTTAAACAGGAAGGTAAAAGCCAACACAAACTGATGAATAGTAAGAAAAGACCAAGAAATAAGAAAAGGAAAAACAAGTGCAAGGAAAGGGGGGGTGGGGAAACAGGAAAGAAAAAAGATACAAAGGAACGGCTTTCAATATTCTTCACAGCGGTTATAAGTACAAATATATTTTGACCTTCCTCTGAAGTTACATCATGTTACTTTTCTTTCTATAATCTACCCTGTCTAATCATCATCATCATGTCGCAAGTTCATTTTTATGCGAAGTATAAAAAACAGGCTTTTCGTCAATAATAAAAGTAGGTATGTCTGTTTTCTCATCAAAGCCAACTATCCAGTTCAGCAAAATCTGACTACAGTAATCTCACTGCTGTGATCATATACTGAAATGATCTTCCAGGGTTGTTGTTGTTTTTTAACTCCAACCTTACATTGTAGGATTGTATGAATCCTCCGCCAAATAGGCATGAGAAATACCTTTGTGTCACACAAGAATTCAGCCACCTCTCCCTCCTGCATGCTGTGCAAGATGGTTTCCCAGACAGGCAGCTTGAATTTCTTGCCGAAGATCAGCTCCATAGGCTTGTCCCGCGTACGACTGTCATCTAGTACTTTCTGATCTGAACTGCAAAGCATGGTGCAGTAGTGGAAAGTAACCTGAAGAGAACCAGAAGCAGAGCAAGTGAGTAGGTCACCTCACCAATCTACCAGAACAGACTGCAGGTAGTCCTTGACTTATGACCATTTGCATAACAACCATTCGAAGTTATGATGGACCTGCCCAGCTATTTACAAACCATTTTCTAAAGTATGATGGTCATGTGATAGCATTTTGGGTACTTGTCATTTGGCTTACCTTTACCAACAGATTGCAACATTTTTTTGCTGGTTTCTGGCATTTATTGTTTGTTTCTGGCAAAAAATGCCCATTGGGGAAAATGGATTAATGACCATGGCAGTCACTTAACAACTATCCAAAAAAAAAAAAAGGTTGTAACTTCAAATCCAATCACATGCCTTGATTTAAAACCATAATTCCAGCCTCAATTAGAGTCATTAAGTCAAGGACTACCTGCATGTCAGATATTTTAACTCATTTGCAGTACGGAGTTCAATGATGTCGCCTTAATATAACATTGTCCACATCAGAAAGATACAGATCATTTAGTGAAAGTGAAAACACTATTGGGATTGTGCAATGCTTTAGCTCCCAAGCTGAAAAAATATTTCAGAGCACGCATAATTTTGCAATACCTTTCAGCCAATACCTTCTTTAAGAATCTTTAACTTCTCCTGAGTTCTAGCTTTCAAGGATATACATACACTGGCTGAGGCAGTGTATCCATGCCTACTCCGAAGCACCGTTATAATCTGTTTATCTCAAACGTGCAGTTTTCTTTGATCACTTGGCTACTGTACTAACCTTGGAAAAGAGGTGGCTTCTTTAAGGAAGTGGCAACAAGTATGGCATGCATACCCACATCTGTTCCAACTTTGGAACCATAAGACAGCATTTCCTGAAAAGCAACTAGCAGCGATTTTAAAAAGGACTGATGTACCGCTATGAAGAAATGGACTGAAGTGGCTGAGCGCAAGCATGTGTCAAATGGAAAGAAGCCCAGCTGGTTGACTGGGCTACCTACTTGCATCTCTGGAGTTGAAAAACACTACCTTGAATGTGGTGCAAAAAAACTTCAGTGGGAGTCACCTTCCCGACAGCCAATGCCATTGATTCCTACCCTCTGAAAATCCCAACATTGGGGCAAACATAAGCCACTGTGTGGTAGAAATAGTTCAATTCGGTATGTAAGAGGACAGCTCCATGCATACTTTCTCCCAAACTGATTCTAATCTTTAGGTTAGTTTGTCAGCCTGGGTTTCAGTTACTTAGATGTGCATGCAAAGAAGAAACTAAACGGAAGCTAATTAACAACAAAAAACTCTCCAAAAGTAAAGGTGCCTTTGAACAGAGGTTGATCCTTGAGCCATCATTTTCTTGGCCGTGAGACAAAACTGGCTCACTGCTAATTTTTTCCAGTTTTTTTTTTTTCCTTTTTACTTGCCAATTTGAACTAGGGCAATATTTTTCAACCTGGGCATCTTGAAGATGTATGAATTTCAACTCCCAGAATTCCCCAACCAGCAAAGGTGGCTGAGGAATTCTGGGAGTTGAAGTCCACGCATCTTCAGGCTACCAAAGTTAAGAAATATTGGTCTAGACTTCTGATCCTCTCTCTGGGTCTTTTGCCCCAACAGTAACCAGGCCCAATGAAGCTTAGCAACCAAACCCAGTCAAGATCAGCCAAATGTCATCTCCTCTGAAAATCTCTCCTAAAATCAGCAGTGGCAGCCTTCTAGTGCAGAGCCACCTGTGACCTTCCTAATTTTGTAAAACTAGCCAGCTCCGGCCGGCAGAGTCATTGGTCAGGGATGCTGGAATTGTCCAGCAACATCGAGGGGACTGCAGACTTTCCATTTCTACCTGGAGTAGGTGACTTCCCCCTTGCTAAACCCAGATTTCCCCTATTTTGTATCCTGTCAATGGGGTGAATTATTATTCTTACTAACCACTAAGCTATTCTCGCTTAATGACACGGATAGCTGATCAGATTTATCAGTGTATAAAGTGGGAACGAGAGCAACCTATTGACGTAGAGACGTAAACTAGAGCAGGAGCAAAGGAACGAATGGAGACAAATGTCCAGGTCTACAACCTATTGCGCACGCGCACTTTAATCCAATTTTTCCCCCTTCTAATGGCGCATGCGCGTTTTTCCGGTCCGGTTCCGTTATCTCCCGAAAAAAATAGCGCACGATCTTTTTCACCTTGGTACCGTCTTGATAATCAGGCGTCGGTCCCCGGCCTTCCTGCACCAACCGCTTCTGGATCCCATCCGCCCGGAGCTGCGCAATTTTGTCCTCCATGATGGCTTCTCGCCCGATTCGGCTTCGAAGTGTTCGTGGGATTTGAATGGCCGAACTCCCTCGTCTTCTTCCGGATGCGGTCGTCTTTTTCCGTATCCGGTTCTCGGACGCATCCGTTAGCTATCGGAAATTTTCGGAAAGACTCGGGCGGAGCGTTTGATCTAACTAAGGCAAAGAGGTAGGGTTTCCGAATGACGAGCGGACCGCCGGGAAGATGAATCTCTACTAAGCAGGGAGCTGGGACGTATTAGTATTATTCAACACTAAATAAAATAGAGTAGTGTTTCCACATGGGACAACATAGAGCAGTGTTTTCACATGGTCACCACACTATAAAAAAGATGTTGAGACTCTAGAAAGAGTGCAGAGAAGAGTTTAGGGGACTGGACGGTAAAACATACGATGAATGCTTGCAGGAACTGGGCACGGGCTAGTCTAGTGAAGAGAAGGACCAGGGGAGACATGATAGCAGGGTTCCAATATTTGAGGGGCTGCCACAGAGAGGAAGGGGTCAACCTATTTTCCAAGGCACCTGAAGGCCAGACGAGGAATAATGGATGGAAACTGACCAAGGAGAGATTCAACCTAGAAATAAGGAGAAATTTTCTGACAGTGAGAGCAATCAACCAATGGAACAGAAGTTGCCTTCAGAAGTTGTGGGAGCTTCATCACTGGAAGCTTTCAAGAAGAGATTGGACTGCCATTTGTCAGAAATGGTGTAGGGTCTCCAGCTTGGGTGGGGGGTTGGACTAGATGACTACAAGGTTCCTTCCAACTGAGTCACATCCCGAGGTAACTGAGCCTCAGGCCCGTTTTCACTCTCCCTGCCAAGCGGGCTGCACTCGAGTTCTGAGCAGGAGTCAGGATGTTAGTAGACCTGCTCAGCCTCGGCTGCAGCGAGCAAATCCCCGTCAGTGGAGTTGGCTTATATGACTTTGATAATTGTCACCTCATTGTGAATGGTGGAGATCTGAAGCAATGGGAAGCCCTGCCTGTACCTAAGTAAGCCTTTAGCAAGGGGAAGCCCGTCCTCCCCTCCCCAAAGCGATCTGCCCCACTGCCCGCAGCCAGACTGCAGCATCCCTAGGGATGCAGTACTCTGAAGGATGCCATCCTGTTGTTTTTTCTCCCCTTAACGAAATTGTGAAAAAGAGGGGAAACTGGAGAAGCGCTGTTTTGAACCTGCCCCTTTCTGAGCTTCCTTCAACAATGAAGCTGAGCTTATCTACTGATTGATGGGTTGTGTAGTTTATGTCCTGTTTTTCCAAAATCACCATGGATATATGTAGATTAGAACCACAGGTCAGAATGACAAAACATGCCCTTCCTTTTCTAATTGCCATGAATAATATGAATTCATTGGAAGGGAAAAAACACATTTTTAAATAGTTGATACATTTCGTAAAGATGAAGGAGAAAATATATTTGTTGTTGTTAGTTATGAAGCCGTGTCCGACCCATCATGACGTCATGGACAACGTTCCTCCAGGCCTTCCTGTCCTTAACATAAACGTCCTTAAACGTAAAATACGTTTAAACAAATATTAATTTAAAAAATGCATGGATAAACTGTTTTTGAACTCCTTCCTGAAAGACCCAGAAAATGTAATGCTTGTTTCTTTGTTGACTGAGGATTTGTTTTTCTCTTCGTGTTTTAAATGATCCGAAACTTTTATCGCTATTTTGGACACATTTACCTAGAAGTAAGACTGTTTGCACTTCAAGGGATTGCCTTGAGTGAATACATAGGTTTGTGGCTTTTTTTTTTTAAAATGTGAATTCTAGACTTTCCTTAAGCATAAGAGCTGGCTGGGTGATTTTGAATCACGTCACTCTCTCAGCCCAACTTACCAGACAGATCTGTTTTTGAGAAGAGAAAGCAGGAGAATTAAGTGTGTTTTGCTGCCTTGAGTTACAAAGAAAAAAGGCAGGATAAAAATATAATAATTCCATGTGTTGTAATGCTAATAATAATTCAATAAATCTAGCAATAGTATGTAGCAATTATAATGCATCTAATTTCTCTAAGGAGTGTACATTGACAGGTAAGAGTTCCTACTGATGGGTTCCCTGATTTATGGAAATAATTCTTAAAAGAATAAGAGCCAGAAAGTGGAAAGTAGCAACTGTATAAAGTTGGAAAAAAATGGGAAAAAAATGCTGTTACCTCAGGCACTAAACTGTGTAGAGAATTCTTCCAAAACCTCATTTGCATCTTCAAGGTAGACCAGTGTATTTTTTCATGACTATAATTCTGCCAACGCATCTGGCAAGAGACATAATGGGGCATGGAGTAGTAGGCAGAAATATAAAGGGAGGGAGAAAAGCTTTGGTTTGGATGTTGCTGAAGGGACAGGCTCCTTTCCTCACTGAAACACTGCTGTTTTGACTGATTGAAAAAGCATTTGAAAAACAAGGCCACCTTTTTAACATTCAACATTTTAAATGTTTCTCTCTCTTCTTTACTCTGATGACGAGAGCAATGTATTATTAGCAGTTCAGTCTGGAGATTTTATGTCATTAAGAACAGAAACTGGTTTCTAACCTTTTTCCAGCAAGTGCTCTTTGTCAGTTCCTGCAGGTCCCCTCTGCTGTATCACTGTCCAATTAATACATTTTCATCAATATCAGTTGCATCGGATATTCAAGAATTGTCTTTTCTTGCCTGTCCAGATTGCAAAACATTAAGATCTCATTGATACCTACCTGTCAAATGCAAATTTTATCTCCAAACCTTATGCACGATCTACTTAGATCTATTTTCGTAGTTGCCAGTACTTGCCTTTTTAAGTGCTAAGTCCATTTCTAATAAGAGCTTACTTGTTCTTTTTGTTTGTACAGGAAAAGTAACTTCAACCCCACTGTTTACACCAAAGATGAAACACCATATTTCATCAAATGATTTTCAAGACTTAACATGGGAAAAATCATGTTTCTGTATTTTTTTTTATCCATGAAGTCGATTAGTTCTTTACTACCTATGAATATTGGATTGGCACTAACAGTTAATATGATTTTTAAAAAAAATTTGAATGCTTATGCATTAGTCTGTTTTACCTTCAACAAGAGATTAAGCGTTCCTCACTTCCATCTATTCAATTGGTATCGTAACAAGCCATGAAAGAGGACATCAATATTAGCATGTAACAATGATTAAAGATTCTTTTTTGCTAGATTTGATTTGTACTGTACGTCTCATTCTCCTCCGAAAGTACTCTCGATGCACAACTACCATTAAGTTGCAGTACTTGAAAGCAGAATAAAATGGCACCAGACTTCTGCTGATCTAAACATTACTCTTAATGCACTTTTAAATTGTTAAATTAGCTTTTTAAACTATTGTAGCTACACTACATATGTGGAACAGCATCTATTCAGAGATCAGGATGGCCCCAACCTTTTCAGCCTTTTATAAGGCATTAAAGACCTGGAGGTTCCCTCAGACACTTGAGTTGGGAGGCTGAATTAGCCCCTTTGGTGGATTAATTTGGTGGCTTGTATAGATTGCATATGGAAAATTAAGAATAGGGGTTATCTATGTGAAGTAGTATTACTAATTTAGAGGAGTGGTGTGCTTTGTTATTTTAAACCTCTGTGCATCAGACACTCACTGTTGTGAAAAGGCAGCTGTATAATTGTTTACAGAAATATACCCCAAAAAATAATCTCAAACGTAGCCCACTATACAGTAGTGGGTTTTTTTGAGGACACTGACATACTAATGTGCAGCTGCTATAAAATAATGCTTACCTGCTTCTAAGCAATTTTTTTGGCTGCTCAAATCTCAACTTATTTCATATGAAAACCTGCATATGCAGGTACATCAAACTCCAGGTCATGTTAAAAACATAGGAAGGAGACACCTAGCAAGGTAAGAAACAATGAAAATACTGATTTTCATTGATTAGTCCTGAATCAGGGCAGCATATTTTAAGTAAGAGTTTTAAAATGGGTATATTTTCAGAGCAGGCTTAGTAAATCCCCAGGAGCCAAGTACTGCATGTTTTTTCTGCATACATAGATGTCAGCTGGAATTTGTACATCAGAAAGACTTGTAGCAATCCTCCTCACAAATTCAATGGCCCGTTGCCATCTCATATTTATCTATTTTTCAGGTAAGAAATCCTTTTGAACAAGAGGGATCGCTCTTCTATCTTTTCCATGTCTTGCACAATTAAGAAATTATTCTGTCCCATTCCCCTGCTCCCACATGCCCGAGTCCCTCTTCCGAGTAAGATGAAGGTAACCACATGATGGCTAGCTCATGAGCCAAGCCATCTTCCCATCTTTAATTACGGGCTTTATGAAAGACAGATATAGCTAAATTTCACTAGCTAAACACTCAGCAAAATGAGGAATTGGGCCCATTCGTTTGCAAGAGAGCTGAATGCATATCTACCAAAAAGTACAATGAAAAAGGACATTGTACTTGGATCTAGAAAAACTTCAGAAAACTCAGTTACATGTTTTCAGTTCTTTTTAACTTTAAGTGGACATAAGATCATAATCTCATTGCCAGATAGAGACTTGAAATTTAGAACCAAATTTTATCTTCAGCAAGTTTTAAGTGCCCAGACTGGTTCCTTATCAGTTTTCTTCTGAACATTGGTAGATGCTCTGGGGTAGTGCCAGATTAGTTTTTGAACTCATGCCATGGCAAAAGCTGTATTTAGATGGCAGTATCAGAATTAGCCAAGAAATTATATGGATTACTCATGAAAGGATGTTTTGGAGAATCTATACTATGTGCTCTGCTTATGTCACAGAGGTAGGAAGTTCAACAGAAAATTAGACTATAAAGTACCTTATACCATTGCAAACTATGATGCCATCCACCTTTCTTTTTGATATCTGATGACGTTATATTTGACTTTAATCGGTACTTTGGCTATCAAATCACAAACTGGGCTTCCGAAACCTTCCAATCAGACAGCAGTCACTGAATGAGATCTTCTAGCAGGCTGGACAACTCAACCATGCAAGAATGTAGTTTCTTCAATATGTTCTGACATATTAACACCGCTTGAGTCGTAGAGGCTCAGTAAAATGCTAAAAATACAGTTTTGGAGATGCCAAATGTGAATCCCAAATAATGAATAGGATAAACACTGTATAATATTTGATTTCTGACCATAACATTCCAATTGATATCTGCATTTGTAAAATGCATTGTTTTGAAACCCAATGGATGTGAAGACATAGATTCCACTAGCCTAAAACACTCCTCTCCCCCGCAAAAAAATCATACTTCTGACAAGATATTTTAAGAATAACTGAAGAACCATTTCTCATTTTATCAGTGAGAAGAATAAAGTCACTATTTTTAAGCATCAGTACATGGGTTTTGGGCTATTTAAACAAAGCCATAGGGCCCCAGACTCTTATAGGAGTCAAGGACTATCATACCACAAGGTCTGGAGAACACATTCAGTTGTCAAGAGTTTACCAGAAAGATATATTCCTGAGTAGGGCTTTAAGACTATCTTAATTCTTGAAGCTAACTTAGCCCCTTCAAATTCTAAACATCTTGCCTAATTGCATCTTAGCATGCAGCAGTCACTAGCAGAATTGACAAGTATTTACTGTTTCTGCATTCCTCATTTCACAATGCAACATATCATGGGTGTTTGTTAATTATCTCTATTTGTTCATATACTTATTCTATCCATCATGCCAAAAACCGCTGGCCTTTTCTAATTCCAAAATTAAAAAAAAACAAACCATCTTAAATGCCATTTAGAGGGGTTGTAAGGAGCAGGTGTATGGAAATGTAACCCTTGCTGAATTGCTGGTCATAATTATAATTATATTATAATTCAACTGTATGGAGGCAACAAACTTTAGAATCAGATAGCTCACAATCTAAATCCCCCACCTACTTAAAATTTCTTTGGGGACTGTGCCATGATCAAATATGGATAATCTTTTTAAAAAATAAAAAAAATGGACAGAAAAGGATCTTGTTCTACCAGATAGTGGCATAGATAATACAAGAGGAAGACAAGGGACCAAGTTTATGGTCTATCACATTAGGTAGCTGGTAGGACCATATTACAAATGTATATCAATTATGTCCTCCATTTACACTTACAGCTTTATTGGCATTATAAAATTCTAAAAGAATTTTAAGAGCATATTGAATTAACCCCATAACATTCTGCACTGCCAGTAAGTTTCATGATCACATTTTTGAACAGCATTTTTTCCAGGCACAACTATAAGGGTAACCTCACCTCTTTTGGAATCTCTTGTACCCAAATGACCTTACTTCATCCCCTTCCTTCCTGGGGCAGAATAGCCATCTTCAAAAAAATGGTTATTTATTTAGAAGTTCCACAAGAATGCCAGATGAAAGACTTTTATGCCCCAAAGCTTCAAAGCTCAGCTTTCGATTGAAGTATTGCACAGAATTCAATTTAGATTAAAGCTATCCCGATGTGGGATTATTTGTGGGCAGAGTGGGAGAAAAACAATTAGGTGGCTTTCTCTCCATAACAATAGATCTTCCTTCTTAAACATTTGTGTTGACTTTGGAAGAGCATTTCTTAATCCATACTGTGATCTATTGAAAATGGCATCTGCTTTCAATGGCCATCAAGAGTAAAGCTCCCTCAAGCATTTTGCAGAAGCAGCGAAAGATGACTTCTGAATCTGCTCAGTGATAGAACACAAGCTCTAGTTGCTTCCTGGTAATGCTGAACCTTCTGTAGAGACAAAGAGACTCATCTTTTGGGCTTAACTAAAGCAATGTTTAACCATATGTTTGAAAGAATGAAGGCTGAGAAATGACTTTCTCCCTGGGTAAGGAAAAAAAAAATTGGTCCACATTCCCCAACTTGATCTAGCAGCTGCAAATAAAATGCACAAGGCCAAACAGAATCCATCTTGTTCCAGGAGCAGCTTATTTCCACGGCTTGGCAACCAAGTTGCAGTAATACCTGGGGTAGCATAGCAAGAACATGAGGGGCAAGAGTATTCCCAACATAGATGGTTTTCTCTGGAGAAAGTTAAAAAAATATCCCCCTTCACAAAACAGTAAACCTCCATTCCTCCCCCACCCCAACACGAGTGTGGCAGCTTTTTGGCAATTACCCCAATGTTTCAGAGGAGGGAACAGGATTTCCCCTTTTACTTTTGTCATTAAGTCATGCTCACAGTCAAGTCCATTTCCCAAGGTTAAATGATTATTTTTTTAAAAAAAGAACTGTATAGAAATCAACACACTGCCATCATTCTGTGTATCTGAAGCAGCCACAAAAGGCTGCAGACTCATTGAAATCTCTTCTCATCCCACACGTATCGTTTTCCTGCAGGCACCTTCCGGAAAAACAGGCTGTTGCCTCGGCTCATGTTGCCCTAAATGAGAAGAAAATGAAACAGGTCAGAGTCCAGTAGACAGAGCATCGGGGCCCTCTGAAATTCACACACTATAGAGCAGCTGAGGTTTGAGGGCCAGATAGTATGCAGTCAGCGAGTGTGTGTATGTGGGAGTGTATCTGTACAGCAGGACAACTTTGTCTGGAATTTTTACTTAGATGGTAGGTATGCCCAAAGGAGGGACTCTGCCTTGTCAATTCTATACCCATCTCCAAGCAAAACATGAGGATCCTGTAAGGAAGGACAGACATTTCAGACATACCTCCCCATGCAGCTGGCTCCAGCAATGTAACCAGGAGGTGTACGCTGGTGCATAAGGTGGGAGGCCAGCAGCGAGCCTAGAAAATAGAAGGCAAGGCTTATAGAATTCACTCCCCACCAGGTTTCAGTGCCAGGCGCCTGTTTAAGATCACTGCTTAGAGGCCATTTCCAACCCAGTCCTTTTTCGCTGCAAAGGAAAGGGGATCAAGCAGGAGCTAAAGTGGTTGAGACAAAACTCAACAGGTAGTCTGACAGGAAACTGGCCTGCAACTGGCTTTCTATATGGCAGAGCAATCTAATAATCAACACATTATTTACAAGAACAGGGACAGATATTATAATTTAGCAAATTAGCAACCACAAACTAAACGTAGTCCTCCCCATTCCATAACGGTATTTGGAATGCCACCATGAACTGATTGACTTTATCATAAGAATTAACAAATGGAAATATTTCTTAACGTATTGTTATTGACTTCAGGTTTGCATGCTGGCCTTACAGTATGTTATACTAAGCTAACCTGCATTTACTTCTGAACAGCCACCAAAGTGCAGACAAGAGTTAAATGGAATGCGCACACAGGCAAAAGCTCTGAACAGTGGCTATTTGGCACAAATGAGAGGACTGCCATTTTCATAACCTTGTGGTAATTTTACTGCAAGGATCTCACTGGTCAAAACTGGAATACAAAACCAAAAAGAACTGATCCGACTGGAATGTATCTTTTTATCAGCAAAGCTATTGTCACAGAATAATGTATCACAGGAAAGACACAGAATCCAGGCAGTTTCTGGCTCCAGAGTTATTCCTAAAAACTTAAACGTAGATTCCCATTTCATATGATTGGATAATACCAAAGGAAAGAATCCAGACTTTTTTCAATACTTTATATACTTATATAAATGAATTTCTAAAAGTGTACTGGATTTGCTGCTACCCACAAGTCTTCAATTTTTTTTGAAACTCTTAGCTGTTTCTCCAGCCACAAATATTCTGGTTTTAGGCAGGGCTCTATAAAATAATGGGTTTTTTGCCCACTGTACTTTTAAATTAAAACCTTTGAGTTCTTTTAGTCATCCAAATGGCCTCCTATAAAAAAGTCACAAACTTTTTTTTAGCTCGGTTGGCTATGATATGAACATTCCTAAGAGCAATTACTGAAAACATGAACATTGTGGTAAGGTGCAGCACACTGCTAAAATTCTCAATAGTTATTGAAAGAAAGAGGCCTGAAAAATAAAACTGAGCTTTGTGTGCTTTCAAATGAAAGCCAAGTGAGAGAAAAGAAAGGGTGCACTTACCCGCAGCTATTAATGGCCATTAGGTTTGAAACAAGTACGAAGGGGTAGGTCAGCATACTGCTGAAGAACTGAAAGTACAATACAGCATGATGTATCAGTGGACAAAGTATGCCAAGACTCTTTCCTCACCCATAAGGCTGAGGACTAGATAATAACAGAACTACCACTAACCATGCCCCATACAGAGCAACAGCAATTTGATGGAAGGATAAAATCTTAACACTGATAACAAATCAAAGGGAAAAAAAGACTGGCAATTACTCAACTAAGCCCCAAAAGTAATCTCCACCTAGCAACAGCATTCGATACATCTCTAGTGAAGAAACAGTACATTCCAATGTTGGACAGAGATTCTAAAGGCTAAAAATTGAAAGGTGTTTTTAACACCATTAGTTAAATACCATTCTCTAACATCCCTCTCAAGAGCACCAGGACCAAAGGTTTAACAGTGAGTTATGAAGCTTGTGGTCCTCTCAGAATTTTTTCCCTTTCATCTACATCAGAGAAAAAAGACATTAAAGTACACACTCACTCCAGTGACAGCCTGAGAGTAACCCTTCATCTCAGTCATGGTGGAGACCTAGAAAGAAGATTCACCAATAAAACACAGATTCCTCAATAACAGAAGTCACTCCCAACTTTTGACCAAAAGGTAAAGACAATGCCTCCCAGAACTCTGCAAGGCTTCGGGTTCAAGGCAAGAAGATGCTTCAGTGCACGCAACAGCCTAAACACAGCCCTGCCCACAACTTCTTAAACCCAAGGAGTGTTTTCTTAGGGTCATGCAGGAGCCACTGAGGGCAATCAGGTTCTTTTAAGAAGATGCTGACAGGGGCTACATTTATTTAGCCCCTTGTGTGCTTCAAAAATGACCCTTTGCTTTTGTAATCAAAATGTGTTGCCTGAGAAAGCCAACTTCTCCCCACAAGAAGACGTGGTACTAATATGTATTAGTATTATCTATAGTTGCGAACAGCCATATGTATAGGTTGAGAACAGAAAAAAAAATTTGGCTAATACTTATGACCTGGGATGCCTAAAGCATTCTTTGCACAGACCACCCTATGCCTGAAACCAATACTTAATGTTGGCGATCTGTGTCTGCACCATAATCCAAGTTTTTCATCCTGACACAGAATTGAGAATTGTGTGTTTGGTTTGGAAATCACCCTAGGGCAACTGTGCTCCATGTGGGGTATTAGGCATCTGGACATCATCAGTGGCATAGCAGCAGCTAAATGGAGGTATAGAAGCTGTTGGGAAGCTGCAGGGGTAGAAAAGTGAACCAAAGAGGGGAAAGAAAGCGGAGGTGTATCAGTCTTGCCTTCTTACCCTACAAGATTATCTCAAATTTATTTTTGCTAGAGCCCAGAACAAACCTTGGAGTATCAGGTTTCAGTTCCGTTGAGCCATGAACCACTCAGAATAACTTGACAGAAAGTGTTTGTCCCATGCCTTTCATGCATGCCTTTTCAGGATGCTGCAGCACAGTGAGAATAGGCACTTTCAAGGCCAATACCAGAAAATTGCAACCAAATGGAGCCTCAACAGTCATTGCTGCTTCCTAACTACGGACATAGCACTCTACAGGCAGAACACTTACCCCATTCTCCAGTACATAGGTATTGATGAGGTAGGCCAGCATATTACAAAGCCACAAGGATAGGATGTCTCCAAGCAGACGGGGAATCAGGCCCCTGAAATGAAAACAGCCGACTAGTAATAAGGTTGGATACCATCAACACTGACATGACAACATAGTTACCACTAACTGCTCACAGGGCAGGAAACTGGTCAAGCATGTGGAGGCTAGGCTGAGTAACACCCGAAAAAAATCACCATTTCTGCCACTCCCTTTGGGATAGTGCATTGCTTAAGAATTCTGCCTCACCTAATCCAGCATCCTAATCCAGTCGCCCACAACATCCAATCAGATGCCTTCTGAAAGCAAGCAAATAATAGCCTTTCTCCAGTAACTAATACAATATGCAGTGGCATATTGTGCTCATCCTGAGAAAATCCTACATGATCCCTGCACTAGCTTTCATGGCATCAAAAGATGGTAAAAACACACTGTAAAAAGTACTCACGCAAAAAATCCAAAGATTCCCTCTTCCCGGTATATGGTGACAAAAGAGCTAAACACGCCGCTGAAAATTGAAGGGGAAAAACTATCCATCAAGATTCTACAAATACCATATTATGTATCCAATCCCACAGACACTATTACTAATCTCAACAACAGAACATTTCTGACATCATACATTAATTTATCTCCCAGCCCTCAGTTCCTTCCATTGTGTGGGTTAAAACCCCAATGAAGCCAACCTCACTGCAAATATGTTTATACCTGTATTTGGTCTCTCTGCCAACGAACTGCACCATACACCTCAAGGTGATCACTAAAGAACAAGAAGAGTCAAAAGGGAAAAACTATTAAGGAAGACCTCACCTGTACTCCTCTATCCACTTATACTTATAAGAGAGCATATAATCAACTACCTGGTTGATTATCCCAAGACTCTTAACTCAAGATGAACCCAGGCAAAATGGCTATGCCCCTGAATGGTACAACCAATCTGGTATGTGGGTGCAACATGTGGGTTGAAATAGAGCTCCTTTTGAAAATGTTCAGCTCAGTGTCTAGAATTCTTTTGGATCGGAAATAATCAAGTTTGATTATGGCCAAGATTGTTTTTGCTCAACTGAGGCTGGAATGTAATTACAGCCATTCCTGCAGATGGCCCATCTGGCCACAATGATATCTTCCTGAATTAAACTGTATCTGGTTTACTGCAGTTCCTCTCATTGCCTCTCTTCAAAGGAGGTCCTCAAGCATGGCCAGAGTCTTGATTTGATTGTTATGGGTTTGATTGTTATGGTTACATTTGTGTGTTCACAGTCATTTAACTTGCTGATGGTCCCAGTGTATTTGATTGCATGGTGATTTTTAACACTTCCCCTTGTTAGCTAGTTAAGGTCCATGAAGGAAGGTAGGGTGGAAATGTTTCCAAATAGTTCATTATCAATCATTACCAACTGTTTGCAAATTGAAAGCAGTGAAATGGTAAAAACATTAACAGGGAAGGGTTACGACACAGCCATCTCCTGCCTTAATGCACAAAAAAAAAAACAAAAAAAAAAAAACCCGATGGTAGAAGGGAGAGAGTTGCTTCCGTATCTAGGAGTTACAATGGTATGATTGAAATGGAACTGAAAGATGAATCTATACATACCATGAAATGGGTGGGTGACTAGTGTAGCAGCAGAACGTGCAATCATCTCTTGAGAGGTCTAAGATGAAAAACAGTTGGAGACGTATCAGAAGAAAGGTTAGCCAAAGAAGGAGCAAGATGTCCCATCTACCCAGATTCCAGTAAAGGATTAAATAACTGCTGCTTATCATATAATTTGAAGTAGTAAGATTAAATGTTTTCATTAATTATCACTGCTCTATACATCAGCCTATTTAAACCACGTTTTCAGTTACTTAAGAAAAAAGTCACTGCTCTGCTATCACCTTAGACAAATCCCAATATGATGTATATACCCCAAATATATCCCAATATCTCCCATCTAAGGAATTTCAGTGAGCAGGGTCAAGGAGAAGAGGCTTTTCCGCTATGGATCTCTGCCCTGAGAAGCACTCTACTACTGAAGATGAGAACTGCTCCCACCCTTCTGACCTTCCCAGAAAGGTATCAAACTTAGTTGTGTGGGTTGGCCAGGGCTCCGAGGGGGCACTCACCACTGGAGGTGGTTGACAGGGTAAGCAGATCTCATCCCTATGCTGTCTGTTTCCTTGCTTCTAGTTTTTATATAGCTTCTATAGGGCTCTGGCTGGAGCCCGAATGCCACGACAGCAAAGAAACAGCTCACTTCTATACTTTCCTATGCTAACAAGATATTCTTGCTTCTCAACTTCATTATGATACCATCTATAGTGTAGGCAAACAGGCTGTTGCCTCATATCTCCTGGTTTCAGAAACAACAGATTACCATTCCAATTATCCACCAGCCAACACATTTAGCAGGTATCAGGTCAGGAATGCTCTTTTACATGATCCACAGCCAGCCAATATCCCCTGATCAATGAATCCCACATCTTACCTCCTTGATAACTTGATCAAAAGAGGATCCAGGTTCTTTGTGAGTATTCCCTAATTCCTAAAGAGAGAGGGGGGGGGAAAAAAGGGGGGGGAGCCACTCTCAAAAACTAGCCAGGTATGGGATCCTCATTCCCAAGTATAATATCAATTTTATTTACAAATTCTGCAGCGCCTTCCACTTCCATAAACTGCAGTATAGAACACAGACATGCTCCACAAACTTTAATTTCAAAAAGGAGTTTTATTGGGAAGTTATTTATGAATGGACTTCATGACATACCTCACTTTGGTCAGCATTCTGGCATTGCTAGATAGAAAGAAAATATACAAATATAAGCTCGTAAGTTATCTTCTCAATCTTTTATTACCATTAAATGTACATAATTGCACTTACATTCTTTCCCACCCTCCTCCTGAGGTCCTTTACTTCAGTGACAAGCTCTGTAAACCAGATTACATTGGCCTATACTTTCTATATACATATCACTAAAGCACCAAAGGTACCATAAACAAGAATTATAAATTCAACACACATCTTACCCAGTCAATGAAGAATGCAAACACACAAACTGTCAAAATGTAAATCTGACAGAACAAAATGTAAATTCAACAGCCCCAAAAGAGGGCTGTTGAAGCACCCCTAAGGTCTTAAGTGCAGGTGGGTCATCAAACACCTATATTTTGATCACATGACCCCAGGAGCAATGCAATGGCTGTAACTTCAGAGTCTGGGCTTAAGTACCATTTGATCACCACTGCTGTAACATCTAATGGTCACTGAACGAATGGTCGTTAAGGGAGGACTACCTATAGGATAACTTGATTGTGTGCTCCGTATTTGTTCCAATATGTAACCAAGCACCACCATTATAAGTTGGCCTAACAAAAGAACTGCAGCAGCAATCCTGGTAGATAACAGAAATGTTTAAATATCTTACATTAAAATCAAATAAAAAATTGTACAATCTAGGAATAAAAAACTTTGATGATCAAAGAACTGAACATCAAACTAGCTCAATGCTAGGCGCTTTGAGCTGTGATTTATAATCTGTGCTTGCAGAATGAATGTATATCACAGGTAGAGATATGGAATGAACAATAAACTGGACTAGGCTGAAAAAGAAACTTATAAGAAAGTTGTTCAGAGGTCATTTACAAAATTCAAGCAAAAATGGCCTACATTATAAATATTTTGTATATTAAAACAATATAGAACCAAATTATAAAGTACCTGTAAAACTTTACTGTGTACTACAGTGCCAATGGCTCCTGACCAGAGTCTAGGAGCCAAACCTTTGAAGAGTCCAGCCCTCCCATCAATCTTCACAATGTGTTTTGCTGAAAACAGAAACAGAGGTAAGCATCTGTCCCATTATTCACCCTTCTCCCCCAAGTGCCACATATCTGAATCTATCTCATCCTAGAAAATTCTAGTTTAATTCTGTTTAATGCCAGGTTAGGAATTTTGATATTAACCATATCCATGTCATTCAAGTATGCATTGGCTGCACATAACATCTGCAGGCAACAGAATCATATAATGTACTAATCCTTACCAGACTCTATTATCCACTATAGCAAGGATGAGCAGTCTGTAGCTCAATTCTCAACTCTTATTACTCTGACCAGCATTAAGGAGTAACAAGAATTGTAATCCCCAAACATCTGGAGCCTCATTATTTTGTCCTTCCTGCTCAACAGTAACAAGAACTATGAGCTAAAGTTAAAAATAACTGGCTGCTTTGAATAAACATACAAAGAAACATCAAACTGGGAACCTGATGGAAATTCAGTGCCTATCATTAGAGAAATGCATGAAGAAAAATGAACAGGCAACGAAGTGAGGGTTTAACTCCAAAATAGCCAAAGACTAGAAACCTAGAGTTCAAAACAGATATTCAATCCCCACATTAAACAGGGATTTTTTAAAAATTGCTGTATAAGCTGCACACTGGGGGAAATGTGGCATTGCTATAATGTGCATATGTATTTCTAAATCAAATTTAAAATATGGTGCTTGAAAAGAGGAAGAAAGCACAGAAAGGAATGTTGACAAACCATTTACTATCAAAACACTGCTTACTAGCTGGAATTCAAAAGTAAATATAGACAGTTTTGACATTCTTTTTAAATATCCAGTTTAGATATGCACCAAATTCAGTTACATAACTATCTATTCTTCTCTTCAAAACTTGTCTTTTGTAAAACCTATTATAACATATCTGATAAAAGTCTAGTTCAAAGGCATGCATTTCTCACATACACGTCAGTAACTATAGCAATCCTATGTTTTAGGCTTTTTATTTGCAAAATACATATGTTATATACTCACCATAAGCAAAGAGACCAGGTAGTTGATAGACTTGCCGACCAAAAATATTTCTTCCCAGAGTTGGCGGAAGGGGTTCATATCCCACCTTTGAAATAAAGAGACAATCCACAATGAACTTTATAGCCTACAATTTGAACATCCTCTCAAAGAAACAGTCAACATGCATTTCACAGCATTAATACAATTATTTCATTAACCAGAAGTTCCTTCTTATACGAGTGCTAGAAGTATCAATAACAAAAGCACAATTTCTATTAGTTGGTTATGATTTTTGGAATATATAACTGGTACTGAGGTAATCTGCAATTCAGTATATTGGATAATGACATTGTTTTTTACTATATAACAAATTTAGAACTATAGGGTAAATATATGTCATCGTCCCCAAAGTAATCTTTATCTTCCTTAATTTCAAACAAAATCTAACCACTTATCAATCAATCAATGAATCAATCAATCACTTTTTTGCAGTTATTTTGCTATTAAGATTTAATTACTTAAAAGCAGGAAATTTCCCTTAACATATCCTGCTACCTCAAATTATGCTGACTAGGATGGTTAAGATATAAAACAATTAGGTGGTTAATTCTTTAGATGAAACTGCTTTGGTGATTCATTGATTGATTTGCTAGGAGCATGGCAAATGCACACATTCCAATTCACAATGTAAATTATTTAGGAGATCTGCAGTTTAGCAAAAAGTATTATTGGCAAGCAAATATCAAGTTTTCTGATTTCTCACAGTACTTCTCATACAGTGTGTGTTTTCCATACAAAAACAGCCAGATGTTCCCCTTGCTCTGAGTGGCCCTTGTTGGACAGTTATACAAGTGTCTCATTGCTCTTTACAAATGTAAGGTTTAAAGGTTTAAGGTTAGATTGCAGGGATTCATGTATTCATATCCTGAAAATGCAAATACTCTTTTATAGCTTGTACTTTCAATTAGAAGCTCTTGTTCTGAAAGCACATTGTACAGGAAGACTGTTGTTTTTACAAAACTGAGGTTTTCAGCCAAGAATGAAATAAGTGTAAGGACACAACAAGCCAGAAACCACCACCAATGTTACTAAATAAAGAAGTCTGAAATTACAGAGAGTTTGTCTGGGAGTGTCCTTGACAAGGCCAATAAAAATAAGACAGACTTAAATATGAGGTTCATATACAACTAGAAAAGTGATTGGAATTTTGAAAATCAGCTCACTTGCAAAGATACCCGAGTGGGACAAACAAATTCGAAACTGGTTTCTGCAATGAAGACTGCCCTATGGCTTACAGTGGGACTTTTATTCCTGCAAGAAATTAAACCAAGCGTGGGCAGCAAACGAGAAACGCGCAGCGTCCTGGATATGATTTCGACTTTGTTGTGTTATGGGGATCGTCTGCAAATCCCACTGCTAGCACTCAACCTATACGGCTGCCACTGTGGAACAGGCGGCTTTGGAAAGCCTCTGGACGCGGTGGATCGCTGCTGTTTCTTGCACGACTGCTGTTATCGCCACACCAGGCTCTCTCTGAAATGTCACAACAGAGTAAAATGGCAACGCTACAAACTGCTGTGTAAAACCTCCGAGACGGAGTGCCGGTCCAAAAGCATCTGTGGCAGAACGGCGTGCGAGTGTGACAAGCAACTGGCAGAATGTCTCACGGCAGCCAGACCTCAGCGGAAGCATTCTTTCTACAAGCGAGAACTCTGCCAAGGGTCTAAGGGCACCTGTCCCATCATGCACCATAACTGGACTAAAACCCGGGCACTAAGTTAAGTTTCTGCTAGTTAATTTACTTTATTGATTAGCCTCTTGGGCCTTAAGTTTTCTGCTATTACCTGGAAGCAAGGAAGGTTCTTGGAAAAATTAACCTCTGAGAAAAAAAAACTAGCTGTGGCTCCGGTTCTCCCCCCCCCCCCCCCCAAAAAACCTCACCTCGGACCATATTTGTGTTTCTAGGCAAGAGGAAGGGGGGGGGGGGGGGGGGGGGGGGGGCCCCCGAAGGGGGGGGGGGGGGGGGGGGGGGGGGGGGAGACGATCGGCTAGAGGTGGATCGGTCTCCTTCACCCAAGCGGCGGCTTCTTTACCACTTGCAGGTCGGCGACTACATTCACACGGGAACAAGAGAAGCGTGATCGTCCCAAAGCCGAAAGCAAATAAAAGACCCCCGAGACTGGAGGATCGTGGGGGTGGTGTGTGTGTGTGATCCTGCTACGGCGAGGGTCGACAGCGACCCAGAGAGAGAAGAGCGATCGCCGAAGAGGAAGCACCCCGGAGATTGCGAGGGGTGGTCCCTCCCTGCCACCCACCCTCCCTGCCGTCTCACCCCCACCCCGCTCCCGCAAGAGGAGGGAAAAGCTGGAGGGGCCAAAGGTCTCACCTGCACTAGCACCTTCACGTACATGAGCGGCTGCGAGAGCACCGTGAGGCCGGAGCCCAGCAGCACCTGGGAGGTCGTGTCCGCCATGCTGCGCTGCAGCCGCACCGGGCTCTCCGCCGCGGGGGAGGGGGGGAGGCAGAGAGAGGGGGGGGGGGAGAACAGAGGAAGAAGGAGCGGTCGTGATACGACCACGTGACCTGCGGCGGAGGACAAAAAAAAAGTGGGGGAAAGGGCTCCTGCCGCCGATGCTTCTTCGTTCCCTCTTTCGATCAGTTCCGGGTCCAAAGGGTTCCGGTTTCCGCCACCTGAGGAGTAAGTTAGGCCCGAAGAGGAGGAGGAGGAGGAGGAGCCGCCGCCTATAAAATCAGATCTTCCGATTAAAAAAAAAAAAAAAAAGGAGTGACAAATCGTCCTTGGCCCAAGATTCCCTGGAGCGAATGATAGATGCGCCTTGAAAGGTGTCTTGAGGACGGCGATGGCGGTCGGCTGCACGAAGTTGGCGTTTTCTTATCGATCTGGCCTCGCCTTTGAGTTGCGCAACTCGCACTTGAAATGGAGAAAAAAAAAAAAAGGCTCCATCGGCCAATGAAAAGCGGGGCTTTTGGGGGGGGGGTGTCAAGAGGAGCCTCCGATTATCGCGTGTGTGTATCCCGTGCTCTTCTTCTTCCAGTTTCGGGCGTGCTCCTCTTGAGGTTTAGGGGCCACTTTAAATCCAAATAAAAATGCCTTGTGAAGATTGCCCTGCCGTTTCCCGTTTTGAAGGAAACAAAACCCATTGCTTTCTGTACATCTTGCTGCATGTAAAATAACTACTTGCTAGTTAGAAAAGCCAGCAGAAATGCCTTCTTTTTTTGGCTGTGACCATTCTTGCTTATAGGCCTGTAAATCTGCCATACATTATTAGGAAATCCCTCATTGCCATTTAGTTCGGTCATATCTATTTTAAAGTAAATGTGTGCAAGATTACAGTGGGAGTGACCTAAACCTAATTTAGCAAAACTCACTGTTGCTGTTCTGTGTGGCTTTCAATAGTATTTTCAGTATTTTCTCAAGGTTTCTGTAATAAATGGCTTATTTGTATACCTGTCCTGTCAAAAATATTGTTGAATTCAAACAGTTTTTAAGTCAGTAGAATATTGTTGCTTTAAATCCACATTACATGTAGGTTTTAATAGTTTGTCATTCAGACTTTCCTGCCTTCTCCATATATTTCCATGAATGCCATATCATTCTGGCATTTCACTATGCAACCCAAACTAGGTGGGAAAATCCCTGCCTTTTAATCTGGATTTCTTGTCCAATTATGGATCTAACTGCAGTAAATATTAGATCCTTTTACTCAACATTCATTTTCATTTTATTTCTCTCTCCTTTCTGCTCTGAAGAGTAACCCAGTAAGAAAATCATTCTGTAATTGCATCATGCCTAACACTAAATGAAAAATATGCTGTCTTCAGTACAGTAGCAGTTGCAACTGAACCATTCTCTCTACATCAGGGGTGTCAAACTCGCGGCCTATGGGCCAGATGCATCACATGTTGGCCACGCCTACCCCTGGTTTAGCGAAGGGGAGAAAAGTCGCAAGACGTGACGCCGCAGGTTTGACACCCCTGCTCTACATCACTCAATCTGAAAAAAACTTCCCATCAAGACGACAATGAAAATTGCAATGTTGTGTGTCAAATAGATTTCTATATGGGATACAAAAGTATTAAAAAGCCATTCTCAAAGATGTGCAACTTTGCAGGAAAAAAAATGGATGGTTGACAAATACTTCCTTTGGCAAAAAATATATGCTGACACAAAAAAAAATGTAAGAAAATCGAACAATGATTGCTATGCATGGTCTTTTGCATGGTGATCCACTTATTTGCGTTCATATTTGATATATGGCTGTCTTTTCTACATGCACCCTATTAAGAGGCAGGCCTCAATGTGCAGAATATAGTGTGAATGAATTTTTTTCACAATCTGTAAATGACGACATCTGTAACTGACAAGAGATTTCAAGAGCTACATGCCATGTCAGTGGAGTTTTTTATTTTATATCAATGAATAGTATCCATTTTAAAATAAATAAGGAAAGTGTTTAATAATATAGTTTCCTGAATTTTATTAATTATTGGGGGTATTCATCACAGAGGAAGTACTGAGTAAAACATGCACCCCACAATTCACATACAATACTAAAATAGAAGTGGAATGTTCTAAAATGTGCACCAAAAGAGTCCAGGAGAGCTGCTTTTCACTAAGGACAATGAATGCATATTGATTAGCATAGAAGGAAAATCACTGATTTGTAAACAAAGTTGAATAAACATTCATAAAACAGCAAGATACACTTAAGGGGTGTTCAGTAAATTTTATCAATGTTAAGTTCATGAAAACAAAAACATTTAAAAGCATTCTGGGCATTACATTATGGCATTCTGCACAAGCTGTGCTGCTCTCATCACTGGAATAAAGTGGTGTCACAACATGGAAAAAGTAAGGGACTTTGCTCTGACATCTCCAATTAGTATCAAGGAGGACTATCACTTTGACAAGCCACTTTGCTTCAATAGAAAAATCTGTTCAGCCAGCCATACATTTCTACAAAAACCAATAAAGTGGCTTTGTTGCAGTGTTTAATTCTGCTCAGCCCATGTGAAAGTGAGACACAGAATTTCTATACTTTATGAATATTTTGTTCATTAATCTATTTCAAGTTCTGTGTTTTTCCTAATTAGACAAATTTATAATTTTACTGTAGTACTATTTACTATTAAAGACTAGTAATAGTTAATTATAAAGACTAACAAAAATAAGGCAATTTCTATTTTTTAGAACATAAATTGGTATTTAAGATATGATTAAAAACTTTAGTTTTTGGAAAAGAATTCTAGAAAATATTTTCAAAAATGGTCATTTTGTCAATAGGAAAAAATACCCAAGGATGCCAAATGTAATCAGATATTTAGGTCCTTTGTGTGAATTAACTTAAATTTAGCTCATAAATCTTTCATGTCTTTTAGTTGCCATTATACTGTTTTTCAGTGAAACATAAATGACTGTTAGGCAAGGCTTACTATGTAAAGTTCCTTAATCTGTAATGTGAACAATACAAAAGTAAAATAATATTTCTGATACAATCATGTATTTTTCAACACTGTACTTATAATTTGTCATTTGTTTAGGTTTTTTTAATAACAGAACAAAACCCAGTCTGAATAAGTTTCAAAATCTGTTAACCTTTGTAAGTCACATACAAACTTCATTAATGTTACACCAAATCCATAACAAAATACACATTCCGATACATGGCTTCAATAAATATACTTTAACAGAGATTTAATTTTGCCCAACTTTAAGAACATAAACATTATTTTATGATCTCTGCATCCTCAGCGCAAATTTTCTGTACTCTAATGTATACACATTTTCTTTTTAAATTATGAGCTAAGGCAGTAATGAGAGTCCAAATCTGTCAGTGTACTCCTAAGAAATAGGGAAGTGATACATTCACCCAAAGGATAAAAATGCAGTAACAGTTTTGCTTGCGTTTTGTGCATTGTAGCAATAAACAGGTGTATTCTTACAATAGCCTATGAACAATAAAACTGAGTTTCTAGAATTTGCGATTTATCCTTCATCATAAAAAAGAAAACCTTATGCATACATTACTGAGGCATAATATTTTTCCTACTAGAAAAGAGTTGAGTAATATTCTATTGCAGAAGTTTTCTAAAGCAACATTTGCCAATGTTATATGAATTTAATGGTGGTGGAGATATTTGTAAGAAAAATCAAGAAGAAGGAAGGACACTTAACTCTCCCTTTGTTCATTGAATTTGTTCTAAATTCATGCACTGATTTTTCCCTGAGCTGATTTTGAATCTCATTAGGGAGCACATTATTAAAATAATCAAGAGGAGATGAAAAACTTCCAATAGGTTCATGAAGCTTCCTGCTGATAATTCTCCTTTGTGGCATAAATCTCCTTCCACACATAGCCCTCTTTATTTCTTATCAGCAAAACAAATAGGTGGGTAATCTGTATGCAACTTCTCTTAAGATATTAATTGAAGGAGGAAAACCCGTCCTTCAGAATAGTTTGCAATTAATCTGTGGAAAGGGAATTTACTGTCTTTGTAATGAGGGCTCCAAATTCTCATTCACTAAAGATGTCTTTGCACTAAAGTCTTGTGACAAATAATCAGAACAGGAGACTGCCTGCTTTCCCATTGACCAGCTGTTAAACTCAGTGTAGCTTATTAAAAATTCATGGTTTCATGGTTCCTGGTACACAAACCTAATGCCTTGAGTAGTTTCTCTGCTATCTTGTGATGAATATTTGTGGCCGTTTGCTTTTTGAAGTCCCTTGGTATTGGCACAGTATTCATTCTCTGCTCTCAGAAGTATGGGGTCAATTTGGAAAGGCTTCCATATGAATTCTCGATGAGGAAGAACCTGTGACCTGCTTTGACTCAAGTGCCACCTAGGTCTATTGCCTAATAGCATCTGAGATTTCAAGGAAAGACTTCGACGTAGCATTGAAGTCACAGAAGGTACTTCAGGATTCCACCACAAGGACCTAAACAGGAAGTGGGGGAGTGTTAAATAAGTTTATGATCATAAAAAACAATATATAACAATATTTTCAAATAGATGGCTTGTAGTTCTACCAATCAAAGTACACTTTATGGTTGTTCCATCTTTTCCTCTTCAATGGGTTTTTTTAAAAAAAAGAACAAATCTCGATGCATTTCCTCTGTCTATTTGAAGTAGTCTCAAATGGATTCCAGTTTCCTCACAGAAACTATGGTACTGGGGGTTAGACTGTTTAATGATTTTCCTTCATAATCCCTTTCACTAATTATGGTTTGTCCTTAGGGAGAAATATAGTTAATCACTTTTCCTTCTGGGGAGTAGGATTTTGATAAAGATAATAGTGAAAGAATGATGGAAAGAACACATTTCCTATCACAACTACTGGGTAAATATATAATTTAAAAAAAACAAACTCAGAAGCAACACAGCATCATAGAATGGATGTGAACTTGATGGTTAGGAGTTAAAAATGCATGTAATAATTTTAATGTATTTCTTCAGATGATAAATAATGTGACGTATATATAAGCAGACAACAATGTCTGCAGTAAATATTCTGTCCACCATGCCTGAATTCTAAGAATTTAAACGTAATTGTAATTGGTGAATGATGATGTGTTCTTTCATAATTAATCTCCCTTTTTAAAAATATATTTAGGGTTGTAGGATGGCATGCATCTACCATTTAAGCCTAAAATGCAAAACATGTTGCAAATTGTGAAGTGCAAGAAACCTGGAACAGTTTAGTTCAAAGTACTTTAAGTTTATTACACATATATCAAGAAAAATATTGAAAAGAATTATAAAACTAGCCTTTGCTGATCTTCCTAAAACCAGTAGTTTTCAGAAAGTCATTACTGAACTCAATAGCTTTTATAAATCATTATGGGATTTTATTAATAAACGTATTTAATTTTCAATGGGACTTGGCCAAATGTCAGAGGCATCACATATTCTTAAATTGCCTATGGGATAATATTGTGGGATGTCAATTCTGAACTGACTTAACTTGCATTTTCCACCCAAATAGTAGGGAATTGCTTCCTCTGGTTTAGGGCTATATATAGGGACATTAACCCAATGGACATTCTCTGCATGTCTTCCATCCCTGAATATCTATATAGAGAGAATATATATATTATCCTCTTAGAACATAAGAGCTTGTTCACCACCGTTTTCCAAAAGTCAGCAAGCCTGTTGAATACAGCAGCAGCTCTGCAAGGAAGAAGAAGAATTTTATGGCGATGGAGGAGTGTGACGAGATGGGTGGGTACATGTTGAACGGGCACGTTTGTTTCATGCTTAAGTGTAAGTGAGGAAAGGACCAAAGAATCTGATGAACAGCAATGGTTACTGTAATCAACTGCATTCCTATTCAAAGCTAAATACCTAACTTCAAAGACACACATCAAACATGGAGCATTACATCAGGACAATATTCATTTTAAAAAGTGCTTTAACTATTCGAGGATTAGTGTCTGGGGCACACACCAATGCCATTTCACTAAACACTCATTGTAATCTCCAAGAGTTGGGAAATGGGAATACCTGTACCGTTTGACTCCAGGGCAGGATGATGGAAGAGAGATACCTATAGAGAAACAAAAATATGTTTTGGAAAAGCATCCGCAAAATCATAAAGTAATAGCAGTAATACATTTTTTTTAAACAGCTTTTTCTCTATGTAGATGACGAGGGTGCAGTTTATAATAGACCAGTTTCTGCATTTACATAGCCCATGGTACAGAATTGGTGTCTGAGTGGCATTTTAATTATACACATATGGTCATGCTTTACTCCAAACTTTGTATTTTTTTAAATCTATTGAAATCTTTTATTATAATTAGCCATACTTCCAGTAATACTTATTTCTTACACGTTCCACAAAATTTGCTAGTCTTTTGGCATATGCAGCTTCTCATACCTGCATCCTGTTTTCCATTAAGTTCACCATTAGAATGCACATAAAATGGAGCAGGAAGCTGTTTGATGGTTGCTGTTGTGAAGCTGGGTCGCTGTATTGGTGATAGAGGAATCGTGGATATCAGGAGGGGGCTAGGATTCTTGATCCTGAACTCACATTCAGTCAGGGGAACAATCTGTTTTCCTCTAGGAATCTCTATATAGCAGATATTTTGTAGAAAGCACATATCAAGTGAAAGGATCTCAAAATTCTCTAAAATATAGTTTTCTGGAATCAGAAAAACTCTTACCTATTCACTTTAATGTGTTCCAAATGAAATATATTTGCATAGATATTTAGTGGCTCAATAGAATACAACAAAATCCTTTTTGTGAGATCTGAACAATGTGACACAGAAGTCTTGAAAGGATGATATTCTACCATTTTTTTTGCTCTGCTTTGTCACAGGCAAAAAGTGGTATTGAATAAAATAGATATTTAGTATTGAACACACATTATCTCATGCCCAAAGTTTAGAAGGAATATTTCATGTCTACAATTGTATTCAAACACAAAAATCATAATTTCTAAACTCAAATCTATAAATCATACCATGGCACTCTCACTGGATTATTATGAGTGAGGTTTGAGGTCACATTATTCCATTATTATTTTTATAGAATCTCTATTTTGAACCAGTGGAAAAGAGCTTCAAGGCAGGATTTGTACTACTGTCAGCCTGTTAAACCATGAGACATGGTGGCGCACTGGTTAGAATGCAGTATTGCAGGCTAATTCTGCTGACTGCCAACTGCTGGCAGTTCGATTCTCACCATCTCACATTTGACTCAGATGACTCAGCATTCCACCCTTCTAAGGTCAGTAAAATGACGGCCCAGATTGTTGGGACAATATGCTGAGTCTGTAAACCGCTTAGAGTAGGAGTGTCAAACTCATGCCGTCATCACGTGACATATTGGGACTTTTTTTCCCCTTTGCTAAACGGGTTGTGGGCATGGCCAGTGCATGACAGTCCTGGCTTAGAGAGAGCTGTAAAGCACTGTAAAGAAGTATATAAGTCTAAATGCTATTACTATTGCTACTGAATGCTCTCGAACAATAATAACTTCATCTTGAAATGTGTAGAGGCAATTTTAAAAATAATTTATTATGTGAAAGGTTTGGAAGGGAAATCAACTATTAGGCTGGATGACAGTTGCAATATGCTATTTAGTATACTGTCTTTGGTGTAAGCCGCCCAGAGTCCTCAGAGAGTGGGCGGCATAGAAATATGACTAATAAATAAATAAATGTGATATAACCAAGTTTATTGCTTATTTGCATGAAACTAAGAGGTACAAGTATAAATTAATAAGATAAAGATGCTGGAACAGGGAATTTTGATAGTAATCATAATTTAACATAAACAAGATGAATTTTTCCATAATACATGTAGAGTGTTAATAACTGGGATAGTGCATTCCCAGCATACCTCACAGTATACCAAGATAAATGTCTTACCTTGACACTTTTGACAGTTACTTGAGTTTTCTCCCTGCAAAAATAAAAAGACTGAATTACCCAGATGGCCCTATATCAGACAAATGTATGTCTTAAGTCTCTGCTTTTCTTATGTTACAAATATATTGGCTGATAATGTTTAATGAACATTACTTGCCTTTCTTGCAGTTCCTTACTGTAGAAATTATGGCAAGTTTGAAATAGCATTTGCAATGTTAAAATAGGACATAAAATTTTGGACATCTTTATTCAAAGATACAAAAATATTTATATGCCTTACATAGATTCAAATTAATTAATTTTGCATTCTAATGGAAAACTTTTCTAGTTTGCTTCTAACCAATAAAGCTACGTTTGACCTGATTTTATTTGCTTCTTACCAGAACTTTTTCCTTGTGCTTTAATGCATGGCTCACAGAAAATTGCTGATGCAAATCATTTCTTTCTTTCCTGGTTCGCAGAAGTTTCTTCTTCTTCTTTTTCTTCTTCTCATTACAGTCCTCCAAAAAGAAATACTCCAATAATTAAATATATCAATGATCAAATTGTGATACATTAACCTAGGTCAAATCAGCTCGATTGTTACAAAAATCGTGAATAAATTTTTGAATGCATTGAGGTGGTTAAAATATGTTTTGGGGTGGAATAAGAAAAACATAATTAAGGTTTTAGCCATGTTATCTTCAGGCTGGAATATGGGAATATTCTAAAGACATACAAACTGGATCCTATTGTTGTGTAAAGATTGTGTTAGCTTTTCCAAATCTTGCTGCAATAAAGAAACAAACAATTAATTATTGGTCCCCTTATTCTGACATATACAATTGTCAAAGTGTTACCAGCCATTGTTCAAATCAAGCTATATTTTTACCAAGCTTTAAATATTCCTAAATATTATAGCTATTTTTGGATTGCAATTGGCCATAATCATAAAGTAAACCCTGTTTAATATTAGAATATTTCTGATTTGACATGCATCAGGGTGCAGTTATTGTTCCATTATTATTATTATCTAAAGCTGCGATTTCTCATTTATAAATAGAATTCTTGGACTTCTACAGTGGTTTATCCTGGCTGAGTTATTGGCTACTTAGGTTTTGAACGAACTATTTACCATCAATTTTAAAATTATTTACTGAATATATATCTTGATTCTGAGAGTAGTATTTTTCTCCTTATACCAATTGTTTGAGATATTTCTGGCTAAGAGAAAATAACTGGCGCTAAATCCCCCAGGATGTTCTATAGTCAAAACAACTTGAATCTGAGTCTACCTAATTAAAATCCAGCACTTTAGTCATTATATTGTATTGGCTCATTTGTTTCACTTCTTCATTGTGAACCATTTAGTAATCCTGTTATTTTCACAATATTTAACCACAAGAACTTTTTGCTTTGGAAATGCATGCAATATTCTCACAAAGTAGGTAGAGTTAGAGAGAAAAAAATCACACTTGTTTATCATTTCCATTTCCAGCATGAACACAACTAACTATAGAATGCAACTTCAGAAAAGATTACAGACTGCTGTTTCTTTCTTTGTTGATTGTTCTCACTGATGGGAAATTCCTCCTAGGTTCCAGGTTGTATCTCTCTTTGATGAGCTTCTATCCATTGCTTCTTGTCCTGCCCTTGGGTGCTATGGAAAATAAATTGAGCCCCTGCTCCCTGCGATAGCCCTTCTAGTATTGGAAGACTGCTATCATGTCTCCCCGAGCCTTCTTTCATCAGGATAAACATACCTAGTTCCCTTAGCCAATAATCATATGATTAAGCTTCCAGACCCCTTATCATCTTTGTTGTTCTTCTCTACACCCTACACTCTTTCTAGGGCCTCAACATTTGTTTTGTATCATGGTGACCCGAACTGAATGCATTGTCTATTTCTCCAGAGGCAGAAATTACAAAGATGTACTTTCAGGCTTGACAACAAGAGGATGTTAGGAGCTATCAGCCAATGGAAGAGGTTGACACATGAAGTTCTCCTTCATTGGAGATCTTCACACAGATTTAGATGACCGTCTGTTGGAGATACTCTATGACAGCTTGTAACCATCAGAAAATATAGGATGTAAAAATAAATTCTACTTTATATTTCTGCTGTGGATCATTCCATCTCATCATGAATCAAATTACTGAATTCCAGGAACAAATTCCAGGGTGAAAATTTAAGCAATGCCAAGAATGCAACCAAGTTTCCAGAAGAAACTACTTGACTCATGGATTCTTCATGTTTGAATCAAAATCTTCCTAGATTAATGCATCTTCAAACTGCAACAATTTGAATCTGTATCTGATCATGCAGAAATAATAAAATATCCAACTATGGGATGTGTGGTGCTTAGAATGAGGGATATCACATGCTATCCAGGGTTTTGAATGGAAAATCATGATCCTGGGCTTAGTGAGAAAAAAAAAGACAAAAACTAAAGCTGATTACATTAACATGACATTAAAATAAAAAAGTATGAATAAATTTACTTTTCAATAGCTTATTTAGTCACACTTTTTCCTGGATCCATTCACCTATAACTTTTTGGCTATCATGGTTATTACACAGGGCTAAAGATGTGTAATAAACATTTTCAAAATCCTCTCTGCAAAGGTAATACAAGAACTGCAACTCCAAACAAAGATCAGAAGGAAGCTGCAGGAAATTCTGTTTTAGGGGATCTTGTCCAAGGCTTTGTGTGAGAAAAATAGGAATTATTCCTGTAAAAGCATAACCTGAGTTATGTCATTTTGAAATCATGTTAAGGTTTTGTTTTACCTTGTATAACCTGATTATATAATTTAGCTGACATTTAAGAACATGAGAAAGGAAATGTGTAATTCCTGTGTTTTTTAGAGGATGTTTGTCTTGCAGGAAATATGTTCTTGGGTTAACTTGCCCTTATTAATTAAAGGAAGTACGCAATTGATGTTTTTGAGGGGTATTTCTGTTGGGAATTGGGGAATTTCCAGGGTGGAATTATGTACTGCATATGTTATATAAGATGTTATGTAAGATCTGAAACTGATTCCCAAGGTACTTTATTGACGTGTATTCTGAATGTCCTGAAGACTATAAAAACTTGTGTAAATTGTTTTATTTTCGTCTTTCTCTACTTTAGAGAGAAAGGCCCTTTGCAAAGAATAAACTTTGTTCCAGGATTATTTTGGTCTTTGTCTCTTTAAAACGATAATGGGATTTACCTGTCGACCACAATTGGCGCCCGAACAGGGACTGAAAACATTCTGTCTGGAAGGGATTTCCCTGCGTGCGCACATAACACTGATTTCAGTGAGATGGGGTTATTTCCTTTCCAGCCGGAATTGCTTTTCTATGAACCTTGAGGCAGAGACCTGAATGCCTGGACAGAGAGGAACGTTCCTGAAGACTTCGGTGCACCAGGAGTGAGTATATGTTTTCTTTTTGGTGGTTTGGATTTGTGTATGTTTGTGTGTGTATGGCCTGTATGATTTGTGTGTATAATTAGTGTAATACAGGTTGGGGAACGTATGGGGACTTTACTAAGGAAAAGTGCTGCTGAGACTGAAATATCCTCCATCCCCCATATCTCCATTAGGGAAATTGTTAGTACAGTGGTTAGAGGATTGGTTGGAAGCTTGTACAAAGGTATTAGATAAGGTGACTATGATTAATTATTGTAAGGAGGGTTGGCTGACGTTTGTGTTGATACAGCCTAATTATAGGTGGAGTAAGTTTGGGAAGTCAGACCCATATTGGATCAATGCTTTGAAGAAAGTTTTGGTGAAAAAAGAAGTTGAAAGTTCAATTGTTATATGTTGAACCTCAGTTCCATGTTCAGTAGTTTAACTCCTCTTCCCCGAGAAGTTCTAGAGTTTTGTATGGGAAGGAAGAAGAAGAGGAAGGTTGGGATCCTTTAGCTTATGCTACATGCCCACCTCCCCCTCCTTCGTATAATCCAAGTTGTGGGTGAAATTGATGTTGTTGCTGGGAGCAGAAAGGAAGAGACTTCAGCAGGGCAGTAATATAGGTAGCTGGAGAAGGAGTTGGGTGAATTGTTAGTAACTGTGAAACAGAATCCATCCACTTCTCCTCATGTTACATGTTCACAAACTAAAGGAATGTTTCCTTTAAGAGGAATGCCGAATGGTATTGCGGCTTTTGTGAATGAGTCTTTGACATCTTCTGATCTGGAAGATTATAAAAGAAATATGCGTCTTTCTAGGCGGATCTGATCACATTGTCTGAGTCATTGGATTTATTCCTGAGACCCAATCTGTATACTTTTGCAGAGTTACAGCATATATTGGGTTATTTGTTCTCCCCTGAGGAGAGGTCACAAATTCGAAAGTCAGCTATGGTCTTTTTTGGGATTAAACCCAAGTGGGGGCTGTTCAGCCCGTTGCTGCAGATGTTAAGTCTCCATTAGTTGATCCTGGTTGGAACAATAATAATTTAGCTGATCGGGAACAAATGGAGGGAGTTAAGACAGCTGTACCTCAAGGAAAAAACAAAAGTTTTTGAGGTGGAACAGTTGTGGGAAGAAACACCGTCTGTGTTTCTGGAAAATATTAAGGACAATTTGAATAAGCACACTGGTCTTTCTCCTGAAACGCCGGCTTATGAGTCCTTAATGAAAATGAAATTTGTGACGAAATCATGGCCAGACATACAGAAGCTTGAAAATTGGGCTACTACTGATATTGCTGCTCTGTTGAAAGAAGCTTAAAAGGTCTATGTGAATAGGGACGAGGCCAAGACTAGAAGAGAAAAAAGAAGGAAAGAAATGATGAATGATGGTGTCTGTGTTGCAACAGACAGGGAAAGGAGTTAGGTAGAAGAGGAAAAGGTTTTGTGAAACTTTGGTTGCAATGTGGCAACAGTGTCCTGGAATTGGGAGAGGATTACTCCAGTGGAAAAAAGTCTAGTGTTGGTGGATTGGAAAGCAAAAAGTGTATTATACGTTTGGATGTGATATTTGTTCTAGAAGTAGGTCTTAATCTGCTTGGGAGAGATGCATTGTCTCTTCTGGGGTGTGAGCTTGGTATACAAATCTTTATTGTTCTTGGATGAGGCAGAAAACTCTGTAGGAATGTGGTAAGGAAGGTTTATTGTTCTTCTTACCTGAGGTTGAATGCGAATATTTTGTCTTTGATTAATGTGATGTGATGGTGATATGTGTGTGCCGGCTAATTAAGTGACCTTCTTGGCTTAAGTCTGGAGCTGTGGAGGACAGGTGTGGTTAGGGCCCAAAATCAAGTTTTTGATTAAAAACCGCATCCTGAAGTTTTCCACTGCTTGAGGAATGGGCTACGAGATGTCAAGGATAAAAATGAAATGGGTATCTGAAGGGATGGAACCTTTCCAGGTTTTATTCCAGGTTTGCAAATGTTGTTAAATGGTGTGTGTGTAATGAGAGTTGTTTAGGCAATAGAGCTCATTGTCTTGAAAAAAAAATAATAATGAGAATGATAATAAAGCTCCTTGAAGTATTTATGCTGACTAGTTGGCAGGGAAAAGGCATGTGTGTGTTGGAATACACTAAAAGGTCTGATTGCAGAATAAATATGAGTGTGTGGTAAGCCCTTAAATGGGGGTGGTAAGGTGATCCTGATATTTGTGAATGCCTGTGCGTTGAACCCCTGAGAAATTTCCTTTTGTATATTGAAATAGTGAGTGGCAAGAGTTTGTTGTTGTAGTTGTTGTTATGTTGTAATAGCAAGTGTTTGAATGAGCAAGTGAGAGATGAGAGAGATCCTATGGAGAAGTAGGATTAGGTAGAGGTATTTGCGATGTTAATTAGAGACAGGAGTAGTATTTTTCTTCTCTATATTTCCCCCGTCTTTTTGTTCTGAATAAGAGAAGTAAGAAAGGGGGGAGAGAAGGTGCGGTTTGTTTTCCCTTTTACACATTTTTTTTTCCTTTGCTGAGTTTGTCTGAGAGAAAGGAGGGGCGAATGGGTGATTTGATCCTGCATTGTTTCTGACTGCATTGGCAGCTATGCAGATGTATTTCCTGTCCTGCTTTAGAGAAGTGACATTGAAAGTTTGAAACAATTATTTTTGGGAGTAGAGACCTGGAGTACCTCTATTAGGTGATTTTCTTTTGCTTTTTGAAGTTTTTTATTACCCTCTTTTATGTTTTTGTGTCTGTGTATTTTAAATGATTTTGAATGCTGAGAAGGAGATTTCTAGATACTGGATAGTCTGGGGAATAGTTGACTATGTTATTTTAGCTTAGTGTTGTCTAGGTAAAGGATGTTTCCTTGAGGGAAGAATTACTGGTAGAAGGTAAAGATGACTTTTTGTCTGGTTAGCTAGGAAGTTACTTGTAAGTTAGTCTGTATAGACTAGTGAATTTAGATTAAGCTTTGCATTTCTTTGAAGTTTGTGGAAATAGTTTAGCTAATTTTTGATAGAAGTGTGGTGTGATTCCTCTGAAGTGGGGAGAGTTGAGTATTTATTGAGACTCTATTGATTTATTGATAGTTAATTTTAAACTAAGTTGTTTGGAAGAAAGGTTGAAGAGTTGAAGAAAGTAATAATATAGTGTTGCTCCAGTGTTATGTTTGCCTGGTTTAAGGAAAAAATTTCCACTTGTTTGTAGTAGTGGAAGATGGTATAGCCAAAGGAGTGTTGGTTTGCATGTGGACTGGGAACTAAAAGATGGTGCACAAATGCTAGGTTTTTAAAATTGTTTCAAGAGAGTTTGGTTCTCTTGACCAATAGGAGAGAGAGATGGGAAGATGTGGAATGAAATTGTGTGGTTATGAATAAATGAATTGAGAATGGGATGAGACTGGATGAGATGCAGTTGTGAATGGAGACACTATTGAGATATTGGAAGGTGGAAAGTTACCGTTTGAATGGTCAGTGCAGATATGTGAGGTTTTTGCTTTATTGTAAGCATTGCACATATTAATTAATGAGGTAGGGAATATTTATGCTGATTTAACCTATGCTTATGGTATCTTACATACTTTTGGGATAATCTGGATTGAAAGGGGGTTGATATTTAGTAAAAGGAATTGCGATAGGTGGAACTTATCACAGCTGTTTTAAAGGCAGCTGAGGATCCTTCTAAACTTGATATTATATAAATAGTGGATGAAGGGGTGTGTAAGTGAATGGGAAATGGATTACTAAGATGGAGTGTAAATTTTTACTAAAGTTGTGATGTGGAATGTGATTGAATGAGTGCATGAGGAAACCTATTGGGGAACGCAAGCACTTATTGATTTTATTAAATGTATATGCATATATGTGTCTAGGGGTGTGTATACAATAGTTATACAAATGGTACGGAAATGAATACATTGTGTATGTAAAAAATATGTAGAGATTTTACCATTTGGCCTTTTCAATGAATCTAAGTAGATTACATTGAAATGCTGGTGGTGTGACCATTGATATATGTAATAATAATAGTGGATTATTTTACTGGATAGGTTAAAGCCTTTCTTTGTGTAAAGATAGGTGCTCAGAAGATTGTTAAATCATATTAGAGCGAATAATACCCAAATATAGTGATAGGGGTATACATTTCATTGTCCAAGGTGATGAAGCTTATGGAACAATTAGGAATTGATTGGCAATTACATTTATTGTTTATGCAAAGTTCTATAGGGTGTTGTGAATGTGCTAATCAGATAAGTAAATCTATGTTATAAAAATTAATGTTAGAGTTTCAACTACTTTGAATGAAGTGTTTGCCTTTAGCTCTATTAAGAATAGGAACTAGTCCTAGGAAAGATCTGGGGATATCTACGTATGAAATGATGTTTGGATTGCCATATGTGGGGAAAGTTGAGATGCCTAGGATAGAATTGAAGGATGTTTTTTCTGAAAATATATATACAGAGACTGTCCCAGTGTTTTTCTCATTTAAGGTAAAAAGGACAGAATCCACCTCTTGATTTCCAAGCACATGAATACAAAAGTGGAGACTGGGTCCGATAAAAGCCATTACTGAGAAGAAGTTGCAGCTGGTGTGGAAAGGACTGTTCCAAGTTTTGCTGACTACTGAATCGGCTGTAAGGACTAAGGAACAAGGTTGGGTATGTTATTCCAGAGTCAAGGGACTGGTGGTTTTGCCTTATGGAAGGACAGTTGCTACGGAACCTGCAAACCCTCTTAAATTGACTTTTTGATGACAAACCTTAGACGATTGGGGACCAACGGATGGAAGAAGAGTTTTATGAAGAGATTTGTATTTGGCTAGGAGTGGTAATAATTCTTGTTGTGTTTTTGATTGTATTGAGGAAAGATATTATTGAATGGTGTAAATCTATGTTTTGGTATCCAGTGGATGTAAGTTCTCCTTGATTGATTGATGTTGGGGGAGCTAGTTCACTAGGAATAATGGGGTTTTTTGTGGTAATGTTTGTTATTCTACAGGTGTGGATAGGAATGGGGATTTTGGCTGTGTTGTCTAGTTACCCTATAACATGGTAGCAGCTATGTTTCCATACTGAATTCGAGCACCGTTATTCTTTTATAGAAGCACCACTAACCCTAATAGACACCACTGAGGAAGCTGAGATATGTATTAAGTCATCTTTTGAAGATGGTGTGTGCCAAGTGCAAACGTACATATGAGATAGTTCCTCAATACATTGGCCTTACAAATAGGATGGAATTTTTATATAAGCAATGCACTGAGCTATTTGGTAATTATATACCTTCATACAAGAAGTTTCGGATTTTGGAGGAAGGGTTACATTTTCTATGTCTAAGGATACAAGTTCCCTCCAAGTTAATGTTTTTATGTGGTAACATGGTATTGACCAAATTACCTATTGTATGGAGAGGAGTTTCTATACTGTTACAGGATATTCATAGTTTACAGGAATAAAAGATCATGAAGAGGAGAATTGGGGATTGTGAGAAAAATAGGAATTATTCCTGTAAAAGCATAACCTGAGTTACGCCATTTTGAAATCATGTTAAGATTTTGTTTTACCTTGTATAACCTGATTATATAATTTAGCTGACATTTAAGAACATGAGAAAGGAAATGTGTAATTCCTGTGTTTTTTAGAGGATGTTTGTCTTGCAGGAAATATGTTCTTGGGTTAACTTGCCCTTATTAATTAAAGGAAGTACGCAATTGATGTTTTTGAGGGGTATTTCTGTTGGGAATTGGGGAATTTCCAGGGTGGAATTATGTACTGCATATGTTATATAAGATGTTATGTAAGATCTGAAACTGATTCCCAAGGTACTTTATTGACGTGTATTCTGAATGTCCTGAAGACTATAAAAACTTGTGTAAATTGTTTTATTTTCGTCTTTCTCTACTTTAGAGAGAAAGGCCCTTTGCAAAGAATAAACTTTGTTCCAGGATTATTTTGGTCTTTCTCTCTTTAAAACAATAATGGGATTTACCTGTCGATCACACTTTGCCAATCTTATTTTTGAGACTCTCTGTTCCACAATACAACCAAGAGCTGCTGATTGCCGGCTCTAAATAGAAAATAGCTAACTCAATTTTCTTATTGAAACCAGTGGCAAAATTACATCTGCAAGGCTCAGAAGGTTGTTGAGTGTTCACCCAGCAGACCATTTGGAAACAGTTACCTATTTAATCAACACAACTGGTGTCTGCTGGTTTCCTCCCCCCCCCCACATCCTCCCCAGGAAAATGAGACAGCAAATGCCTGCAATGCTGAGATCACTGGGGGGGGGGGGAATCAGAAATGTGCTAGCTAATCAGTGCTTCATGGTGCAAAGTGCGAGGTGAATTGGAAATTTTACACTAAGTGACATCGCCATTTCCTTTGACCTTATGGTAGGTAGCAAAAACAAATAACAAATATAATAATTATGAATAAATAACTAACAGTAACAACAGACACTGGGTAATAAAATTACTGACTTTTGTATTTTATATTTTTCAGTTTTTCCATCTGGAATTATTCTCTGCAAATGCATAGCTCTCACCTTTTCTACCATCTTGAGCAAGTGTGCGGGAGGACCATCTGATTGGGAGCTGTCAGACCCACTCGTGCTAATTAAGAGATAAGAGAAGAACTATTCATGTGATGCACAATAACAAACATTGTCATTGTATTGCTTCTAGCAACCTAATTTTGCTAAGAAAGTTTAAGAATTAGTCATAAACTGACTCCCGGGCTATGCCTAAAACTTTAAACTATTCAACCTATTTTCATCATCAAATCACCTGTCAGGCATAAGCCATTAAAACTAATTATGTGGTGAATATCCCTTCCCTTGAGTTGCTTCTCATGTTTTTGTGGTGGGAAAGTTATTTCTGATTCAAGCTGCATAGCTGTCTGGTAATGGAATTGGAAAGACTGCACAGATGTTTCTTAGGTAACCTAGAGAGCAATGATTATTTTTTAAAAAAAATTACCATGTCTATCCATGTGGCTCCAATGCTCATTAGTATATTCCTTCAATGTAGCATTACACATACATTAACAGTTCCTACGAAACTAATAATGCCAATGAAATGAATGTACAGTATGTGCTACAGCAACATCTCTGAAATCAAGCTGTTGAATAAGACAGTGAGTGAGGTTGCATTGATGTTCTCAGGTAGCTGGATACATGAACAAGATACAGCCTACAAAAGTATGAGGAACAGGATAAGAAAAAGAGCTTTCAGAGATGTAGCTCGTTTTAAGCTTCCCTCTCCTGAATAAAAGAGCTAAACATATTAGCAGTATGGTATCTCCTGGCTTGATTATTCTATAGTCTTGGAGGATAGAAAAATCCACAGGGCATTTCACTTTTCTAAAATCCCTTATCACCAAAGGCCGGCAGACTTGGATTACCTGGATTCAACATCAGATAGAGAGATGTCACTCCAAGTACTTTCCATGTTTTTACCCAACTCTGAGAGCTTAGTCTGGATTTTTTGTTTCAGTAAATCTGTAAGCTCTAGCAAGCATTGCTGGAACTAAGAGAAGAACAGAGAATTCTTAGACCAAATGGAAAATATTGTTTGGTTATATACTTCAAAATGCTCCAACCATTCTAACCATTTCAGTGAGGAGTAACATAAATATTAACAAGCAAAATATAAAACAATTTGAAAAATGTACAATATATCAATCTTTACATACAACATACTTAAAAGATAAAAAATAAATCCAAATGGCATCAACAAAAATCTCTTCAACCAGAATGTGCACGTGCATGCGTGCATATGCCTACGTATACACACACACACACACACACACACAGAGCTGAACTTCCTTTAGGATGTACTAGTATCAGTATGATTTTTTTTAAATTATCCTTTGATTATCGAATTTCCTACATGAACTAATTTGCATTTCATATGTTCATAACCTGTGGGGCAACTGTAGTCAGACAAGTCAACAAGTTTCTAGTTAACAAAGTTCATATGTATTCTGAAAAATTAGTATCTGCTACTTGGTTGAAGTTTTGTTTATTATTTCTTATACATTTCAGACTCACAAAGAAAAGGAATACATTGTAGAGGAGTGGGCTACATACATGTCTTCTATTGGTATTTGGACATTTTGGATTTGAATTGCATGGACTATGGCTATTTCCAAACTACATATTTTCAAAATGTGAGAAATGGCAACATTAAAGCATTAAACAATGGCCTCAGAAATATGGGAGCCATGGTGACGCAATGGCTAGAATGCAGAATTGAGGCTGATTCTGACTGCCCACTGCCAGGAGTTCAATCCTGACCAGCTCAAGATTGACTCAGCCTTCCATCCTTCTGAGGTCAGTAAAATGAGGACTGAGCTTGTTGGGGGCAATATGCTGGTATTTGTAAACTATTCAGAAAGTGATATAAAACACTAAACAGCGATATGTAAATCTATGTACTATTGCTATTTAAAGACATTGACCAATCCAACAATATCTTCTAGTTCTGTTAAGCTACAACAGGAAGTTCTCACCTTGGAGCGGTCTGGATCACAAAAGTCCAATAAAGTATCACAGACATGATAACCTAAAGATTTGAGATCCTCAAAAGTAAAATGACAGTTACTTTTAGCACCTAAGAAAGACAAATAAACATGTGGCTCTTTAGTCTTTAGTACAGTAAATACCTTGATATGCAATCAAGAGAAAAAATTCTGAAAGTCTTTCCTTTATTCATCATATTGTATAATTTATTACTTAACCAGCATTCTTTGTGCGGTCTTTTCTTTTGCCATCAGAGTCCATTGTACCTATTATTATTCAATAAAGGACAGAGCATCCAATTTAATCTTTTTTCTTTCTTTTGCTCCTTCCTCTTTTGCTTAATGCTCCTGTAGAGTGAGAATTTACTCTTCTAGTTGTATTGTTTTTCTGATCTCTTGCTGTCTACAATTATGTCATATTCTTTTCCATGCTGTCTACAATCAGGGTTAGTCAGAATTAATCAGAAAGCTAATCAGAATTAGCTAAGATCTTCCTCCCACACTTTCCTTAGCTCCTTAAAAATTCAAAAGGAGATAGTTTTAGATGACCTCACTCATGCTGCTAATGCTTCCAAAGTCTATTGACTTTGACAGAATGCTAAAACACCTTGATGATGTTAGGATTTCATAGCCAGTAAGCTTGATTCTTCTTTTTCCAGTGCTGCTCGCTTTACTGTATTTAATTTTAAATACTCTTACCATACAGTCTCTGTTTCACAAGGAGATACCTTTATTTTCGCACAACATGAAGCAATCAGCCCAAGTAATGAAATAAGGCTGGGATAGCTATGAATTTAAATATAGGCCTAAGGGGCAAATCCTCCCATCCTGTAGGCTGAGCGCACAGCTGCTAAACAAAGACCAATTAAAAACTGCCAGACCATTAAAAACAAGACAATACATGTAGTTCTGAGTTGAACTATGGGACCCTTGGTGCTCTCCGAGCTTGGTTGTTCTCCTACTATCTGAACCTAGCCATTTTTAACATATATAATGTACTGCCTTGAATAGAAAAAAAGTGTACAGTCACCAAGTGTTGATCCACTAAATGTAGATTCCATAGTATAACTGTTTAGTATTCCCATTCGCCACATCACAACTCGTCCAGTTCCTTCTTTACACTTCTGAACTTGAAATTTACAGCTGTTGAAACAAAACTGAACATCCAAATTGTCCAAATTAGAATTATTATATTATTAGAGATATTTATTTATTAAAGCATTGTTGGATCAGGCCAAATAACTAACTAACCCTCAGTAGTTCATTAGATGCATTAAAAAAAAAAAAACCTCTAGAATGCAGTTGATTGAGAGCCAGTTTGGTGTATTGGTGAACGTGCTGACCTAGAAACCAGGAGAAAGTGAGTTTTAGGTCTGTCTCAGGAATGAAAGTTGTCTGGATTGACTTTGGGACAGTCGCTCTCTCTCTGCCCAACCCACCTCATAGGTTATTGGGTTGGGGAAAATAGGAGACAAGAGTATTGGGTATATTCACCACTGTGAATATATAAAAAGTGACATAAAAATTAATAATAAAAACCATTTATCTCTCAGATTAAAAACTGTGTATCTTCTAGGGATTGTTGGCATCGAATGTTAAACCATCTTGTGAATTGCTTGGATAAGCTTAATCTAAAATAAAATACAATTCTAGATAGAAAGTCTGAGGTAGCAAATGAGTGTTTCAGAATATTATTTGTTATGTTCTTCTGATTGGCTACATGCAATTTGGAAGTGGGCATATAGCTATAGGATCTTTTTGAAAAAAAAAATTTACAACCAATAATTTACACATGGCTTTTAAGTAATGTTGCATTCTGAGCTGTTAGCACCTCATTCTCCTGCTTCTGATAAAGTGCACATTTCCCTCCCCCACCACCTTATGCTTGGATTTTGCCTAATCTTCAGCTACAATTGTTTTCCAGTCATTATTTAGGCCGACAAACATTTTCCAAACTGTATCCAATTAATTCCATCTTACGATAAAAAAGACAATGTATATATACATATACATATACATATACATATACATATACATATACATATACATATACATATATATATATATATATATATATATATATATATATATATATACACGTTTGTGTGTGTGTATATATATATATGTATGTATGTATGTGTATGTATATATATATATGTGTGTGTGTGTGTGTGTATAGTTAATATATATATATAGTTTATATATATATAACTAATATATAGTTATATATATATAAATCATAGAGGAACATATAATGAACAGATAACTGCTTCAAAAGCATTTTCTGTGTTTTTACATTTTTTTTTTCTGTTTAAAATTAGAGGTATAATTTTAATTTGATTTTTAGGAGCTGCATTAATTTAGCTGGTTTCTTGAAAATAAAAAAGATTTATTTTTATGAGTTTGTATTAATTTTTTGTTATCTGCTTATACTGAATAATTTGCTATAATTGTAAAACGTAAGAAAAATCAATGTCATAGTTCAAGAGGATTGAAAAAATATATAAATTTCATAAATTTCTGTTCCAAATTACCTCACATTTCACCACCAAATTAAAAGAAAATGCTTCTACATCCATTAACTAAAAATGGTACAAGTCAGAATATGTAGTTTATTTAAGGGAGGAAAAATTTTGCCATTGTAATCAGGTTTTTTTTTTAAAAAAAATAATTCCAATAATGAAAAGAAGTCTGAATAAAATGGTATCTGTGAAATTTAGAGAATTTATATACTGAATTAGAATCTGCATATAGAATACATTCAGGCCTCACCTTATCAGGAATATTCTTGCTCATCATAAGAGGAAAGATTCGCTCATGAAGTAACCCATTTTGTGCATATTTATTGTTACAGCCATACATGAAGATATTGTTCTTTCGACTATGCCCATGGATATCACAATAGAGCAGAACTTCACGTTCCTCAAGGACTCTTTCAGAAAAGGGACATAAGACACAGATAAAGAAAGTGAGATCCAAGGAAACCTTTGAATGTCTGATTTTATACAGATAAACATGTAAACAACCATATAATATTGTTTTCCCCCCACTTGTATGGCAGTATCAAACAATTAGGAATTTGAAAATTCCTGCCTGATGCATCTTTAGCTAGATTTAGTACTTATTTAAAGTAAATAATGTAAATTATTTTTACATTATTTATTATGTATATTATTTACATAATATACATTATAAAATAAATAACCAGCACGCTCCCACAGAGAGGGACTCCTCAGGGTGCCATCAGCCAGGCAATGTCGGCTGGCAACCCCCGGGGGGATGGCCTTCTCTGTGGCAGCTCCCGCCCTCTGGAACGATTTGCCCCCGGAGATAAGAAGGATATCAGATCTCTGGGTCTTTCGCCGTGCCCTGAAAACTTTTCTTTTCCATCAAGCAGGGCTGGCGTGAACCCCGCCCCCTTTTTTTGTTTTTTAATTGTTTAGCTTTTAATCTGTTAATGGGTTTTAATTCGAATTGTTTTAAATTCGGGCCAAAGTATATAATTCTTTTAATAATTTTAAATTTTGTATTGTTATGTGTTTTAGTTCTGGCTGTGCACCGCCCTGAGTCCACTAGGAGAAGGGCGGTATACAAATTGAATAAAATAAATAAAAATAAATAAATAACTGGTTGATTCTTGTTTTCCTACTAAAACTGGCAGAATAGCTGTAATCCAGTACACTTCTGGCAGAAAAAAAGGCAGTTTGGCCTAATGGTTAAAGCATTAGGCTAGAAAGTAGGAGACCAAGTGTTTTAGTCCCGCCTTAGCCATGAAAACTGACTGGGTGATCTTGGGCCAACTCATTTCACAGGGTTGTTGTGACGAAAATAGGAGGAGGGAGTTGTGTTGAATATGCTCACTGCCTTGAGTTATTTATAAAAATAAATAAATAAAAAATAAGAAAATGAAAGCACAAGAATTTTAGAAACAAGAAATAAAAGGAAAAAACAACAACACTGATTCTCTGGCACTTTTGTCAAAACTGATCAAACACGGGATAGCCCTTAAAAATCATGGGTGTATTAGATCATTTTACCTGCTTCTTGAAAAATATGTATGATATCCAGGAAGTAACAGTTAAAACAGCATGAGCGAAGCAAGTGTGCACACGCGATCCTGTTGCGAACCGGTAGTAAAGGTAAGTAGAAAACCACCCCTGCCTTAACCCGTTAGATGTCAAGGTCCTCTTCGAACACGATGGACTAACATCATTAAAGAAATTTGTATAGCTGCTCGACTCACATGCAGTGACTCTGTATATATGCGCGCGCATACACACACACACACACACAGAGTTCTTAATGTATGCTGCCTTTAGAAATTTCATATAAATCTCTGTCACTTACCTCTTGATCATGGCCCGAGTATACCAAATGCAGGGGAAAGATTCCTTTAGTTCTGTCCTATAGTTTCTGTTCAAGTCTCTTCCTGCCAACGAACAGCGATAGTTCCCCACAATAACTCCATCTGGGTTCAGCATGGGCACAACTTTAAATATGAAGAGATCTCGAAGGAGATGAGCATCAGGAGCATCACTCACGATAAAATCTAAAAAACCTCTCATCACCCACGAACTATTTGTTTCCCCAGGATGGACTCTGGCACTTAGTACAATCGCTTTTTTTGCTGCTGCAGCAATGGCACCTTTGGATGGATTGGTAATAGTGAGAAGGTATACTATGTTTCCAGCTAGACTGCTGCACAGAGGGCGGAGTTTGCAATACTGAGAATAGAGTGGATTCCCTACCAAAGTCAAAAGATAATTTTGTAGGTCTGAATAGGTATATGGATAGAATTGAGCAAAGTAACATGTGTCATAGCTGTTAGGAAAGCACACTGTCCATGTGAGGCAATAGAGGGTTTGACCTTCTTCTGTGTTGTATTTATAATACTTGATATCATTCCCCACCCTCCTCCAGCCAATACCCTGAGACTCAGCATCCTTCTGAGAATACATGAGAGGCTTCATCCCCATATTGTAGAGGCTTTTGGCTTTCATCAGATTAACAATTGTGAAGCGGTACTTGACATCTTTTCTAGTATTTTGTACTCTGAAGTAGTACCACTGGGTATGCTTGCTGGTATAAAGATCCGTCCGCAGAGTGAGTTCATATTCATATTCGCCTCTGAAATGAAACACAGAGAACAAAGATGCATTAAAGGACAGCAGCAGCCTCTTCCTCTAGGAAGAACTACATAATAACATGTCCTATAGTCTTATTTAAAGATTAAATAAATTCATTTTATTATGGTCTTCTTCTCTGTGATTAGAGAGTTCAAGGATACACACTTTCCATCAACATGTTAATGTGGCATATAATTTGTTATTTGTGTGGCATATGTGGCCTTGGCCAGATACCATTTTGGGGAAATGGGAGTTTTAAGAGATGAACGCCTTAAGTCTTGCTGGTCTGTGGTATTTAGCTGATGTGCTTCATATGGAAAGTAAGGTGGCTTAGAAATCTTAGCAAATATTCATTTTTATTTTCTCCCATTCTGCAAGGAAGGGGATGAGTTAAATGAAAGGTGGGAAATAAGTAAGTAAGGAGAACATTCTTAGAACAGGGCTAAGATGTAACAAAGACAGCTAAGTGGCTCTCTTCAAGGATCATATGGTACTAATAGTTTCCCTAAAAATCTAATAGGGAAAGCAGTGTATTTTTGGAATGCCAAATGTGAAAATGCCACTTATGTGTCACCTATATACAGTTGCAAACAAAGTTTAAGAACTACTAGTTAAACTGTGAATTCAAATAAACCCTGAAGTGAATGGATGCTGACAAAACCTCTACATCTTCTGCAAAGTTGACTACTTAATACTTATGTGCAATTGTTTACAAATAAAGAGTGAATACGGCAGGTGAAGAAAGTTGGTCAATATTTTATATCACCTTTGGCAGAAGGAACAACTTCAAAAAGCTTTCCATAGCTAGATAAGAATTTTGTCTCACTGTCGGATTTCTCCCCACTCTTCCTTGCAGATCTCTTCTAATAGTCTCAGGTCTCCTTGCATGCCCTGCATATTTAAGATTTTCCCATGGACTTTCAATAAATGAGTTCTGGGGAGTGAAAAGACCATTCCAAAAACTCGAAGGTGCTTTTTCAAAAGGCAACTAGACTGGTGGTTTGTTTTTTTTTCTTTTGCACTCTGATACAGATGTCCTTGAGGTCGCAGATAAATCACCAAGTGGCCTCAAGAGCTCTCAGGGAGAGTACTAACACCAGATGACTACAAAGAAATACAATTACCTCCCCTCATCCTATCAGAACTAATCCTTCCATCACCCCCACCATCCTGCCAGAACCAATGAAGCTTCTTGGATGAGAAGTGAAACGTCTTCCTCAAACCCCCCCCCCAAAAAAACAGTCCAGTTGCCTTTTGAAAAAGCACCTTTGAGACAACTATGACCCGGATGTCTGAGAATTTCCAGAGACAACATTCTAAAACCTTTGTCTTTCTTTCCTGAAAGCATGGATAATTTGGAGACATGAGAGAATAATGCCTCCATAGGCCTCTCCAAATCTCAGTGCTATATGCTAGGTCAGCTCTCTTTTCTGTGATAAGATTCTGGATGAGGGAAGCCTTATGACGGGCCAACCTGGCACTTAGTAATAGCAACTGGAACTCAAAACTGCTGAGGCTCCAGTGCCCTAGTATTGGAGGCCTGCATCTAAGATACTTTCAGCAAAGTCTCATCTCTCACTCTTCTTCTCATTTCCTTTGTTAGTTTGCTTAATATATACAGAGTGCTTAAGAGTTCTGGAGAACTAAAAACCTTGCTAAAGTAACTGCTTAAGTAAAGCACTATTTGCCCAAGATGTTAGTTTCCTTTGAACTATTTATGAAAGGCGTAATAAATCATACTGTTTTTAGTTCCAGATACATTTGCATATAAACGTTTAGCCTCTTCCCCCCGCCCCCCTCCAGCATTTGGTAAAAATGATGGAACTCAGCAGACAAGTAATTTTTTTTACAGATGCTGGGAATAAGATTTTAAATAATGTATATACTAAAGAACATTCTACAGGACTGGCAAAATTTGCAAAACAAGGAATATTGTGAACCTTAAGGAGCATGTTGTGTCATAAAAAGTTAAGATGATTCAGACTAGATAAGCTCCAAATACAATCGATCAAACATATTATTATGCAGCTTGTTCACTATGCAGTTTGTTCACCTTTCCCTCTTTAATAGATGTTTTAATAGAAAACACAGAAAGGTTGGTAAATGGAAAATGAGTTGAGAAACAAGATTACTTCATGATAAACATTTCACTAGCAACATATTTAGCTTTTAAGAGGCTGTAAGAATTGTTTTAAAGTGTTACAAAGAGTTAATCAGGTGTTTTACATTTATGCAGAGAATTACGTAAATTAAAATAACTGGAATAATTTATTATTCAGGTAATCCTTACAACCATTTGTTTAGTTACTGTTTAAAGTTGCAATGGCATTGCAAAAAGTGACTTAGGACCATTTTTCACATTTATAACTGTTGCAGCTTCCCCATGGGCAGATGATCAAAATTTGGGCACTTGGAAACTGGCATGCATTTACGACAGTTACACTGTCCCAGGGTCATGCGATCACCATTTGTAACCTTGCCAGCTGGCTCCTGACAAGCAAAGTCAAAGAGAGAAGCTACATTTGCTTAACAACTGCACGATTCACGCAACAACTGCAGTGGTTTGCTTAACAACTGTGGCAAAAAAAGATTATAAAAATATGGCAACCCCCCCTTAACAACTGCCTTGCTTAGCCCAGAAATTTTGGGCTCAACTGTAGTTGTAAGTCGAGGACCACCTGTATAGCAACTTACATTAAAACTGATGGTCTGTAGAGATTCTCAGTCAACCAGGTCATGGTTGTTCCAAAAGTGCTTTTTTTCAGGAGGCAACTGGACTTCCTCATTTTTTCTTTGAAGACGTTTCGCTTCTCATCCAAGAAGCTTCTTTAGCTCTGACAGGAAGCTTCTTCAGCTCTAATTTCCATTCCCCACTATCCTGTCATAGCTGAAGAAGCTTCTTGGATGAGAAATGTCTTCAAAGAAAAACCAAGGAAGTCCAGTTGCCTCCTAAAAAAAAAGCACCTTTGGGACATTAAAACTGATGATAAAATAACATACATCTGAAACCTGAGGCATCTCTTACAAGCACTGGATTTGTAATAAATCTTACCAGTAGCACTGTGAATGTTCATGCAATAGCATAATAAATGTCCATCAACTGATTATCCTAGCCCTTCGCTTAAAAAAAATGTTCTCCTTTCCTGGTCCCAGATAGTTTCCTGCGCTATATGATTCCCAACACTTCTTACTCACACCCTGACTGCTTTCTGGAGATTCCCACTTTCAAAGCGTGATTCAAATAACAGTACGGTGTCTTCTGGATCTTTTAAGCTGACGGCAGCTGACTTGATAGGTTGCCTTGATCCTCCAACTCGTGAAGCGATAAAATAGGTACCTGTAATTGCTGCAGAAGAAGAGAAATGCCTGTCAACGAGGCATCGTAGATCTTGGTCTCAGAAACTAGATCTGTGTACTAACTCTGCAAAATCCGTTGTTAAAATTACTGACAAATACGAATCTCCCATGGATAAATAGCAATTAAAATTGACTACAGATAAGTAATTTGATTTGTTTTGTTACTTTCTAAAAACTGGGCAAAATTAAAAATATTGTACAGTACTTCTCTAACTTTCCTCAATGATAAGTAAGAACTAAATTAGATAATACATGCAAGGCAATATGTATAACAATCCTCAATGTTATAGAGGCTATGGTGGAGCAGCAGAATAGTTGAAAAACTGCATAACTCTGCCTTCAACAAACATTTTTATTATAGTTTTCTACCTTATGCTCTTTTTTGAAATAAGTACTTTGGCATCTTTAGTAAAGAACCTGAGATACGGCAGGGAGTTAAATTCAAGCAGTCTAAGTCTCACTCAACCCATTTTTTCCTTTCTCCCCATGGTCTGTTACCTACACTACTTTCTTTCTCTTCTGTATTTTAATTCACAGCTGACTCTTGTCTTTATTTTCTAATTCTCCATTTGCAAGTTTCTCTTTTGATTTTATCAACAAATTCATTGAATTCTGTTGAATTCTCTTAGTTTTCCATCATTCTCTCTGATTGCCAGTTTCTCCATTTATTCTTTTGTTAGGACTAATAAAATGCATTTAAAGTATCTGTATATGGTATTTTTAAAAATAAAGGAAGCTAATCTTTCTTAAGGATAGGAGAGACCAATGAATACAGAGCATAATTTTTATCTGATACATTATTTGACTTATAAGTATGTATTATACTGGATGTTGTGAAGCTGAGAACCACTATGGAAAAGCCAAAATACAATAATTTTTAAAATATTACAATACATAAAAAATAAGACATAGATTATTTATGCTCTCAATTTAATGTAGGCTTATATAACTGATTTGTTTACAGGTGAACAAAGTCATGTATATGTCAAAATGTACCGTATTTTCCGGCGTATAAGACGACTTTTAAACACATGAAAATCTTCTCAAAAGTCGGGGGTCGTCTTATACGCCGGGTGTAGTTCTCCTGTAACCAGGCAGACCAGCCCGAAAGGCTCTGACGAGCCTTAAATGGCTCTGGCGATCCCAGCTCTGATGATCCCAGCTGAGTTCCCTGCAACTCAGCTGGGATCGCCAGAAATCACGTAAAAGGGAAAAAGTTTTTTCCCTTTTACTCTGAGGATCCCAGCTCTGACGATCCCAGCTGAGTTCTCTGCAACTCAGCTGGGATCGCCAGAAACCACGTAAAAGGGAAAAAGTTTTTTCCCTTTTACTCTGAGGATTCCAGCTCTGACGATCCCAGCTGAGTTCCCTGCAACTCAGTTGGGATCGCCAGAAACCACGTAAAAGGGAAAAAGTTTTTTCCCTTTTACTCTGAGGATCCCAGCTCTGACGATCCCAGCTGAGTTCCCTGCAACTCAGCTGGGATCGCCAGAAACCACGTAAAAGGGAAAAAGTTTTCCCCCTCCAGCTTGCTTACCTCAGCTGCTAGTCGCAACGCTTGCCTTGCTTTGCTTGCCTGAATCTATTCAGGCAAGCAAGCAACTCCCTGCCTGCAATCAAGCAAGGAGTTAGTTGTGGACTTAAACTCCCAGAATTCCTCAGCCAGCAAAACAAAGCTGGCTGAGGAATTCTGGGAGTTGAAGTCTACAAGTCTTAAAGTTGCCAAGGTTGGAGACCCCTGTTCTATTGGGTAAGTTTTTTTCCCCTTTGGGAGCTTTAAAAAAAATAGTCAATTGGGGTTTTTTTAGTTGTTCTTTTTTAGACCTAGCCATTTAAAGTTTAGGAAGTTTTAAATTTAGCTTTCATATAAAAATAAAAATAAAATAAAATAAAACAATATTTGTGCAGCTTTCTGAGATTTAGTGTGTTTCTGTAGTGTTTCACTCCAACTACACAAACACACAAAATCTCACAAAGCTGTATGTGGAATTTTGTGTGTGTAAAGTGTGAAAGTTGGTTTTTTGGACTTTTTGTGGCTGTGTGAGGTTCCTGCTTGTTGCAGGGGCCATTTTGGGTCTAGCACAGCTGCTTTTACATTGTGGGTGAGCCAGTTGTGTTGTGTTGTGTGTGTTTAGAGTGTGAAAGTTTTTTTGGGGGGCTTTTTGTGGCTGTGTGAGGTTCCTGCTTGTTACAGGGGCCATTTTGGGTCTAGCACAGCTGCTTTTACATTGTAGGTGAGCCAGTTGATGTTTTTTAATTTTTATTTGGTGTGCGTTGGAAGAGGGATAGTCTTATATGGCAAGTATAGCCCAAACCCTATATTTTAACAGGAAAAGTTGGGGGTCGTCTTATACGCCCAGTCGTCTTATACACCGGAAAATACGGTACATGAACTTGCAGCAAATCATTAAAAATCAATTCAATAATTAATAAATTGTAATTGATTATACTGAACTACCAAGCAGTTAGACTCTAAAATATGCAAATCTAATGTTTGTAGATGTATATATACCCTCAGAAAGATGTACATGGATGATTTCAAAATTAAGATATTTTTTAACCTTTACAGTAGATAGCCTGCACTGTTCTCAGCCACTGACTCCCTATATTAAGGCATCTTTTTAGCAATGTACTATCACCCCATGTATACCAATACCTGGTTCTATGAAATAGACAATGGTTCCAGAACTCTCTCCAACTATTTCCGGTGCAAATTCATTTCCAGTTGGCTGATAAAAAGGTTCCGGTTCGGGAGGAACCCATTCTAATAAAGAAGCAAATAATGGCACATACTTATTTCATTGTGATTTTGAATTCCTAATTTAAAAATTAAATACTTCCTATTTATTCTGGTTGACTCCTTCTTCCAATTTGAGTTTCCTCTCAGTTCCATTCACAGTATGATATGCCAGCATGCAGAACACATTTTAATATATATATACAGTATATTCTTCTTTCAATGAACATCAATGAACATTCTGAGCCAACTACCTAAATAGAGTAAAATATTTATGTACCTATTGAACCATTTTGTCACCAACTAGGTATTTTAAAAATCTAAAAAGGTATAAAATAATACAGATAGTTCTCAACTGATAACAGTTTGTTTAGTGACTATTCAAAGTTACAACGGCACTGAAAAAAAGTGACTTATGACCATTTTTCACACTTACAAATGTAGAAACATTCCCATAATCATGTGATCAAAGTCACGATGCCTGGCAACTGACTCATAATTATGACGGTTGCAGTGACCTGCTGTATGCGATCATCTTTTGCAACCTTCTGACAAGCAAAGTCAATGGGGAAGCCAGATTCACTTAACAACCATGTTAATAATAACTTGACAACTGCAGTAATTCACTTAACAACTGTGGCAAGAAAGGTCATAAAATTGGGCAAAATACAAATACCTATTTAAAAAGCTAATTAAGCATAAAGAAACAAGCCTTGCAAAAAGAAATTCAGCATTATTTCCAAAGAGTTATTCTTATTTTGCTATCCTTCTTAAGTTCTTTGAAATTTTCATCAGGCATTTGAATAAAAGTGATTGTCAATGTGGCATCTGGCTGGATCTGACTCTGTTGGATCTGACTCTGTTGATAGTATATATTTGGATTTTTAAAAAACAATTTATCATCAAAAGTTGTTGACTTAGCAGTCATAGAAAAAGTGGACCTGTTCTCTTATGTATTTGGTTACAAACAGAAAACACTTCCTCACATAGCACATTAAATTCTAAAATTCATTACTCAAGACATAATAATCAATATTCAACCTCGAATACCTCCAGGTTGTGAGTAGCATGGCTCTAAGTACTAGCTATAGGGGAACAATGGTGGGAGAGGGTCTGTATCTCCTACTTTGATTTCCTGAAACATCCAGTTGACCATTGTGAGATACTGGACTTAGAAAGACCTTGGTCTGACCCAGCTTGGCAATTCCCATATCCTTTTTTTCTCTTAAATGTATAGGGTTATTTCTGGAATGATTTGCAGTCATATGAGCAAAATTCTATTTGTACAGTAAATACATTACATTACAACAAATACATTATTCCCAATATAAGATTCAGGTTACCAGTGTGATAGATATGATCCTCAATTACTTCACATTCGATTGGCCAGAGTGGGGTCAATTTTGAATTTCTACCTCTAGGAAGAGAAAAAAGATTCCGAGGTTCCCGTAAGCGCAAGATACTAGGGCTTTCTAATTGATCAAGCATGCGCTGTTTACTTTTAAGAAGTGCAGTTTCCATGACCAATGAACCTGCCAAAGAAAAAACATATACAATATGCTACTATTTTCTTTTCAGGCAGACAGTGAAGATTTTATTTCATTTTCAATATTTAATGCACAACAGATTAATAATTCAATTTACTTACAGAGTAGGGTCTTGTCTGAATCATGTTCTTCTCTATCTTTTTTGCAGAAGTTGCCTGCTGTCAATAAATGGCATGAGCTCTCCCAGCTTTCAAAAGGAAAACTAAATTTGTGAGGGAAATTTTCCTCATCTAAGAAGTAAAATTTTGTAATATTATTTTGTGGAGTTAGTTATTTATAATTAATCTTAAAATTACAAGCGAATACATTGAGAAATTATGCTGTATTACTAAAACCATATATATATATGCCAGGCTCATAGGAACAGTTGCCAATGTGTTATATTCAACTGCAACTGTCTGCAGATTCCACATTGCCTTGCACCACTCTACCCTCATACATCTACCCACCAGAGCGGGGAGGCAAGGAACGCTGTGGGTCCCACCCCTGAGGGAGATACACCTGGTGGGACCCAGAAGGGCCCCCTCCATGGTGGCTCCCTCTCTCTGGAATATCATTCCCCCAGAGATTAGAATGGCCCCTACTCTAACACTCTTCCGGAAGGCGCTGAAGACCTAGTTCTGCCAGCAGGCTTGGGGAACGCAGAGCAGGATAGAGCCCATTAAAAGGCTTGTGTGATGTGTTGTCGCCGGGGGGGGGGGGGGGGTTGGGTTATTATATTATTATATTATTTTATTATGTGATTATTCTCTTTTATTAGTTTTATTGTTTTATGAGGTTTTTATATTCCTGTAAGCCACCTAGAATCGCCATGTGTGACTAGGCGACAATATAATTTCCTAAAATAAATAAGTATTTCTCTAATCTATTCTGGAGGATTTGGGAATCCCAGATTCCCAGAAGTCTGTTTGTTTCAGGTAGGTGATACTATAGTCCAAAATCATTTATATGATAGCAAGCTGCCAATCCTTGAAATTGGTATATACTGTACATAGACCAGTTTCAATTGCTGCCTAATGTGATATGCATTATCAATTTCAAGAGTGAGCAATTTTTTCAGCTGAAGGGTGCACTAAAAAAAACAAAAACAATGTTGGCCTTCAAGTCCCAAAGGTGCTTTTCAAAAGGCAACTGGACTTTCTTTGTTTTTTCCTTGAAGATTGTCCAACTGCTTTTTGAAAGGCACCTTTGGGACAACTATGACCTGGATGATTGAGAATCTCCATCGACAGCTGGCTTCCAATGGTCACTGAAGGTTTGCTAATGTGGTGCCATCACAGTAAGTAAGGATGAACATTTCTAACCTATTTTGTTTTTTGGCAGATGAGGACTGAAACCGAAAAAGGAGTTTAATCATCAATTTCAATCTTTTATATTAGAAAAAATGCAAGAACTCTTTTGATATCAAATATCAACTATGTTCTATTAAATTCCACTGGTATCATCAGTGGATAGTCAAGGGAGAATAAAAAGTCCATTATTCCCCACATGTCCCTAAACTCCATTGAGGAAGGATTATCTGTTTCAGATGATTAGGACAGAGACAGAAGTAAAAGAACAGTGTCTTATATTGTGTAGTATCTGTGTGTTCCTATAAGTCAATCTTGACTTTTAGCAACTGCTTGGACAAGTCCAGGCAGTTTTCTCCACAACATTTTCAGAAGTGGTTTTCCAGTGTCTTCTTCTTAGAGCTGAAAGACAGAAACTCATATAATCCTAAAACCGGACTACAACTCTGCAAATTTTAATCCTTTAACCATTAAGTGTTATTTTTTCAATATTTCCTCATTATAAGTACAACAGCTTTTTTGACTAAAAGACATTTTTTTCATATTAGAAGCTATCCCCTAAATTGTTATCCACCTATCCACAAACTGGCAGAAAACTACAATAGCCCAAAATTTGTTGTACCCATCGCTGATCTAAGTCTTGCCTCCACTCTGTCTCCTATTACTGTAAGTCAGTTGACCTCTTTCCATGTTAATTCGTGGCAAAGCTTAATAGATTTTATACACCTTGAAACAGTTTTTGGATGGTGTCAGAATAAAGGGGAAATTATTATTTTAACATTAGCACAGCTAAGGACAACTTAAACTTGTCTCACCTACAGACTGCGGACAATGGACAAGGGCAAACTGATTTTTAGCTATGATATGTTTCTTTTACTGCTACCTTATATTTTCATTTGCTGTCAATTCTCAGAATCTGTGCAGGTTCCACGGTCATAAAAAAGGAGGTTCAGGAATTGAAAGTCCAAGCCTCATGTTATCCATTGTGATAGGAAATCTAAGTCTAAAAGTGCTTAATGCCATCTGGTCTCCATAGAGAATTATATGAATGAAGCAATTATTGCAAGATAAGTAACAGTAAGCACTAAGGACTTTGTAATGTTCAAACAATAAAAAGAAGCTGTGAAAAGTAATCCCTAGCTAGTCCTTTGACAAAGGCAGTATCTCTTGCTACAGGATGTTACAGATGCAATAAAAATGGAAACATCAAATTGAGAACAGATGCCTTACCTCTGAAATAACCATAGTACTGAAGATGATGATATATAAACTGTTCATATGGGTCTTTAAACTGCTGTGGAAACAATTAGATTTCTGATCATTCTAAAAGCCAGCATGTATACTTGAAACTCGTTTATCATAGTGTAGCAATGCTGAGACCAAAATAAAAATACCTGAATATGCTGTATTTTAAGTATGCTCTTGAAAGGACTTCTTGCTGGTCATACTCAAAATCCAAACTATAACTGTTCATCAGATCTATATATATACTACTACCGTAATACTGTTGTGTCTGTTTGTTTGTTGCCTTCAATTGGGCAAAATTGAGAAGTACAGAGCAACAGTTATTGAAGCAAGGTAACTGAAATGGGCTTACAGAATGCTGGGACCCATGACTCTTGTGGGAATGAAATTTGGGGAAGTTGTGGCCACTTCGCATCATCACACCTTCAACTATACTTCCTAGAAACCTGTAGGTTGCATGGCACAAGGAAAGATGGGAGAGGCATATTCCCACCCTCCTTCCTGTCTCCCTCTAATCCCTGAGGGCTGGCAGCAAGGCCTGATGGGCAAGTGTCCACTGGATGCTTTGGAGCCAAGTCCAAAATCTGAAATCTCCTAATGGTAATGACTGGTGAGGAAAGGGGGAAGGAGCGACTGGGATGCTTGCTGGTAAGGTAGAGCTGATTGGGGAGTGCTGGTAGTTGACAGATGAGCCCTCTTCCTCCCTGATGGGGGACACTATTGTTGAATAGTGGAGCAGAGGTTTGCTGCTCCCTTTATTCCTCCTCCCCAATCAAAGTGATAGGGAGCTGGGGAGGAGAGGAGGAGGAGGAGAGTCAGTGGCAGCTGCTTTACTGGGACTCTGCTGAGGGTCATAAAGGAGCAGAAATTGAGCAAACATATATTATCTGTGGAGAGAGGAAGGACAAGAGAGTGCTTGGAATGCTGGCTGATGAGGTAGTGCTGGCTGGGAACTATTGGTGGTTGGCAAGGGGGACATTCCAAAATGGGGAGCAGGGGTGCAGTTTTCCTTGTGGTCTGCAACTCACTTGGTTCCCTCTTCCTCCAGCAAAGTGCAGACAGTACTGCCAAGGCAGCAGCCGTCGCCTGAGGATCATAGGGGAGGGGAAAGCGTGCAAGCCTACATTGTATGCGGAAAGAAGAATGACTCAAAGGGTCACAGGTTGTCCAGTATACTACTAAAACTCTTGTGTTTGTAACCTTTAACTGGGTGAAACAGTGCATTGTAGGGCAACAATTTTTGAACTGAGATACCTCAAATGGGCTAACCTACAGAAAGTGTCCAAAATCTGGAACCCCTGACTCCAGTGGATTTGAAATTTGGCAAATTTTATAAAATATTTTATGACATAAAATATTACAAAGCACTTTATGACATAATAAATGTCATAAAACATTTCATGTGCTCAACTCCTGCTGTTTGACTGTGCTATGCAGTTCAGCATGGGCTATTTTCAAGGCAAATGCATTTCCAAATATCTCCCGGAATTTTTAGTAATTTTTCAGTATTAGAAGCTCTGTTATTGTTGAAGGCACCGAGGAATCTGATAAGGAAATAGCTGTAAAATCATGATCTAATAGATCATGAGTTGTCTAATTTCTCTTAAAAATCTAAAAGATTGCCCATCTCTCCCAGAGAACCCAGTTTTTGCTTTACCCATGCACCCAACAACCACTCTCAGAAATTAAAAATGAGAGACTTTAAGCCTAGTTTCTTAAAACATATGAACCAGAGCTGGGTTTCAGCAGGTTCTGACCAGTTCTGGAGAACTGGTAGCGGAAATTTTGAGTAGTTTGGAGAACCTGTAGTAAAAATTTTGACTGGCCCCGCCCCCATCTATTCTCTGCCTCCCAAATCCCAACTGATCTGGAGGAAATGGGGATTTTGCAGTAACCTTCCACTGGAGTGGGGTGGGAATAGAGATTTTACAGTATCCTTCCCCTGCCATGCCCAGCAAGCCACACCCAACAAGCCATGTCACCCCCAAAAAAGCCACGCCCACAGAACCGGTAATAAAATTTTTTTGAAACCCACTACTGATATGAACTCAATTTTGTACTAACCTGAATCTCAGGGTCTACCGAACACATGTTGAATGCAGTGATGTTATCTGATGATACCTAAAGAGAATAGAGGGGGGGGAGGGGAAAGATACCTGAAGGTTTAGATCTTGTTTGTTTTTTGCTTAAAAGGAATGACTGATTATTCTGCAAATCTCTCGCTGTACTACAAATTATATCAAGCACGAGGTGATGTGGAGTTGTGAAGATGACAGGACTAAGCAAAGCACAAAGGAGGAAGGGGAAGGAGGAGGAGGAGGAGGAAGGGCAGGAGGAGGAGAAGCCAGAAAGAAGTTTTGTGTTTTAAAAAGACTTTTAAAAACAATATTTCCTGCCAAGATCCAGGCACCATTGCCCCTGTGACCACCACACGGACTCTCACAACCACACGCGCTCTTTCCGGGGATCAAGGGCGTGTGTGCGCCCTGCTTCCCATAGCCCCTCCAGCGGGAGTTCGCTCCTGCCCTTAACGTACAACAGTCGCAACTGTCTCAGGAGTGAGGAAGGAATATTCCGCCGGTCCTCCGGGTAACCGCCGCAAGGCTTTGCTCCATTCAGAATAACGCAGGCCCGCCTCTCCGGACCTTCGGGCATCTCCGACAGTGACACCCGCGGCCTTTCTCTCTTGTTCCCCTCATTCCCTCCAGAAGAGAACTTGGTATCCTAGCGACCAGTCACGCCAAGCCGCACCCGGGGGGAGGCGGGGGTGGGGGTGGGGGGGGGTGGGGAGAAAGGTGGCTGTTCATTGGTCGGCCGAGGCGGGCTGGCAGCGACGCCTTCAAGCCCGCAGTGGCTTTTACAAAACCCGAGGAAGCGGCCACGTGGTTTTGAGTTTTCTTGGACTTTGTGGCTGTTGTTGCCGTCTAGCAAGGGTGCGGAGATTAGTTTCAGTGGTGCTTGCGGGTCTATATTAAACGTTATTGATATCAATCGGCACATTTTTTTTTATATTGACAGGGATATTGTGATGGGGTGGGTCTCAATCAACCAGCCGAGATGTGGTTTCCATGTTCCCCTTTCAGGCGAAATAGCGAGTTGAATGAAAAGTATGAAGGCTATTGCTTAACGCATTGTAAGCCGCCCTGAGTCTCTGGAGAAGGGCGACATATAAATTGAACCAATAAATCAATCAATAAATAAAATCTCCCAGTGAGTAGCTCAGTGCCCTTAACTGCATCAAAGTACTGTAGCTTTTAATAAAAAGAGCTAGCCCAACTCAATCAGTTGTTTATGTGTCAATAATACCCAGGTTTTCCTCTTCTTAATTCAGCACTGGCTCTTCATGTAATGCATGATTCAGAGCCAATCGCTCACTCAGTTGAATTTACCTCAAAGGACTGCTGTTCTGGGGAAAACTTAAAAGGTGAAAACACTATGTATGTGAGCTCTGGAGGAAATGTAAGATACAAATTTCTTTCTTTCCTATTCCATCAAGCTGGCCTGGCCTAAATCTTCTCCCCTTTTTAAATGTAAATTTTTTAAATGTTTAATTTATTTTAAATTATGGGGTATTTTAAATTCAGCCAAATTATTTAATTTGTTTTTAATTCATTTTAAATTTTTTGTATTTATGTGTTTTATCTCGTGGCTGTTCACCGCCATGAGTCCTTCGGGAGAAGGGCGGGATAGAAATTTAATAATAATAATAATAAATTAACGAATAGGACTAGTAAAATGAGAAAAGGAAAGAACAGATTATGTTATTTACATATCAACTTGTTTTATCCATTTTCTCTTAACTCCTGTTGTGCTGTTTCACCAGAACGGGAGGTGAGAAATGGGTTTCTTGGGAAGGATGAGCAAAGAATGCCAGAGGTATGTAGCAAAAGTATGTAATCCCAGCAGGATCATGCAAGGCATGAAGGTCACAGCTGCTCAACTAAAACAAGCAAGCAGACACTGCCTATATTGGGCAACAGCAATACAAGCAGATGCTGGAGGCAGATCATCACTGTAGTGACAAAAGCAAGAGCATCAATTTATATAGCGCAGAACTGTACACTCCCGTTGTTTAACCAAGAAAAACAGATGGATAGAACATATGAAACGATTGATGCTACAGTGCTTGAGGATGGGCCCCTCAGGTTGGATAGTAATCCATGTGCTACTAAAGACCTGAGGATTCTTCTGCCTTTTGGGATCTACTAGCAGTCAAGAAGTATGCCAAAGACTAGCATTTAACAGCATGAAGGCACTGGAAAAAAGATATTCAAATGTCCTTGTGTCTCTTTACTTACAAAGATCATAGTAGTGCAAATCATGGTATTCTTTGCGACATTCTATGGAAGTGGAAGACTGTGAAGAAGCAGAATATTATAAACAATACTGGCACTTTTGAACTTTGGTATTGGAGAAGACTCATGCTGTACCCAGCTGTACATCTCCACCCTGGACCACCCTAACGATGCCCTTGAAGTGATGTCCCGGTGTCTGGAGGCCGTGCGGATCTGGATGGGGAGGAACAGGCTCAGGCTCAACCCATCCAAGACCGAGTGGCTGTGGTTTCCGATGTCCCGATATGGTCAGTTGACGCCATCGCTGACTATTGGGGGCGAATCGCTGGCCCCCACGGAGAGGGCTCGCAACTTGGGCATCCTCTTGGATTCACGGCTGTCTTTAGAAGAGCACTTGACGGCCATGACCGGGAGGATTTTTCATCAGGTTTGCCTGATTCGCCAGTTGCGTCCCTTTCTGGATCGGGACTCCCTACAGTCACTCATGCCCTCGTCACCTCCCGCCTGGACTATTGTAACGCTCTCTACATGGGGTTCCCCTTGAGGAGCACCCAGAGGCTCCAATTGGCGCAGAGTGTGGCTGCGCGGGTGGTTATGGGAGCAACATGGCGCTCCTGTGTGACACCTCTCCTGCGCGAGCTGCACTGGCTCCTGGTGGTCTTCTGGGTGCGCTTCAAGGTTTTGGTCACCACCTTTAGAGTGCTCCATGGCTTAGGACCCGATTATTTATGGGACCGCCTACTACCAAAAACAGCCTCCCACCGGCCAGTACGCTCTCAGAGAGGGGCTCCTCCGGGTGCTGTCAGCCAAGCAGTGTCGACTGGCGGACCCCAGGGGGAGGGCCTTCTCTGTGGGGGCACCCACTATCTGGAATGAGCTCCCCCCGGAGATACGGAGGATCCCGCATCTGCGCACTTTCCGCCGTGCTCTAAAGACCCTCCTATTCCAGCAAGCCGGCCTGGCCTAATTTTCTCCCCTTTCTTTTAAATTGGAATTTTAATTTGTTTTAAATTATTGGGATTTTTTAATTGTCTTGGGCTAAATTATTTAATTTGGTTTTAATTATGTTTCTAACTTTTGTATTTATGTATTTTATTTTGTGCCTGTTCACCGCCCTGAGTCCTTCGGGAGTAGGGCGGTATATAAATTTAATAAAACATAAAACATAAACATAAAACATGAGAATATCATTGTCAGCCAAGAAAACACATGGCTCTTCAACCCAGAATTTTAACTCAAGGCATAAATGACCTGTTCAAATTATCTTACTTTGAACACATTTTGCAGACTTCGCTCTTAATGCTGGGGAAAATGAAAGAAAAAGAAGAGGACAATCAACAGGAAGGTGATTGGACTCAATTATAGTGGCAATGGTTGTTATTATTGAAAGAACTGTTGGGCCAGGTTAGGAACAGATGATCATGGAGAACAATCTGTCCATGACTACGTATCAACACTGATTTGATAGCACATAATCATAATATAAATCCTTTATACCTTTAAAATGAAATATAAAATGCTAATGATTATTTATCGTAATAATTCAGCAAGCTATTATCATCTCTTTTTTCTTAGTGGTAAAGGAACAGTCGATTAAGGGGTCAAATTATAATAACCTCTGTAAAATTCTTCTGGAATCAATGATTTCACATTCATCCCGCCATATAATTTTAGACAGTCCATATGAAGTGTACATGTTATACATTTTTTTCCAAACAACAAAAGCAAAAAGAACTAGCTCCTAGTTATTTTAAATTTCGTAAGTCAGGGAAGTTATTTGTTGCAACTTTCCACAAACATTTAGGTGTTCAGTTGTGCTATTAATTTCAGATCTGAAAATCAGTGAAAGATCTACAATTGATGCTGATGTATATACTATCCATTGTTGTCTTGCAGAAAGGTAATTTTGCAGAGTTTTCATATAAGGTATATACTTGCTACGTAACTATAATTTTTATTGACAGTGGGTTCAAGCTAGCATAAAACAGTTCTGAAGTATAAAAAAAGATTTTATTAATGTGTATGTACAAATTTACATAGCCATAAACTGGAGAAATACAAATGGCATCCAACCATAAACCGTCCTTTCTTTCATTTTACAGAAAATCATTATCACTTGATTTAGATTTTTTAAAAGCAAACGGAGAATTAACTCAGACATTCATAGGTTGAATAAATATTCAGCCTGGCTTTAAACACAGAATTTCTGCTGGAATTCAATGACATGGACTTAAGAATTAAATACTGAGAATTCCCTCCCCCCCCCCTCCTCTAGCAGGTATCTATCAACTGGCAGCTGATTAGATAGGGCTTAAACACAGAGTAGCATACAAATGCAGGTCTTTATGAGAGGGGGGATGTATTGCAACTGATCCAGGACTATGCAGGCCACTCAGATATTGCTTGGCCAGCAACAAAATAGCAAGCCAGCAGCTTTTTATACAAATGAGTCACTTGGCTCCTTCCCTCTGAATATCCAACAGTAAAAACATGGCCCTCTTCAATTCAAAGAGTGCTCAATATGGCAGCTACATAAAAGGGATTTTCCATCTTGTTTTAGCCACACCAGTAAAACTAGTAGGATGTTAGGAGCAGCAAAAATAGGAAGGGAACATTATTTTTAATACAATTAATGAAAATGCTCAGGGGGGAAAAACGAATAATTTTGCCAAACCCAAAGTGTTGGCAAAACCAGGAATGAAACAAGGGATTCAAATCCTGAAATGCTATGTTTGATCTAATTATAGCTAGACACATTACGGTACTTGAGAAAGCAAGAGTAGAAATGTGGAGTAAGAAATGGAACCAGCCAAAGTGCATCAATCAGTTATTGTTATCTGTTCCACCAGGGAACTGGACAGAATGGTATGTTGGCTGCCTGAAATGGGAGCTGCTTAACATAGAAGTATCAAGCCTAATCATCATTTCATAGGCCTATTTGCCAAAGTATATCTCCAAAAGATTCCCAAGTCCAACAAAATTCTCTCTCAGGTAATTGAACTGAAATAAGTATCTTCAAAGTTACAACAGATCCAACAGTAAAAGGTTCTAACTGTACAGGTATGGTTTAAAAAAAGCTCATGTGTTTGAAGTGGCTTTCCGCCTCTTGAGTCGAGCTCTCCAGTCTTCAGGCAAAGCCTCAAAATTGGCATTTCTTTCTGCCATACCACTGTAAAAAGAATAGAAAGGAACATTATGATTAAAAAAAAAAACAACTACATA